AATAAGAAAACTTACGGCTTCGACATGTATTCGTCCCACGTCACGTAGCCCACGTACGGTATCGCGATCGATCCGACGATGATGGCCATGTAGGTCGACGCGCGCGGCACGCACTGGTTGGAGGGGTCGCTGTCGCCGTTGACCGCCTTGATGGCGCTGTACGTGCTGGCGGCGATGCCGAGCGAGGCGACGGAGAAGGCGAGCACCGTCAGTCGAAAGACGAGCGGGACGAAGGCGTTCTTGAGGAGCAATCTCTGTTCCGGAAGGAGGTGGTCAGCGTTTCCTTCATTTTCTCCCCTTGACTCTCTCTCTCTCTCCCCCTTTCGATGTCTCAACGATCTCCTCCTCCTCCTCTCCCCTCGCTGGCGAGAGAGTTTCTCTTTTCTGTCCCAGTCCCCTCATCATCAGACAAAACGATAGAGATGACGACTCACCCAAAACAACCGCACCGTCCTCTCCTGCCTCTCCGGGCTGATCAACCATTTCCCCCGATACATGACACCCTGGAAGCCCTTCAGTCCCGCGCCCCTGCCCCCGGGCGGCAAAGTCGGATCCTCCTCGTCGCGGGGGTCCCAACCGCGGAGCGCGACCGGCATGTGGTGGCGCATCCATTCCGCGTCCACGACGTACGCACCTCCTCCTCCGCCGCCGTCGTCCCCGCCGTATCCGTCCCCGCTGTGGCTGTGCTGGTCGCTGTCGTAGTAGAACCTCCGCTCCTCCTCGTGGTTGTTCGGGCCGGATTGCATGAAGGGCTTCCAGCGGATCTGCTCGAGCACAACGGGCGCGGAGAGCAGGGCGGGCTCGGCGGTGCGCAGGGCGTCCCATTTCCGGCCCGGTTTGAAGTTCGCGGGTGGTGCTTGGTGGTAGGTTGCTGGTTGGCTCCGTGGACGGGAGGGGAGCTTCGGCGACGGTTCATCGGGGTGGTGGTGATCGGGGATCCGGATGGAGGTGTTGGCGCTGGTGTCGTTGCTCGTGCTGCTGTGGTTGATATGGTCGGGTCGCTGTGCTGGTGGATGTCCGTCGGCGCTTTCGTTGGATCCGATGTGGACCCATGGTGGCAGTGAGGTCGGGATGCTTGATACTTCGAGCATGCTTCACCTCCGCCGCCGCTCTCGCGGACGCCGATGGCAGAGGGGACGCGCCTGGCGCTCGGTCGAAGGTAAGGATACTGCTGATGCGGATGTGTGGGTCGATATCCAAGCGGGCTCGCGGAGGTTGTCCTTTCTGACTTGATCGGCAGTCGGCGAATCGCTATTGAGTCGAGGAAGAAGTCGCGATGCGGTAAATGTCGGACTTGTCGAGATTGCGTGGAATCAATGCCTGACGATCTGTGAATTCGACGGGCGCTCGTCTTCTCGCCTCTCTCCGGCGCGATCTGTTCGGTAGCAAGTAGCAGTATTAGATTTAATATTATGGGATGCTATACAAGAACCAATGCAGCGGAATGAAGCTCGCCCGGTCAATTATGGCGGTATGCAGCTTTTCGACGGGCGTCGGAACTGGGAAACTTCTCCAGTCGATTGTTCTAGCGCTGGTCATTTCTGATGACGTGAGGGGTCTGCGTACACACTACCTACAGTACCCAGCAAACCTGCACGTGGCCCGCTCCGATGCGCTGGTTCGGGACACGCATTGGTTTTTCCCTTTCATTTATCCGCAACCACCTGCAAGACTTTCTGTGCGATCGATATCTATATAAGATCCAGATCCGATCAAAGACGTTTCTTTTCAACGCCTCATATGTATCCGTATCTTGGGACGAGTGAGACTTGCATATATCCGATATTGGCTTCGGTCCGCTCCTCTCCAATCGCGTTGCTGGAAGAATAATAACATCTGACCATCAGTGGTTGCTGGGCTTCGAACAGGTAAACTCAGATTTGAAAACACAAAGGGAGAAAGAAAGCCTTAGAATTTGCTCTTCCTACGATGTACTTAGCGATGCAACGTCTCCGTGACCCGTCCACACCCAAGTCTCTCGCACATGCGTTCTACCTCCGTTTCTTGTTCGAGCTATGCAAATTGAGATCACTCCCTCCGCCAGGGGCTTCTGACCAACCCGGTGGCGGAGGAGGAAGGCTCCCGTCGAAGAGATCATCACTGTCTAGTCTAAAACCCCTCGTCTGGATCCGAGTCTGCATGTCATCCTCCGACCAAGGTGGTAACGGAATGGGCGAACTCGAGAGTACCGTCTGAATTTGCTGATCGGGTCTGTCAGCCGTCCCTCGCCGTCGTGGCGTCTCCCCGGGTAGGTCTTCGTCGTCGAAGTCCTTACGGGCGGACTTCAGCCGCGCGAGGAACTCCTCCGGCGAGGAAGGTACGACGGTGCTCATCTGTGATGTACGGATGCGAGGCGTGACGGTGCCGATGACATGGGGAGAGTCGGGAATCGTCAACGTTGCGTCTTCTGATTCTGGGCCACGCGGAGCTGAGCTGCTGATGATAATGTTCAACGAGGAGTCGGACGCGTTGCGGTGGATGAAGATGGGTGAACTGGGGACGAGAGACTGGGCTGTGGAGTGTGCGTTTGCCCGTGTCTTCCCGGTCGGAGTGCGATTTGGTTTGATTTGCGGCCTCAGAACATCTTGAGTAGCCTTTCGTGCACTGGCGTAAGACTGTGTCGGCGTGTCATCCTCATACCGTGCCGCATCTCGATCAAGGGCAGCATTGACAGGATCGTAAGTCTGTGGATACTGGGTGAATGCATTCGAAGGTTGGAATTGAGTATAATCCCGAAGTCGCAAGCTCTCCTCCAGTGCGCTTTGAAGTTGATCTTGATCGCCTGTTCTCGAGGCCGACGAGATTTCAGCTTCATCGTCGGAATCTGCCACAGTAAAGATGTGCCTCAATGTGGGCTTCTTCGGCGTCGGAGATCCTTCCTGCTCCATTTGAAAAACCGATGATTGCGCCAATGTCACTGGTGCCACAGCTCCGACTTGGGAAGGTGAGCCTTTCCTTGCCGTCCTCGAGGGAGCATGCTCCAGGGTGATCTCACTCGCGCAAGTCTCCTGTACGATCCGCTCTCGTTGCGGATTTGGAGTGTGCTTTCCTAGTGGAGAACGATTCAGTACGTCCCGCAGACCGGGACTACTTTCGGCCGATAACTTGATACTCGCCGGCGTCTGGGAAGACGGGACTTCCCACCTTACGGTGCGCGGAGTTTTCGGCGATGGAGCTACAGGATTGCTCAAAGATTGCACAACATGCTCACTTTTAATCGTCGGATCCGTCGTCCGCGTTGTAATGCCCCGGTCAGGAGAAAATGCTACTCGCCGCGAGTGATTGCTTTTCTTAGGAGAGGCGATTCGATGTTGATGTGAGATAAGTTCTGGCGACTGTGGAGCAGATACAGACGTGATCTCAACGTCTTCATCGCTGTCGGAGATGACGCTCGGTCGCGAAGTCAAACCAGGAGTTGAGCCATCCCAGGCTTGTGTCAGCGTCGACTGTGCCCTCGCACTCGCCCTCGCCCTTGCAGCTCTGGCTGTCGTGGAATTCGCTCGCTCTGGTGGGCTCCGCTTGGCCTTCTTGCGAGGGGGTGCGGGCTCGTCGAAATCGAAATCGTCGGGGTTGTCGTCTTCATCCTTAACTCCATACTGAAGCGGGGAACATTCGACGATATCGTCCTCGTCGCTGTCCGTCTCGTCGGCTTCGCTGTCTCGACCCCTCCGATCGCCGCCGCGCACGGGTGGCGTAGAAACGAAATCGATCTGGGTGAGCGTAGCTTGTTTCTTCGCCGTCTCCGCCGCGGTGGCGGAATAAGCGTCTGTTCTCCGGGGTTGGACGATTGAAGTGCGACCTGGAAACCTCTGTTGCTGAGGAGCGCGGGAACGGCGTGAAAACACTTCGGGCTGGCGCATAATGATCAACTTCCGAGTCACGGCATGACGACAATTATAATCACTGTTCGTCCTGTAATCATCGCCGCTGTGGTCTTCACGTGTTTTCCGTTCGCTGATACGAGACATCAGTCGTCATCATGCACCCTGCTTCCAGATCGGGCAATAATTAGTAGCCTTGCGGGGAACGCGTTGCTCACGCGTCAATGCTAACGCGGCAGCACGTGATCAGACATCTCAAATCGCAATGTACTGGATCATCCATCATGGGTGATAAGACCAGTGTCGACTGAGAAGGCAACGATCTGAATAGTAAATGATAGAATCTTCATAAAAGTAGGGGTATCTACAGCGACTGATAAGGAGTGAACAAGCGCCATAGACCCAACCGACGAAAAATCCGACCGCTCTTCAGATGAGCTTCGTCTGCATGCCCGAAAATATCTTCCTCCCAAAATTGTTCCCCAGGATATCTTAAAGGAAAAGCGGCGCTCAGACGCGCGAGAGGCAAAGTAAAGGGAATCGCGCTAGTCATCATGTCATACACATCACATCACGGAGGACCTCGCATCTTCTGTGATCACCTCCGGGCGTTGTTGTGCGGCGTAGGTTGTCTCTCGTTCGGCGACGGTAACTTCGGGGCTTCAGCAGGCGATGTGCTGTATCCGTCCAGGATGTCGTCGTACAGGGCCGAGTTGCCTCGCGACGAGGCGCCGTCATTGACCGACAGGTTGCCTCCGGCGGGGGTCACGCTGCGCGATGCCGAAGCATCTCGCACCTGGCCAAAGTAGTTTTCCTGCGTTCCCGGAGCGCCGACGACGGTGACGGGTGGCCTTGGTTGGTTGGCAGACCCAGCAGGTAGTAATGCGGCAGGTGTGCTGGTTGCGCTGCGTGCGGCTGGGTTGAATGCGACGTAGCCACCGTTGCCGCCCGCGCCGGGAGAAGCGGGCTTCGGTGATTGGTATCGATTCGATTGCGACGTCATCTCGTAGCTATTGGGCGACGCCCGATCATCGACCGGAGGAGGTGTTGTGCGGACATAATTGGATGTTGGGGGACCGCGAGCCATAGGCCGGCTGTAGGAACCAGCACCGCCGGGACCACCGGGAGCCGATGATTTAGACAATGCGCTGTGCTGCGAGAACGAAGAAGCTACACTGTTTTGGCGACCCGGATGTCCACCGAACGCATTAACAGGCGTGGCAGGAGGCTGTGGCGTGTCCAAGCCGAAATCGAATCCAGGAGTGTTGGATCGTGCGGGGGGAGGCATTCGTGGTCCTGGAGGCGGTCCGGACTGTGGATATTGTGGTCCAGGCGGCATGCCAGGAGTAAATGACCTAGGCGGTCCGTATGCGTCAGGACGGGGCCCGGGAGTGTATGAGCGCTCGCTAGTCATGGTATCTGCCCGTCCCAACGGTGGTGGCAGTGGTCGTCCGCTGTTCATCGTATCCGTCCGTGACACCGGGGCGTTCGACCTGCCCGGCGGCACGTTGTCACCTTGTGCTCCCGGAGTGAACGGCCTCCCACTGCCCATCGTATCAGATCGGGACATGGGCGTGAACGGTCGGTTCATATCTTGCATCGGTGGGCCACGCCCTGGTCCCATTCCAGGCCCAGGCCGTGGCGGACCAAATGACGCATTGGACTCCTGTCGGCCCAGAGCCGGTAGCGGCGCGGTTGGCGGGCGGCTTACATCGCCGGCGTAACCTGCGTTTGCCAACAGGGGCGCCTTGTCGGTGAGGCCACCATAGAACCAATTTGTTTGCCCGAGGACCTGGCGCTGGGGCAACCCAGGTCTGTTTGGATCGGCGGAATAAGGTGGAAGGGTAGACGTGCTCGACATGGTGTTTGTGCGGGTCAACGGGAAAGCGGGCAATTTGTCGTCACCGGTGTGGTCCGATGCGTTATCGGAGAGATCGTCAAGCTGAGGCAGTGTCGCCGTGCGAGTGATCTGGGCTATGGGCGGCCCTCCCGCACCCAGGTCAGTCTTCTGACGTTTGAGTTCCTTGAGTTCGGCTTTCTGCTTGAGCCGTTCTTCCTCTGCGAGTGCAGCTTTGACCTTGTGCTCGACGATACGCTCGAGACGCTTGTCAATCTTGCGGCGGCAGTAAATGCTCAAGCGACCGTCGCGCGACGGGATGTAATGCCAGAGGAAGAGGATATAGCAGAACGCAGCGATGATGAGCGACAAAGCGCTGACCACCCAGATGACCAAAGTGAAGAGCATGGCAAAATAGATGGCCGCCGTCTTATTGTTGTTGTTGGCCAGGGTTTCGATGTTGAGAAAGAATTGCTCAATGGGAGAATGATCGCTTTTGTCACCAGGCAAGATGTCCGCTTGAAAGACGGCGAGGAGAGTCATGGCGTTGATGGCCTGACGCGGACCTTCTGCGAGGATGACCCGGATGGCACTCTGGAAAGAGAAGTAGACGAAAAGAGCAACGTAGTCGGCGCCCTTGCGACTCTTGGTGAGTTCTGTGAAGACCAAGAAACGTTTCCAGCCTTTTCCGCGCATGGATTGCAGCGACGACGCCAGCGGATCCATGTAGCTCTCTGCGACGCCGCCTCGGCGAATGACACGAATGGCGCGTTGCCATTCATATGCATAGAGCACCCAAGAGAGAATGATACAGCCGGCGAAAATCCATCGGCTGTACTCGAGAGGCAACTTGGGCTGGACCTGAGAACTCCACTTGTTGAAAGCAAGCAGATTGACGGCGGTGAAGGTGTCCAGGCCGAAGACAGCGATTGCGACAAAAGCCATGAACCAGACCCAAACGTAACCGACACCGGCCCATGCCGAGGTGCAGCGGAAATCGCTCAGAGTCAGGTATTCCCATTTCGCCGTGTGTTCGGGAATCCCCTTTTCTCGTGCACCGCAACAACCCATGGTGATGGTCTAGCAGTCGGCCGTGTTGGTGGTGATGGATGTGCGAGGTGAGGGAGTGAGATAGGCGCGGCCACTCTCTCGTCGCAAGCGAGGAGTGGTCGACCGGTGGTGGTCGTGTTTTTGATTACGACCAAGGTCGAGTTCGCAGGACGGGCGCGATGCTGTCCGGCAGCAATGGCAGCAGCAACGTCCAGAATTGAGTGCTGACGAGCGGTTGTATACGGCGGTCTCGATGGTGTGATATGTCGGTGATGAGGGTCTGACCAGCAGATACCCTCTGAGCTGATTGCGCAATGCCGCAGGAGGATGAGAGGCGCCGAAGAGTTTCAGGATGTGTTGAAGAAGGCGGCAGATGAATAAAGGTCTCGAGATCCTGACCGGCGCATTCCCGAGTGTGCGACGACAAACGAGGGAGAGCGGTGATCGTCGGGGAGAGAGAACGGGCGCGTGTCGAGTCAGCGGTCGATGGGGCGAGGTGCGATTGTGTCGAATGGTCAAGCAGCGATGGTGTTATTGGTGTTGTGGAGGCGGTGATGCATGTCAATGCGTGTGTGTGTGTGCAATGTGTCGTGTAATGAATGTGAGAGTGTTGCGCGCGTATACGTTGTGCGTGGTGCGAGTGAATGTGTGGAAGTGGATGGAGAGATCGTAGGGCAGCAGGCAGGCAGGCAAGTATCTAGGTAGGCAGGGAGAAGACAAAGGAACTTCCAACGGCTGGATGGACGGCTGTGCTCACACGATTCTGCTGTGTGCTGTGCAGCAGGCGAACTTCTTGGGCTGCTGCCACCACGTACCCGCAACTCCGGCTGGCCGGTTCAAACGGGCGGGTGTGAGAGGGAAACTTTATTAGGCAAAAGGTGGCGCGGCGGCGGCAGCGGGATCAGAACTCTGTTCGTTGTCCAGAGAGGGACACTAGGATGAGGAGGAGAAGGAGGAGACGAAGAAGAAGAAAAAGGTCCTGCCGAAGAATCCGCCCGCCTCATCGATCCTCCACCCCACGACAGTAATACCCACCATTCCTCTTCTGCGATTTATCGACGACTATGCGATGGTGGTATCGTGTACATCAGACCCAGTCATTCAATCATCTTTGTCTACAGCGGACACACTGAACAACAACAACACCTATCCCTCGCTCTATGGACTGGACTACATGAGAAGCAAGTCGTTTCAAGTTGAGCGAGACATTTACAGTACGGCAGGAGACGGGACGTAGGGAGACCCAATCGTCTCTGTCCCTGCACCGAGGAAATGTCTTGGTACGAGTCTGGGCGGGCGCGTGTGGTAACGAACAGTATCTGTAGCATCGATGATCTATCCCATATGTATGATAGTCCCATCCGTACACAAACATACAGTATCCTAGACGATTCACATCGAATCGCCCGGCAGCGTTTCTGGCTGTCGATCTCGTCCTACTTCTGCTTCTTCTACGTTGGTCAAGGATATAACGATTGGGCACAATGACAGATACTTACGGTGGTGCCAGCAAGAGCAATCCCACCTGGGAAGCTTTATTATGTACCAAACAGAGAAGAGACAACAGGTAAAGCAAAGTTGTATGTGGGCTTCCTTCCTCCCGGTTCTCTCTCGTTTGCCCCTACTGCAGGTCCCATGGGCGGCCCCTTGCAGAAGCTCAGGTTGCTGGTGTTGGGAGGATTGTGCCACCCGCTCCTCCAATCACCCTTGTTTTACTGCAAGTTGTCACAGAAGTGTGGCACCCTCTTCCCTTCATGCCTCTCTCGTTCTCTCTCTCCCTCTCAATTCCTGTCATCACAGCCGAACGCCACTGTTGGTGGTGATGCGGCAATTGTTCTGAAATACACGCGACCAACACACAGCATTCTCCCACAAACCTTAGCTCCTCAGTCTCTCTTTCCCTCCCAAATCATTGGGGATGGACAACATTGAGGATGGACGATCCATCCATTGGCCAACCCGGGATGCTGAACCCAGGACGGCTGAGTGGGAATATCTCGGCATCACTTTCCCTTCCTCGCGCCGTGCATGCAATGTGGATACCGACTGGGATGTGTTTGACAAAAGCCGTACATATGTCCAATCGTGTTTCATGATACTCATTGGGCCGAGAATGGAGAGGAATGCGGGATGCACAGTGTGTCCTTTCCCTTGTTGTCCGTCATGCAGGTCGACAACACGCGCGCGCCCGGCATGTTTCAGCTTCTGCATGGATGTACATACTGTATGCACAATGCACAACACATTCCGTACACTCAATGTCTTCCAATGAACGGCCGTCACAAATAAGAAGTGGCACGAGTTTCACACAGTTCCCCGCTTGAGATCGGTCATCCTATATTCTCTTACCCTGACTTACGCGCGCTTAACTGGCCCGACAGCCCCGCCAACGCCTTCTCACCCAATCAAGTCCATGATGGAAGACTTTTCTGACGCCTCCACCATGTCCTCATTGTTCTTGCGCCTACCTGAGAAGAAATCCGTGCACGAGCGCGATCTTCTCGACCAATGACGCGGTCTTCGTAAGTCTGAACAAGAAGCCCCAGATGCTGAGATGAGCGCAGAGAGGAACTCGCACTGGTTGAAACGCAAGAAAAATAACCCGCGCAGAGAAATTGCGGCATAGCTTTGTTACGCTGGCCACAGTAATCGCAGTCCGAAGACAAAACCAGAACGCCGCCGGTCTGCATCCCGGCGTATCGTGAGTGGACTTTGGAATTCCCGAAAGAACACAGAAGAGACCAGCTGGGCGGCCCATCGCGTTTCACCAGACGGGCATCGATCAGAGTCCTCGTCACGTATCGCCTTAGGTAGTGATATAGACAAAATCTCAACAGCAGGCCGATTTCTCGGCTGCCTACCTCCATCTTTCAAGCTAAATCAGGTCGCTGAGCCCGTGCCACTGCCGCATCCATCAGAGAACCTCCCGACAAGTCTCCTTTCCCCCTGCCCTCCTTTCCGTCATGGACTCGGCTCAGGCTCCGGTCTTGTCCACGCCCGCGGAATACATCCTCGAAGATGGCGCAGATGACATTGCTTCCGTTGTGGCGTCATCGAAACCCTTGGATGATGAACAGCTCTACGTACAGTATGAGCTCCGTCGGACCGTCGAGGAGATCCGAGCTGCCAAGCATCAGCGAGTCGCTCTACAATTCCCCGATGACATGCTCGTCGATGCTCCTCGGGTCTACGAGCGTCTCCGAGATGACTTGAACAAGGCAGATCCGGAAGGCGACGTCACTCTATGTATTCTGGGCGACACGTCGTATGGCGCATGTTGTGTCGACGAGGTCGCTGCGGAACATGTCGAAGCTGATGCCGTCGTCCACTATGGTCGCTCCTGTCTCTCTCCGACGGCTCGGCTGCCAGTCATATATGTCTTCACGTCGAGACCCCTAGATATAGACACCGCGGTGGCGAGCTTCGTCGAGACGTACAAGGATTCCGCTGAGAAGATCTGTCTCATGGCGGACATTCCTTACACGCATCACCTGGAGCCTTTGGCGCGGCGATTGAGGGATGATGAGGGATACGTGAATCTGTTCGTTCCAGAAATCATACCCGACCCATCCTCGTTGCTTCCAAACCGCACGGTTCCGGACGAGGTAAAAGTAAACCCTGAAGCACTTCAGGAATATTCTGTCTTCCACCTTTCTTCTCCTCCTACTTCTCTCCTCCTCATTCTCTCTTCTCGCATCAAGAACATGCACATCTTCGCGACCGATGCATCGATCACGGGAGACCAAAGTCAGGTCGGCAAAACAGTCCTTGAGGCGACCACCGGACAATTGTTACGTCGCCGCTATGCCCTCATCACCCGCCTCAGCACGGTTCCCATTTTCGGGATCCTCATCAACACTCTGTCCGTCTCGAACTACATGGCAGCGTTACAGCACTGTCAACGACTCATCGCCAATGCCGGTAAAAAGAGCTACGTCTTCGTCGTGGGCAAAGTCAATGCTGCCAAAGTCGCTAACTTTAGCGAGATCGGCGGTTGGGTCGTCATCGGATGCTGGGAGAGCAGTCTCCTCGAGAGCAAAGACTTCTACCGCCCGATCATCACGCCCTTTGAATTGGAATTGGCTTTGACGGATGATGATGCCCGTGTCTGGCGTGGCGAGTGGATCGGCGATTTCGCTACTGTGCTCGCGCGGAACAAGTCTGCAGACCAACCTGCTCCTCAACAAGGAAGAGATCAAGGAACCGATGGCCTCGACCGAGACAACCACCAGGACCAAGATTACGACGAAAACGCCTCGGACGACGAACCTCCCGAATTCGACCTCCGCACAGGAAGATACGTCAGCCACTCCCGACCCATGGGCCGCCCCCGCCGCGAACTTCCCCAACAGCCGGCCGCATCGTCCGCCACCGACGGCGACCCGCTCGATCCTCCATCGTCCTCCTCCTCCTCCGCCCTGGTGGCCCGCCACGCCACCCGCGACGTCGCGACCATCGCCGGCCAGGTGTCGCCCGCGGCCGAATTCCTCCGCTCGCAGCGCACGTGGCAAGGCCTGGGTCACGACCATGCATCGATCGCGTACGAGCGCGACGGACAGGGCAACATCGTCGGTGCGGCCATGGAGGAGGGGAGAAGTGGGATCGCGAGGGGCTATACGGTCGGGGAGGAAGCGGAGAAGCATTGAGATTTATGATTTTACCGACTCTGATGAGGGGAATATGTTTGGGAGAATAAGGACAGATGGCGAAGAGTGTGTGACGATGACGGATAGTGTAGTCCGAAGGTGCAATACTGAACAATTTTCCCGTTTTCAAAAGGGCATCAGACCTCCCCTCCCGGATTGGTCCAATAGCAGCATTCTCTCTCTCTTTCTCTCGCTCTCTCTCTCTCTCTCTCTCCCTTCAAAAGGCCTCTCATCTCCCATCGTCCCGTGACGCATGTCTTCCGCCGCGGAACCTTTCCCCACCGTCTGAAGTGCCCGTGATTCCGTGCTCTCCCCTCTCCCTCAGAATTCGATCAGAACCTCCGCATGCACCATCTCGATGCGGGCCATCGGATCCTCAATCCACCTCCTCCACGCCAACGCATATTCCTCCATCCGACCGCTGTCGTCCACCCGTCGATTCCCGCGTCAGTCTCTGGAAAAAACAAGCAGGAGAAGACGACGACGACGAAGGGAGATAGGAGGGAAAGAAAAGATGGAAGAAAGAAAAAGGAAAAAGAAAGAAAAAGATCAAACTCACCTCGGCACTCCCATCGCCGCCGCCGCCTCGAAGAACATCCCCTGCCGACAGCGTCCCGGCCAGTGGCCCCCGTAAGCCTCGCGATCGGCCCTCGTCGCCCCGCCGCGCCAGAGCGTCCGCGCGGCCGTGACGGTCGGGGCCGTGCTGCGCTCCTCACTCGGCATCGCCATCGCCGCCGTCGGGTTCGACTCGGCATTCTTCCCCTTCTTCTTCTTCTTCTTCTCCTCCTTCCCTCGCTGTCCCCCTTCTCCCCATCGTTTTCTAGCGATCGCCTCCCGCGCCCATTCCGCCAGGTGCCTCCCCGCCGCGGGCTCGCCGCCCTGGGATCTGTGCGCCGCGCAGATGACGCCGAAGCACTCCTCGAGGAGCGGGGAGGCGGGCGTGACGCGGACGGTCGTGAGGTCGCCTTCGCGGAGGCAGATCAGGCCGCCGCTGGGGGAGGGGTCGACGTGATGACCCGGATGGAAGTCTGTGGCGTCTGGCGATGGTGATGACGGGGGAGGTCCGGTGCGGCGCTTCTTCACCACGCGGATCATCTCCGCGATCGCGTCCGCCGGCCGCGACACGTGCGCGAGGACCTGGTGGCAGTGGACGACGTCGAACCGGGACTCTTCAAAGGGCAATCCTCCGCCTTTAGGCTCTCGATCGCGGCCTTCTCCGCCTCTTCCCCTCCTGCTCCTCCTCAGCGGAGATCCCCCTCCCCTGCCAACTCCGCGAAATAACAACCCCCGCAGCAGCCCCTTCCCTGCCCCCGCCCCTCCGACCTCCTCCGCCCCGCCACCCAAACCGTCATCGCCACACCCCCGCGGCCCTACGACATCCGCCCGTAAGAACCGGACGTTCGGCCCGAAACCCTCGGCCTCGGCCTGGGCGCGCGCGCTCACGAGGACTGCCGCCGAGATGTCCACGCCCGTGACCCGGGCGGCGGGGAAGCCCGCTGCGGCGAAATGCGCCGCGAAGGCGCGCGTCAGTTTCCCGGACCCGCAGCCGATGTCGAGGAGGTGGAAGGGCGGCGGCGACGACGACGACGACGAGGGGGAGGAGGAGGCTGGTCGCGCGTGGAACCGTCCGAGGTGGGTCGAGAGGGAGGGGAGCAGGTAGGCGCACTGGACGGAGAGGATGTCGGGTGGGGATTCGCCCTCCGGGGGTGGATCGCGCGTGGCGGTTGCGGCGGTCGGCGCTGTCGCTTGCTCTGCGGCATGTTCTCGCGGGTCGCGCATCGTCTCGCTGCTTTCGCCTGGGACTTGAGGGGGCGCTTTTCACCGTCGTCGTTTGGTGTCGCCCGCGATGTGTACCCCACCGTTCGCCGTTGTTCACAAAAGAGAGGCTTTGGGTCTTGGGTGATGTGGCTTATCGTGTCTTACAGCAGCAGCAACAGCGGCAGCGATTTCTCTCAAACTGTGACCTTGTTTCTTTTCTCTCTCGCTCGAGGATATCGACGAACGCTTCCTTCATCGACGACAATCCGGGCCGTCGGGATTGTTGGTATCTTGAAAGACCATGGTCATTGGGGATCGGTCAATTTCGATCGTCGGTTTGGACATTTCCTTTCTTCATCCGCCACGCCGGCTTGTGGGTTCGATCTCGGCGTCGAGAGATCTCTGCGATCATTTGCGAGGAGCGGTTCATCGCACCTGCGATCTCGCCGAAAGCGTGGCCAACGTGTTGGGCGAGGGGGGATTGGTGCCGGTGAAAGGAAAAGGGCACGCGATTCCCTTGTCTGTGATTTGAATGGGGGAAGTTTCGCCGCAGCAGCGCTCGAGGTCGATAAGCGACGACGTCTCTGCTTCCTTATTCACCAAGTACAGATATTGACCCTTTTGCAATTTCCAGGCGTGATAATCAGCCTGTGGCTGCAAAACTAGTTTGAGAGGCTTCTATGATGGCTGAAACAATTCAGTCGCAACGGATAATGTCTCGTCTAATCTCGTCTTGGCTCTCCTTGTGCTGAGCGAAAGGTAATTATTGGAAATTCTGAGTGATGCTTGGGTGAAGAGGCCGTCAATACATTACTCTCTGACCGATGATGCTACTTAAGATTATTCTAAAAATCATGTATCTATATCTAAATATTCCCCGTCATGCTATGCAGCCCAGGTCTCCTCCCATGCTGCGAGGAGGTTCGGATCGTCATAAAAGCAGCCTGCCATCATCCCTCATATCCCATCCGCTCATCACTGCCCCGGCAAGAAGAAGAGGCAGTGGTGCCAAAAAAAAACAACAAAAAACCGTCGAGATGCAGGATTTCCACGTTGCGGCCTTCGGATAGAGTCCCGCAGAAGGTAGAAAATCAGATCCAGGCCCAGTGAAGGCCAAGCCCGTTCGAAAACAAACGCCGAGGGTATCATGCAGTGAAACGGGGGAAAACCTCCCCCCCCCCAGAGAGATCCACGATGCCGAAGGAAGAAGAAAAGGAAAAAAAGACGAAATCATGAGAACGCAGACTGCCCGCTGGCTCGGTGACAAGCCTCTCCGCTTAGGCTTTGCAACCGTGCATCAACTTGTTCTTCGGCCAGGCATACGGCGTCTCGTCCCAGAGAGTCAGATTGGGGTTGTTATACGCCTCGGGGTGGTTTTTGATATACTCCGTCGTCTCATAGCCGGGGGGATCGCAGGTGACCATACGGGCATCCTTCGGTTGATACCAGCGGACGTAGTCGATCTGCATGACGGTGGGGAAGAAGACCGAGGCGAAGTCGATGTCGACCCAGTTGCGGGAGAAGCCGAGATTGAGGATGAGCGAGAGCGGCTCCTCGGCGATGACGCGCTGACCGATGTTGCCGTTGGGCCCGATGGCGCGGGCGTCGAATTTCATCGTCTCCTGGTCGCCGACGTACCATGCAACGAAGGCGTTTTCATCGTCGCCGGGTTTGTACTCGTAGGCGTACTTTTGGAACTGTTTGCCGTCGAACCATTTGTTGTTCAACATCGAGGTGGTCGAGACGGCTTGCTGGAAGGGCCCGCCGACCCAGGTGTTGACCACACTGGTGCTGTAATTGGGGGTTTGCATGAATTCGTAATTGGGGTAATACCAAATGTCCATAGGCGCCACTTGGTACGATTGTGTGGCGACCGCGACATTCATCCCGCCGTAATCGGCGCTGACTTCGGCAATGTCGATCTCTGGAGCGCCACGGCCACGACCGGGAGTAGGATGATCCTCCCCGGGACATGTACAGGAGGACAGACGCTGACCGGGAAGTCGACTGGTGCCGTCCGTCATGGACTGATTCGGAGTGATGCCCGCATCACATGAATCATAGGTGTACGGCCAGACACCGTCTGTGGTGGCGAGATAGCCGGGTCGTCCGAGATTCCCCATGCTCCACATGCCAGGCCACAAGGCGTGTTTCCCAGCGGGGCCTGGTAGAGATACGGATACTTCGAAGGCACCACCCTTGAAGCACAATTGATTCCAGGAGTTCAACATCCCTGATCGATAGTCCAGACCGTGATTCGGGAATTTGTCCAGTTGAAGTCGGAGTGTCCCACCAGCTATTGAGGATATCTCGTCAGCATTTTGCACATGCGCTGTCCGACAGCGGAAGAATTCGACTCACCCGTGGTCGCGGCGTCGGGATCATACCACTCCAAATCACGTGTGGCGCCGTACCAGAAATCGGGCGCAAACCAGAACGGATCGTCTCCTGGATAAAAAGTCCTGTTGGGTTTGTTGAACTCATCGCTGTACACCAGGACCAGATCTGAGCCGTCGGTGCTCTTCCGCGTCATCGCGCTCGCAGGGGTGTCCGGGTCGATGAGACCTCGTCGGATGTTGCGCAACAACGGATATACCTTGTCGTTGACTCGAGCCCACGCGGGACTGGGTGCTCGGTATCCGGGCATCTGCTCGAGCGGAGTCTCGTACGTGTATGGGATCAGGCTCGTGCCCGTGAACGATACCACGGGGAGGACGACAAAGACGCAGAGCAAGCCGATGATCATAAAGAGCATGCCAATCGTGTCGACAACGTTCTTTTTCGCGAACCGATCCTTCCACGATGGACGGTATTTCGCATCGTCGTCCCATTGCGGCATGTGCATATCATCGTCATCCTCTTTCTGATCCGTGTACATCGACTGTAGCGTGGAGTGCTCGTCGGCGTAAGGGACCGAAAGCATCTTTTCCGGATCCGCGTTGTTGATGAAGGCGGGTGCGCTTCGGATCGGGATGGCGGAGACAGACGACGCCGTCGACTTTTCATTGTTGAAAATGCCGTTTTGAAGTGGAGGCGTGCCGAGCAGAACTGGAGTTGCCGAGCCTAGGGGGCTGCGCGCTCGCCTGTCGTCTCGAAACGGGTTGGACAGTCGATTGGCGAGTTCGGCCGAGGATACACCAACCGCGAGATTGGTCGCAGATCGATACCGTGGCAGAGGTATGATGTTGTTCACATCGAGTTGGGAGTTGTTGCGCGTCGCGAATGGATCTCCACCCAGAAGTGGCGCATTTGGCCGTGAAGAGACTGTAGAAGCAGTGTCGAGACGAGAGTTGGAAGTTCGAGGTAGGAATGGTGTCGCCGAACCACCCGGTGAGAGCAAGCCGCCGTCGCGTGAGCTCAGGATACTGCTCCGTTTTGAGCTGTCAGGTCGGTAGGATGATGGCGGAAGCTCATCGAGAGGGCTATGCTGGAGCAGATCTCCGCTGCCGTTTGAAGAAGTGGAAATCAGGGCGTTGGGCTGTGTGTTCAGCTCGAGCCTGGGGACGACATTCTCGCGCGATTGTGATGTGGGATTGGAGGGGTCTGACGAGCGGGAGGCATGTGATGATGTGGAGGAGGTCGGGATAGACTCTCGAGATTGGTTCCGGGACATTTGTCGCATGCCATGCGCGGAAGCCTGCGCATGCAGGTTGGTGGTTGAACGGCCTGCCTGCTGTGTTTCTTCGTCGTCATCAATGGTCGACCGCGAGTTGCGAGAGGCGGCGACTGGTCTGGTGACGGGCATTGCGCAGGTGGATCACCCTCCGCGGGTGTGAATATGGAAGGGGGAAGTTGCTCGGAGCAAGTTGTTGTTCGCGAGGTCGAAGACAACGGGAAGTGAAGAGGAAGGCCCTCAGGCAAGGGCGAGTGGTGATGATGTCGTGCGATCGGATCGATATACTTTGCGCAAGGACCACCGACTCCGGAAGCAAGTCAAACCGGGAAGCAGCGATTGCTCGAGAGTGGCCGAGGAGCTGGAAGTCGAAGCGAGTGACGGAGACGAGTTGGACGTGGACGATGGAGGACCGATGAGAGTCGTCAGATCATTGATAGTGAGAGGGTGTCACTGTTCCAGGGCGATGGTGGATCGGTGAAGGGAGTGAGTGGTCGGTCGGTGATGATGGAGATGAGGGAGAGAAAGAGTGTGTGTGAGGGCCAAGTTGTGGTGTTGCGGTTGTAGGTGCTGCCCAGGTGTTGGTTCGTGGAGTAGGACGGTCGATGGTTGATGGTCGATGGTTGATGGTCGATGGTTGATGGTCGATGGTTGATGACTGATGATGATGGACGAGTGGGAGTAGCTCAGCACAGTATGATGATCATCCTTCCTGTAGAGGTGATTGATGGTGGTGGTGGTGGTGGTGGTGGTGGGGAGGTGGATGACCCGGGGCTTTGTCGGTCGTGGAATCAAGCGCAGCATATGTACAGTAATGTGTGTCACCGCGTGAACCACTCCGGACCGGACAGCAGAGACGAAGGAGGAAATTTACTATGAGACAAGGGGATGCTGGGCGATAATGATGATGCTGATGATGATGATGATATACATCCATGGTGATAACGTGAAATGGTGGTGGTGGGACTGTTCTGTTGCAATCCCACCTGGGCACTACTGCTCCTACTAGACTAGGTACATAGGTACAATCACGCACACCCACCCACAGTACCTGCGGCGGGTACTGTCCTCGCTCAGAAAGGTGGGACGCGGGTAAAGAGGTTGATAGTAGACGTGAAGAGGGAATCGGGTCGGAATCCACCAGGCGGGCGGCCTACAGTACGTACAACGAACAGGGCCAGCAGCCAGTTTTATCTATCCGATGTATGTACATCTATCTTCCCACCTGGGCACGGTTTGTTTGATTAGATGGAAGGAACATCCTTGGGACAGCTGCAGTAGTGGTTTTCGCGGAATGCTGCACCCAATGCTTATTTCGCCAGGATGATGAATACACACACACCCACACCCACACACGTGCATGCTGCTTTGGGTGATGTGAGCAGCAGCAGCCCCGATGGATTGGACGGGCGCAACCGTCGTCCATCGGGGCATTGATAATTCCATTCCTCCTCAACTACCTAGGTAGGTACCTATCCACACCTCCGCCCTGTCTGTCAAACCCTTCAATTCTCCCATGCGATACACCGGAGGCATGTCTCTCTGAAACATAGCCGACGCACGCGGATGTAACGATCAAACACAGCACTGCACGACAGCAAAGGCCGTATGTATGTATGTATGTATGTATGTATGTATATATGTATGTACCCGATGTTGAACACGGACGCGACAAGGGTCACAAGAAAGAAGAGAAGAAAAAAAAAAGCAGACCTGCGGAATGATACGGTGGCTGCTCTAGGAAAGTGAAGACCGATGAACCGTTGACGGCGCTAGGTCCGCATCGGCCGATCTCCCTCTGCCTTCCACGATGCATGCAGCCCACCAAATTAGGTTGGGACGAGTACCTCCTGTAGGTATGTTCAGCACCTATTTCTCCCTACAGCACAAAACACATGGATCAAATGATGGAGAATTATGCCGTATGGCGACGCGGGACTGATGCGTGGAATCCCTCTCCTCCTCGGGTCTTTCTTTTTTCTCTTTCCTCGTCGCACTTGGGACAGAAACCCGCCCGAAACGGTTTCGCTGCAGGGCAGGCGCAGGGCGATCAGGAGAGCGCATCCGTCATTGCTTGGATACGATGTGTCGTATTGACCGTGGTAGGCCCGTAACGAAAGCAGTGCCAGAAGCGGAAGGGGGAAACACGTGGGCGCGCGGTTTCGTTCGCCTTTCTTCGTCTTCTCCATCACCATCTCTCTCGTCGATTCCTTGGTAGAGACGTTGGCAGATGCGGAATGTGTCTATCGAGTCGAAATCTTGGTCAATGGTCGGACGATGTGGAGCCGAAAGGGCACGAGAGAGAGAGGGAGACCGCGCACTCGCCCCCATGTGCATGCCCACAGACACACACAGACACACACACACACGGCCGTTGTCCTCCGAGACGAGAGATCGGGGAACATGGCGGAAATCTGGGAATATGTAATACATGTGTCTCTCCATCCATATGAATACCTGCAAACGCCGAGGCGCGTTAGACAGATAGACGAGAGAGAGAGAGTGTGTGTGTGAGATACCTGGAAAATATTAAGGCCGAAAAAGCAAAGAGACCGACAACCTTGGAGGTTTCTCTCAACACGAGATGGCTTGAGAAGACGCGTCACCTGTGGCTTTAAAGCTGGAACGCGACGATGAAATGCCGATATGGCTGCTGTATCGGCTGCTCCCATTGTCATCACCGCACCTGTACAATTGTAGCACTGCGACAAAGCCGCTCTCCTTCATCGTCAAAGAACACATTGGTTCCGCCCGTCTTTGATTTTATCTTGTCTCACATGCACACTCTCAGTCTCCCCGTCGCCAATGACCATCACATCCTCCGAACTACCTACACAGGCCCTTGGACGTCCATGCAGGATGTTCGTTCCCTTGTCTTTCCTCCATCGAACGAACCCGTTCACCAGTCCGCAACGGGGTTCCCGCCTCCCTATGCAGCCCTGTACAACGGGACACACATGCCCGGATGAGGGATTCGCAGGTAGTCGTATTGGTCCCCGTCGTTCGCGACAAGGGGACGGTAGGTATACAATTATCGACCGGCGGCCGTCCCATCACCGCACACGGGAAAACGAGCATCGTCTGCCGCCGCAAATACGAAGGGCGCTCTCTCTCTTCCTCCGGGTCGGAGAGAACAGTAGGCCCGTTTCCTCAAAGTCCGCCGAGAGAATGCGAGACAACCACGCCGCCACCTGACGGAGAAAGCATATGTCATAACCGCCAAAGAGATCCATACGAAAGTCGGTCTCTGTGATATCACTATGCACAGTGTGCCCAATGTCATGCGCCGTCGGCGAGGGACCATAGCACTGCAAACTCGTCCAGATGTGAACTGTATACCTAGGTAGTACTCGATACGTGATACACACCCATGGCGGAAGACGCGCAAGCTCTCCCCCTCCCGAGCCCTTCGCCTTGCCTGCTGCGCACGACCTACGATTGGAACAGTACTGTGACAAGCAAGGGGACAAATCTGTTGATGTTCGCAGGACTGATACGATTCCGCTCAAAGGAGGAGATGCGAGTGAAGCTGCTCCAAAAGACCACCCACCCTCCCGTCCTCCCCTGTCCCCGCCCAGACGAGGCCGCGCGGTATGTGTCACGAATCGTACATCTGCCCAGCGGCGGTGTGTCATCAATGAGGGACTTGGCCGCGAAGAGGGAGGAGGGACATAGGTAGAGATGGCGGCGCTGTTTTCTTCCTGAGCCGACCCGTTGAGAATATACGAGCGATATTTTCGGACATGGAACGGATCTGAAAGATGAGTGGGGAGTGGGGGGCAAAAGGAAGCACAAAAAGGTCCGAGGGACTGCCAATGCTGTTGTCCAAGGATTGATGATGGATCTTGTAGGTGCCCAGTAGCAAAAACGACCCGGAGGAGCCATTCGAGCGTTCGACTCATGTCGCACCCGGAGGCTGGTCAGATGGGCATGTCGTGTCCGCGTCGGAATTGTCCACCCCAGCATGGGCCTTGTTATTAACCGTGACAAATTCGTGTAAAGTTCGGTATCATGGCGAAGCGAGGCTCAGGAGCGGGGAGGAGAAGTCCCGCTCGTGTAATGTCGCGAAGTGGACGTATCATTTGGAGGAACTCACAAGTGTTCGCGAGACCGGAAAGGAAGAAGAGGGTAATGAGGACAGGAGAGAAGAGAGGGAGAAAGAGAGAGAGAGAGAGAGAGAGAGAGAGAGAGGGAGAGACAGAGAGAAAGAGGGAGAGACAGAGAGAGAGGGAGAGACAGAGAGAGAGGGGGAGAGACAGAGAGAGAGAGAGATTAGTGACATTAGATTGTTGTAACACAAAAAAGCACAAGAGACGACCCAATCCGATCCCACAGGACATTGCCACGATTCCTCCCGTTGTTTCCTTTCGGACGACGGAGCCAACAGAAAAGGAGAGACCAGCAACAGCAACCCATGCGAACCCAGAGCTATTCGCGCGACAGAGACACCCGCAGACCTCTTGTCCATTCTTTACCGCTTTCCCAGAGACATCCCCCCTACACACCGCGAACGCTTCAATTCTTTTCGAAAATTCTTTTGAACGGATAAGAGGGAGAGAGGTGGTGTACAACAATGACAACGTCGAACAGCAGAACAAAAACGAGTCGCACATACACTAAAACAAACAAAGCCGGACGAGGAGAGAAGAAGGATCGGTAAAGTTCGAACAGAACATGAAAATTGGAATACGGCGCCGAGCGGGGAATGGTTTCACATAGAAGATAAGGTTGGGTGTTTCTTCGGACTTTGGGGGCTCATGGACGAGGATCCGAGGGGATCGACAGGGAGAGGAGGGACAGAGAGAGGCGCCGTGATCGTTGTCGAGATCGTTGTGCGCGTGTCTTCTTAACCTCGGAGCGAGAAGCCGCCCTTCTTGCGGCCCTTCTCCTCGATCGGTCGGCCGCTCTCGATCCGCGACTTCTTGTCCTCGAGGTCTTGTCGCTGGCGATCCAGCTGCTCCTTCATCTCGCGGTGGCGGGCGTAGAGCTCCTCCTCGCTCTGCTTCAGCTTGCTCTCCTTCTCCTGCACCTTCTGCTGGAAGACCATCTTCATCTCGAGCTCCATCTTGGCGAGCTTCTGCTCGTGCAGCGAGCGCTCCTCCTCCTGCTTGACCGCCGGGTTGACCTCCTTGAATACGCTGGGGTCCTGGGCCACACCCATGGCGGTGAGCTTGTCGGATCGGTAGTTTTCGTAGAGGAAGTTGTTGGTGTGCTCCTTGAGCTCTTCCATGTGTGTCCGGATGAGCATCTGTCGGAGCTTGACAAAGTCGCAGTGCTCCTCGTTGTCCACCTCGATCACACCCCATGGGTAGCGGCGACCGCGAACCTTGCGGCCCTCAGGGGTCTGAACCTCGGTGTTGGCGCCGACGACGGCGAAGGGGACCTTGGACATGATCTCGTTGTTCTCCGCAATCGTCTCCTCGTCGTCCAACTCGTAGCGAGGGCCCTCGAAGATGTGAATGTTGTGGTGGTGAATGTCGGCGAGAATCTGGTACGAATGTTAGAAAAGACCTCTTCCCATTCCGCGGTTGCACGACATTGTCAACTTACGCGCTGCTTGAAAGCGGCGATCTCGTCGTCGGTCAGAGTATCAGCCTTGGCGATGACAGGGATGAGGTTGACCTTGGTGTGCAGGCGGCGCATCACCTCGACGTCCAACGGCTTCAATGAGTGTCCAGTGGGCTGGATGAAGTAGACGCAAGCGTGGACACGGTTGTCGACAATGTTCATGCGGTTGATCTTGTTCTCGGCATCGAGGTAGGCATCGAAACGTTGCTCGATGTTCTCGACGATCGGTCGCCATGAGTCGTCGTTGTTGACAAAGTCACCAAAGCCAGGGGTGTCGACAACAGTCAGACGCAGGCGGACACCGTTCTCCTCGATGTCGGCAGAGATGGACTGGATGCTGACAGTCTTGGGTGCGAAGTCAAGCGAAGGTTGCTTGCGCTCCTTGGGAGGGTACAGAGAGGTGTTGAAGAGGGTGTTGACCAAGGTAGACTTGCCGAGACCGGATTCACCTTGCATGTGCGTGTCAATGAAAGCTCATCGTCCATCTCCGACGGTATATCCGCACTTACCAACAACCATGACGTTGAAGTTGAAACCCTTGCGCACACTCTTGCGGTGCCATTGGTTCGGCAGGTTGGCGAAACCGACATAGCCGGTCAGTTTCCTGCGGACGATGTTTCGGAGATCGCTGGCAGCCTGAGCTGCAGCCTTCGGGTCCTTGGAGCTGACGGTTTGAGCTGCTGTTATGTCTTTGTTAGATAAATGCTCGCGCACAGGCGTACGGAGAGGGTGTGCTTGCCATTAGATGCCGCCGAGTTCGGGACTGGCGAGGCTCGGACGGGGGGAGCGGTAGCGGCTGCGGTGGTTGCTGAGCATTTGGAGTCAGTGGTCAAGTTCAGATTCAGATTGATTGAATGTATCGTATAGTCGGCTCGAGGATGATCGGGAGTGACGACGCGTGCGATAGTAGCCAGTGCGGGAGCTGGGCTGCTGGAGTCTGCGGCGCAACGTGACAGCAAGCTGCTCGATTTCGGAACAACAGTTGGCGTGAACATGGTCGCCGACCAGTACAGCAACGTATTGCTTCGATCGTGTCTCCTTTCGAGTTGCACGTCCGCGCGAATGCCGCTGTTCAAGCCGCAGGAGGTGATGTTCACGTGAAGTGGCTGTCGCAGAATAGGAAAACTTACCCATGGTGAAAGTGGTGCAGGGCGACTGATGGAGAGGAAACGTGGAATGCCTTCCTTACTCAAGCTTCTGTTTGAGAGGTATTAGTGCGCGATTCGATAAATGTGAGCTTGAGGCAGTTGCGATGCGGTATCAGATGATGTATGGAATTCGTTTCCAGGGAGGCGCAAACGACAATTCGCCAACATTTTTCTTGTACAACAGCGGGCTTCGCCATTGACACAACGACCTCGCATTGATCCATCCATCCCATTGCTCTTTCCATGCGATTGTCCAGCATCAAGAAGCTATGTCATGTCGCCGGCTCCGTCCGATCCATCATGCCTCCTCTTTCTCACTACTCGCGCTCCCTTCTCAGGGATGAATCGAGATGGCTGGAATTGTGCTGACAGGGCGCAGAACAGGAACGGGCGAACGTACCGATGAGCAATGCGAGAAGGATCCAAGTCGAAGAAGACAATGTCGACGGGCGATGAGATATTGCGACCAACGCGAACAAGGAGAGCGAGAGTAGAAGGAGGGTAGATAGAAGGGCCCAACGTGTATGGAATGTGTGTGCACGTCTGCTTCCCCCGAGAAACTTGTCCTGGAGGATAGGGGACCGCGAGAAATGAGGGACGTGCACCGACGCGCCAAGATTATCGACTTTCCCAAATTTGCGGGATCTCCATCCGATGCTGTCACATTCTCGACCTCATCCGTTGATCTTCAAGTGTTCCGATAAAGTTATGGCTATGCCTGTCACTGTACTATACCTTACTCCAGCGACGAGAATCGTTCCCCTGTCTGGTCGAATTTGCGATTCATCTTGCTTACAGTTCGTCTACAATCCCCGAGCTCAGGTCCGAGCTGGCGTCAAGCGCGCTTCGGATGACGGTGCACATGGAAACACACGGTGCCTGCCTAAGATCTAGGGCTTTAATGTAATCATTATTATAACATGACCCAGCGAGCGACAACCATTCCACATCTTCCGACTATTTTGGTGAAAGGTTCCGTCTGGCCACCATTTTGCGCGGTCGGGATCAGCAACAAAGAAGGGTCCGCTATGAATCATACTGATGACTTCGCGGCGCATTATTGAAGCTGTCTCATTTCGTCCTAACCGAGAGAAGCTATTTCGCTGCTGAGATAGGACTTGTCGTATTTCACATGCTTGCCCTTGCCCTTGTCCACTTCATGATATCGCTCCCAGAAGCGTGCATACAACGGCTCGATGAACATCTGCACATCTTTGACAAACTGCCGCCGCACCTCAGGCTCAATCTTGAAGAGTCGTTGGCGGTGAACTGCGTCGTCAAATGAAATGTTGAAGTTTCGGAATTTCTCCTTGATCGCTTCCTTATCCTTCGTACTGAGCGACTTGAGGATGGCTGCCGAGTCGATGGCTTGACCTGTCGATGATGGCCGTGGCTGCTTCGAGGTATACTGCACATCCAGCAAGTATCCAGAAGACTCCTTCCACATATCCAGGTAACTTTGCGTAGCTTTCTTTTTCCAGCTGTCAATCTTGGGTTGTGCGCCAGCCAAGAGATTTTGTAATTCAGACGAGCGGACTGCACGCTCGATGATTGCCAGATTGTTGGCGATGAAGACACCCTGCATTGCACGGGTTTTGAGTTGAGTCTTGGCCTTGAGCTCGAGACTAGTAAGCAGTGCATCGATAGTATCTGAACAGTAGTGCGCAAATAATTGCTTGCCATCCGCACCGACATCGAAAGATTTCAAAGTTGGCACAGAAGCGCTCGATGTCACAGCGTTGGGCTGCTGCCAACCGCCGTCTCCAAGACTTCGCATGATGCTACTCAGAGGTGGTAAATAGGTGGTCATCACCTGCAATCTGCCCATTGCGTCGGACGTGATGGGCAGCGCACTGCAATCTGCTGGCAACTGTATGACCTGACTGATCTTGGTCCTGATGTCAATGATCAACGTGGAAAGTGAAGCCTTTGCGGTTTCTCGTATAGGCTTCAGAGCGTCATTCATCGCCGCTTTGAGCTCTCCCGTACGATTCTCAATTTGAAACGTCGTGTTGGACACCACGTCCATGATCTCATACGCGAGATAACAGTCAGTGACGAAGTGATTCCGTACGTGCGCGTCAAGATCTCGTAGTGTTGATGAGAAAACACGCAAAGACTCTTGACATGTGGCGGAGAGCACGGGTCCCCATTCCTCTCGACCGAAAATGGGACAAATATTGTCATATTCGGCAATGAACATGCCTTGTATACCGCTCGCATAAGTCTCGATGGCGCAACTGCCAGGCTTATAAGTGGCCGATGGGTTGACTTTTCGTGCAGTCGAGATGCAGGCGGTGGCCAGATTCTGCAACGACGAAGACAGGTACAGCCCTCTTTCTAGTGAATATATCTTCGCCGAGGGTGTCAACTCCCCAGACGGTGCAATTTGCGATATATTATTGGAGATGTGGCTGTTGATCGTCCTGAGCTGAGCCGATTTACTTGCAGCTATCCGAGGAAACTCAAGCCGCTGCATGATCTGCTTGAGGGGTTCGATGGGTTGCGAATCCTGTCGCAGAAGATCGCGGAAGACATTCTCTAGATTGCCAGTGCCCACTGCTAGCAATTTGCTCAGCTCAGAGATTGCATTCTGATTAGAGCGTATGTTGGTCATTTTGAGATCTCGCAATGCTTGGTTGGTGCGGTCTATGCTAGCAATGTATTCGGCGAGTCCAACTCTTTCCGGCTTATCCCTCAAGATCCGCTCTTCCTTGCCGCGCATGTCAAGAGGCTGCTTCACGCGTTCTATGGCTGCCAGGATTCTGTCGATGTTGGTGTTCTGTGCCTGAAGACGTTGTGTATTGCCATAGATGGGTCCGATTGCATCCTGCACCGTCCTGCCCGTCTCATCGAGTCGCGCCATCGAGCCTTGAATCTTCTTCGTCACCGACTTCATCTTATCCAAGCTGGCGTACAAGACCTCCACCTCGGCGGCCTCCTCCGCGAAGGCGGCATGGCGGTGGGCACTCATTCTGAATGTGCGCGCTGTCGCGCAAACTCCGCCGTGAAATCCTTAGAGACGTCGCATTCCCGTAAAGACTTGCTTCGACTAGGCGATCATGTCGTTGAGGTCGGGAAGCCTGAGCGGGCGCAATGTTTGGTGACGACGGTGTTCAAGATGTGTTGTATGTGGTTGGGTGTGGCCATGCATGCAGCCTGCGCCACATGTCTGTCTGTCGTGGATTTGAGTTCGCAGAATGGCGACGCCATCCTGTTCATTCTCATGCATTGTGGCAGTCGCTCTCACGTGGCATGCCGTCTCACCGAGAGTCTCATGACAGTCGTCCGGTTTCAGAACAACGCGATGGCACAATATCACGAGGCTCTATACGTTCACCTTGCAGTCCAAAATCAATAACCCCAATGCATTACAATCTCGGTTCAGATGCCACCTGCATACCTCGGAAACCTTGCCCAGGTGAGCTTCAATGTCACCTTCACCCTCAATCTCAGCCCTACATGACGAGACTCTCATCTGACTTTACGAGATATTCCGCTTCAAAGACAACACAGTTACGCGGATCGAAGAGTGCATTGCTTCGTACGCTTATCTACGTCGGAACGGAACACGACGGTTCCACCGGTCCGACTTCAGGTGCAATCTGAAGAGGAGATGCAGAGTCCGAGTCGAAGCTCGCAAATTCGTCATTCTAATCCCTTCTGCGGCCGGGTGATTCAACGCCTATTCCGCTCTTGAATCGATACACTTCCTTCGAACAAGATCACTGTGGGAGAAGCTTTGAGATCTGATGGTTCGATACATTCCGTCTCTGACTGTTGTCGTCGCGGGCCGAGGCAGATGCATCACTGTTGTTGACAGTGCTGGGATGACTAAATCACGAAGACATGTTTTTGATGAGTAAGCACTCTTGTCGCCACGGGACCTCGGGAGTCTCCCCATTGGCTATTCTTTGGCCGCATCCTGTAGGTACGCACGGTACGTAAAACTAGCTGGACAAGCTAAAACAATGATGTGACGTGCAAAGTCGAGGTTTAACTTCCAAGGTCGCGCTTCGACCTTGGAAAATGTCCTAGGGTTCCAAGGTTATAGTTGGAGATCCGCACGCAGCATTGCGCTTGTTTTCCTTCCATCATTTGTCAAGCCCACATCCTGCAAGGTCCTGGACGATCTTTCAGGCATCGTGCGGCTGAAAACCTTTCTGGCCCGGACCCAGCTCAAGTACAGTATCAATCTCATTCATTGTTGACGACACTGCACATCGCGTCAATGTACACTTACCACACGGATGTCAACACTGAAGTGCTAGGCTCTCAGAATTAACGGTCAACATGTGGCGCGCCATCAGTAACGTGCGGCGCGCCAACAACAATCGCATTTATGCGATAGCAATTGGAGCTGGATCGTCAGCTGCAGTGGGTTCCGGAATTTTGCTATACAAGGGCCATCACTCATTAGATAGTCACGATCCTACGGCTTGGAGATCTGCAATTCAGTATTCCGACAACAAGAACAGCGATCCGTCCAAGCAATCAAATAAAACCAAAGTCAGCCATGGACTTGTTCTAGAACCGACAGGTGCGAGTACTCAGCCGCCTCCTCCACAGACAAGAGGTCATTCTGTGTTTGACTCGGAGGGCGATTTGACTGCGTGGCAAAAGGCTACGGCCTCTGTTGCTGCCGTCAATGACACCTTCACAGGACTCGACTTGTCATCTGTGCGGGATACATTAGCACGTTTGGTTGTCCCGGGTTGGCTACGCTCGCTGCCCGGCTTTGTCGCCAAATTGCAGGACGAATTGTCCATGGCACCCTGGTCCTTGAGTCACGAAATTTGGGAAGAGGCACATGATCCTGAGATCAATCCGGAAATCGTCTGGAACGCAGAGGTAAGGATCTCTAAGGATCTGTGTGAGCAGGAGCAACAATTTCTCCGCTTGCGTCGGAAGCATACCGCCAAAGCTCTCGCCAAATACCTTAATGTCCCGGAATCAGAAATCCACCCTGACGATGTGCCTACAATCGCGATGTGCGGATCCGGAGGTGGATTGAGAGCACTAGTCGCTGGGGCGTCGTCGTATCTTTCCGCCCATGAAACAGGGTTATTCGACGTTGTCACGTACAGCGCCGGCGTCAGTGGCAGCTGTTGGTTGCAAGCTTTGTATTATTCATCAATAGGGGGCCTGTCTCACCAAAACATCATCAATCACCTCAAACATCGCATTGGCATCCATATCGCCGACCCCACCGCGGCCGTTGGATTGCTTAGCCAAGCACCTACCAACAAGTACATTTTGAGCGGCTTTGTTGAGAAGCTTCGTGGCGTTCCTGATGCTGATTTTGGACTCGTTGATGTATATGGCCTACTACTAGCTGCGCGACTCATGGTGCCCAAGGGTGAGTTGGGTGTCAGCGACTGGGATCTCAAAGTGTCGAATCAGAGCCACTATATCGACGATGGACGCCAACCGCTCCCTATCTATACTGCTGTTCGCCACGAAATTCCTACAGCACCCGGAGAAGATTTGGCTCAACAGGCCAAGGAGGCTCGGTTCCAGGCAAAACACTACGACTGGTTCCAATGGTTTGAATGGACACCATATGAGTTCTTTTGCGAGGAACTCGAAGCTGGCATTCCGACTTGGGCTATGGGACGTCGCTTCGAGGGCGGTAAGACGATGTGGCGAGACAATGGCTTCTCGCTTCCTGAGCTTCGCGTACCTCTCATGATGGGCATCTGGGGCAGCGCTTTCTGCGCGACTCTTTCACACTATCTAAAAGAGGTCAGCCCTATGCTGAAATCGTTCGGATTCGGCCGCCTGGACGCGATGCTTGCTGAGAAGGACGACGAATTCGTCAAAGTCCACCCGATTGATCCAGCAGTCATTCCCAATTATCTTCTTGGATTGAAGGGCCAGCTGCCCTCGTCTTGTCCTGACAGCATTCACGAGGCCAATCATTTGGAGCTCATGGATGCAGGCATGTCAAACAATCTGCCGATCTACCCACTCTTGCGGCCTGGCCGCAACGTTGACATCATAATCGCGTTCGATGCATCCGCAGACGTCAGAGGCGACAATTGGATCAAGGCTGTGGATGGATATGCTCAACAGCGCAACATCAAAGGCTGGCCCATGGGTGCAGGTTGGCCGCCACAAGAAAGCTCTGTGGAAGAGGTAGCTCAAGCAATGGACGAAGCAGAAGAATCGGCGGCAGCAGCAACCTCCCAAGCTGGTTCTTTACAGCCCCTTGATGGTGGCGCGAAGGCCAAAGACCTAGGGCACTGCACCGTCTGGGTGGGAACGACTGCAGAGCGTGCCGAATTCATGGAAGAACCCCCTTCCCATCGCCTTGATGCCGATTGCGACGACCATTCTCACCTTTCGCACCCAGACGCCGGCATCGCGCTAATATACTTCCCTTTTACCGCCAACGATAAAGTCGACGGCGTCGATCCTCTAAAATCCGACTTCATGTCAACCTGGAATTTCGTCTACACGCCTGAGCAGATCTCCCAAGTCGTACAGCTTGCACGAGCCAATTTCAAAGAAGGCGAAGCACAGACGAAGCGAACGATTGAAGCAGTCTGGCGGCGGAAGCGTGATGCTCGAATCCAACGGGAACGAGAAGAACGCGACTATCAGCGAAGACTCCTGCTCAGGAGAGGCCGTGCTGCAGCATTCCGCAATGGGGATGTTGGACAAGGTGATCAATTCAGTGGTGTTTAGTATCGGTGCTATCAACTGCATCATCGGAACCTTGCGCTCTGGGGATGGAACGCCCCTGTTACTCATCAGACTGGAATGCTCGCGGATTACTCATCGGACTGGAACGCTTGCGGATCAATCACCTAAATCCACCGGGGATGATCATCGCTCGATTGTCACGACTTTCGAGGGACCACGTCCATGCCGAACGTAACTCTCTGTGCTTGAGGGACGAGTGAGCTGAAGCAGTATCGTTGCAAAGCGGAAACATGTTGAAAACGTTCGCGCGTTTCGGTTGCAAAACACTATGGCATGCCAAGATCTTTGCAAATGCCTCGCGCTCCTCGCTATTCGGACATCGAAACCCCGAGATGCTACCTGCCTGAATAGGAGTCTATCTCGATCGAACTTGTTGCGACCACACGGCTATTCCAAACATCGTTGCGCTTCCTCGTCCCTCACGGCGCCCACTTCTCACCATGGGGTTTATCAGAAACATCAGAGATAGTGGCGGACTTGGCATCTGCGGCCTTTCGAGCTGAAAGCATGAGGGAAACGTCGGGAGGCTCGCACAACGCCAAGGCGTCGGCCAGGAGGGTGCATTTGAACCCTCTTGATCCTTGACCTTTGACTTGTCACGCGTGAAAGCTTCGCTGGTGGCCCTTGTACAATATGCACATTTTCAGGAGCCTTGTCTCTATTCCAAAAGCATGGTGGCGTATATGCATGTAACAACAATTGTCGTTGGTTGAGATACTTGCATTCTGCGTGGCCGCCAGTGAAGATCCCAATCTCCGTTCCTCCACACCCATTTATGCACCACACAACTGCATTCTTTCCATTTATCTTGCATCTCTTATCGTATCATAATTCAACTACTTTAAAACACTGTACGTACTACGCCTGCACATGTGTTGACGTGCATTGTCCCCGCCTGGATAAAGCTGGCAGCCAAGCCCATGGTTATTGCCAAGATTACTTTTAGCTGCCCTGGGCACCGTCCGCTCCTCCAGGATTCCCCTCCATCAACCACCCTTCTACGCATAACGGGTCGACGTTCCATCGAACACACGCCGAACCTCGTACTTGGCGTTGTAAAAGATACATCGTCGCCACATCGACCTCACTTTCTACGATTGTCCGACTCAAGCGAGGAGAAGCGAGCTTCGCCACTCACAGGCTCATTGAAACCATCACGCCAAGTTCAGCATCAATCTTACTAGCTCTCTCTCCTTTGGCAATGCCCTATCGCTCGCGGAAATATCTGATCACAACACATTGAAGCAGCTCTCCTCGGCTCGCACTGCCAAGCGAGCACGGTAACGTGTTCGCATGTACTCCCTGCACAGCTTATCGCTCCACTCAATGTACCTTCGCTCGTCTTCGGTTCTTTGAAGGTTTCTTGATCCTTGATCTGCCAAGCCCGGAAGGACCGCTCCATCGTCCAAGGCTTGAAGATCCCGTCTGCATTTGTGTCGTTCGTGGCGACCGTGGCTGGACACTGCAGTTGTCTCCCACGACTTGGTTTGCATAAATGTGCCATTGTACTGGTGAGAATCCTGTATCGCGAGGAATGATACTCTTTGAGTAAGGGTCCGTGCGATTGAATACAGCAGGCGCATGTCCTTGTGCCACCAAGCTATATCTGGAAAGTTTCCCGCAGACCAAATGTACATGGCGGGCAGGAGGGAGATGCACGAAAAGGTCATCGAGACAAGAGGGATGTCATATTGTTGAATGAGGGGTTCGCATGTTGTCATGATCTGGAGATACTTGTCTCATTGATTTGGGTAGGAACGGAAAAGTGACCATTTTCAAGGCCCCCGCTTCCGTATCTACAACATTCATCCAGGAAGACTCTTCGCGACAATCGTTTAAAGGTGTAATCTCAAGTGTTGGTTGCATCCTTGTGATGACAAAGCGGCAGAAACGCATTGTGCTAGCAAGGAGAGAGAAGCAGGTATTTCGCTACCACGAGTGAAACGAGATTATCAGAAGTTGCTGCAGTCAGTAAATGACATAATTTCGCAATTCATCGGTGGATATCTTGATAAATAAACAAAAGCTGTAGCGCTGTACAACGACATGCGCGTAGAAAGAAAAGAGACCACAAAATGATCCTATACAGAATATTCGAGAGCTCATGTCGCATGATCATCATATCCTCATCATGTCCCGTTAGCTAAACCATCGTTTTTCAAGCTTTCGGGGTCGCAGGCTTGCCCCTTGGGAACGAAATAGCGACCGATGCAGCCAAGCAGAACTTGATCCCCGCAGCCATCCAGAAGGAGGCGACAGGTCCGACCGATTTCCGCTCCAGCCAAGTTGAGATGAAAGCGCCGCAGAAAATGCTGATGACGGCTAAGACTCGACGATCACGCGGCTTGTTCTTCGTCGGCGCGACGAAGAGCTTCGGGTCGGCCGCGAGCGCGGCGTATGTGCTGGTGTAGACGGTGACAGGAATCTCATTTCCGAAACCAAGCAATCGGCTCGTGGCGATGGTCGCACCGGATTGGAAGGCCAGCGGGCCAATGGGAATGAGAAGACGCGGATCCCGGAGCACGGCTGCGGCGTTGCCGTGGAACTCGATATCTGAGATGAGAATGTGACCGGTGGCCAGGGCGGCAGCGATGGCGATGAGGCATGCCTGAATGAACATGTTCACCGTAAGCACCACCCGTCGCTTAGCGCCGAAGAAATTCGATACGCGTGTGCAGACGAAAGCGCCGAGGAAGAAGGAGACGAGGGAGATTAGTGTTACCGCCCATGCGTATGGCTGTTATTGGGATATGACTGTCAGTCTATGTTTCCATCGAGTCTGATGCTATCGAGCGAAATCTCACCTGGCCGTCCGGGAATCCGGCAGAACTCAAGCAAAGAATGACCGTGTTTCCTACAACCACCATCAGCTTAGGGCCTACCCAAAAATTGCGTTTACACTTTGAGGCTTGAACATACCGGTCTGCATGGAGACAAACGCTCCGAAATTGCGAAATGTACTCGTATCTAATAGCCCTGTGGTCACGCAGCATGCGAACAATAGCCAGTCGCCATATTTGGTCTCGATATCTTTGACCCAGTAGTCTCGAAGTGATGGTTTATTAGATGCTGCGACAGCAACTTGGTCGGATGCGTCTGACTCAGAGCCGGCCTTTTCGACGTCGGTGGATCTTGATTGGGCCATTGAAAATCTGAATAAACCAATTCAAAGCAATGTAGACGCTGCAAGGAGCCTATAGATTCTTGAGGTTGTTCTCACGACTCCAATACGTGACCACGCGAATTGCTTTTCTGGCTGTTGTGCTAGAAATTTGATATCGTTTGAAGGTCTGCGAAGACATAGACAGCGAGCTTCTTGTTTAGATTACGACTTGGCAGAGTTTGGATCCGATAACTCTCACGTGTCGTAGTAAAGGGACGTAAAGCTGAGTTGCAGTGACAAGAGCCTCGGTCTCCGATTGATAACGATGACGGTATGGACTTAGCCCTGAACGATATTGACGATTGTGAGACACCCCGAGGGCGAAGAGATCGTACATTGTAAATCTTTTTATTATTATTCGGTTGAGATGTGAGAAGTAGGTTTACTAGTGCAATGAGGTGTGGTCGAGGTACCATGTGGTCCAACGCCGATCGGATCCAGCGGGAGAGTACAGGGTTCATCCGCGCCAGGAAGAAACCGGGGAAGATTTAGACGGATCAAAGTATATCAGATCAGGACAGGGGAGGATTGTGCAATCACGAATACAGCATACAGCACCATACTGACGGACAACACAAGCAATACATTCTTCGTTCTAGTGAGCATGTTTCCTAGCATTGTTGTCGTCCGCATATCGGCGACTTGACCAGGAGTGGAAAAGACAATCGGGTACTGCGGATCGGCGCACGAGTCAGGGTCTCGAATCCCGATGTGAGAGGAGGTCTCGTCTGGTCTTTGCTTGGCATCGGGCGCGGTGGCTACGCAAATGACGATGCAGCTCTCGCAGTTCTGTCCCGTGCCAAGACGTGAAGAGTTGATAGTGGCTGCCCGGCTTGCTTCTTCAGGACTTGCCAAGATTCCGCAGCTCCACTCCACCCCGAAGGCCTCACGGGGAGCGAAGAAACGAGCAAGGTCGCTCATCCGTTGAGGAGAGCCTCCCAGCTGTGGGCGTCCCTCGCACCGGCATTCGGACGTCTCACCACATTCAATACGCGCATTCACAGTTGAGTTGGCAGTACGGTGGAGATGATATTATCATGGCGGAGCGCACCGCGGAGACGACGACGGGAACGGCGGGAGCATCGGGACACCGCTCGGCGCGTCTATCCTTGAAGGATGAACCGCAAGGGCCACAAAGTCAATGATGCACTTCACGTCTGTTATTAAGCAGGCAGCAATAAAAGGCCTGGTCCACCTCACAGCTGTCTGCTGTTGCTTCTGCCTTCGCGACATACTGCCAGGTACCGTACCCTCAACCACCCGCAACGATGATGTCGCAGGCGCATCGTGATGGCGTTACCTACGGAATTCCTTCAGCCGAACGCCCTCTGTCTTGCCAGTGATTGGTCGAGCTACGCACGCATGATGCACTCTTCGGGGTATTTCGCACCTGGGAAGTCTCGAAATCAAAGACCAGGCCGAAATGCGGGCGCCTTCTTTTTCGCGCCACTAACGCAAGCTGAGGTAGGCGTGTTACCGGAATGTAACACTTCGTCCGCAAAGAAACGTTCCTCTTCGGCGGAAATGCAGTCTAATCTTCAGCCACCCGCACATGGGTGCGATGATGCGGAGGATCAGCAAACATTGAGCATGGCGTGCAGGCACTTCGGCAATGCCTCCAGCCTTCCGGGTGCCCTCACTCAAGCCGCACTCCACCTGCTCGCGACGCTCTGGATCGATTGACAGACCTCACGCTGTGATATGATACGATAAGATCACGTTCCATGGATGTCGGTGACGTCGGCGAGCAGTATTTCTGTGCAGGTCTTCTCTTCCGACTTCATCCGACCTAAATGGCAAGTGCATGCCATTTATGAGGCCAAGCCGATGCAGCTCTCGCGGTTCGCACAGCGAAAGTACAGTATGCTCGTCACATATGGCTGAATCCAAGCAGTCGAGGTGGGCCGAGTATGCCTAGGCCAACTGCCATGGCCAAGAAGTGGCTCATTGAACCTCTGACATGTTCGACACAACCCTATAAACAATCATGGGATATGATATTGCCATCTAGGTAAAGATTCTGGGGCCATCGACCGATTGATCTGCCCTGCATTCAGCGCACTTCGACCTCGCTGTGTCAAATGCAGAATACGCGCGTGCCCGTAGACCGCAGTCCTTCAATAGTGTCATGGCGAATTTCGATGTCGATCCTGCCAAGGAACGAGAGTAGTGACAGGTAGACACCGAAAGCCACATGCGCTATTTGCATAGTCTATATGAAATGCAGAGAGATAGTGGAGGTCAGCTTTCCCAATCGCTGGTCAAGGTAGCGAGGACATTTCCCATGTGGAATGCACGCGTCTGGAGAAAGATTGAGCTTGCAACGCCTCCCGCTGAGCTTGCCGTTTATAGACAATGGACGTGATGGAGTTGAATCTTCACCTAGGTGAAATAATGTCTCACTACCACGCAGATCCGTTCAACCACTACGAACTTTGTGATCACCTCGCTAATGGCGCCAGGGCTGCGGTCGCGATTATCAAACAGTAAGCGAAGCACCGTCGGGGCTTGCTCATGCCCGGATCGACATTCGCGGAGTCGCGAGGTCGTTCAGCTAGGTATGATCAGCGGACATACCGACGGTCGTCCCAATAAAGCTCGCCTCCACATGTAAAATCAAGCCAAGAAAGGCGGTTGCTGGGCTTGCATACCAGCAGCCACAGGGTCGTATCCTTCGACGCGGCGTGAAGATACTCTTGTACCTAAGCCAAGGCGCGACAATGCTTTACGCCATTTGTTTAAATCTACATACGATAGGCTGTGAGGCGGTCTCACTTAGAGCCAAATTTTTGAGTTTCAATCGTCTTCCCACCTCAGGTCACGCCGCGTCGGATTCCGACAGCTCGCGATCGAATTCTTGAGTTGAATCTAGAGCAGAAGCTGTCCTTCACCTTCTTGCTTCTTTCATAGATGATGAGACCATGACGTACGCGAAGGGTATAGCTATAGAATGCATTTCGGAGGCAGTGCGTCGCGGGCTGATCTCTCCGAAATTAAGCGAGGGAGGCGTCCCAACCTCTTCGGGTCTGGTGTTGGAGACGACGTCCGAACGTGGTGCGGTATTAAGACGATAGCGTGATGATCAATCAAGGAGCCGCCAGCAAGACAATGGTGGCACCAGTCCCTGCGGCGATCACGTTGGACAGTCCCATGTCCTGACAGATGTAGATCAAAGGCTGCAGCAGTGGTACCGCGATTGAATGGCGGAAAGCTGTAACGTTAAGGCATCGTCGAAACGGCCAAGACTATCTCTATTGCGGAGATACAAATGCTAATCACGATTATGGTGAGAACGCTCTTGGCAGTTTAAGACTCGGAGTTTCGCGCTGGAGCAATCCGGACAACTGTAGACTGTGCGCGGGTTTCCGCAATCGTGGAGTATGTTTAGACCGAAATGTTCAAACCGAAAGCGACTGGGATTGTAGAGCGAAGGGACACCACTATTGTGGACATTTCGCTGTCGAAACTCTGGTCTGAACTAGCACCTCGTGCGTCGGTGTGCTCCGACTGTGTGTTGAGTGGGTCCTGCGTCCTGGTGATATGCAATGAAAGTGATCATCCCTTGGCGTTTTGCTACAATCTCATTGGCGCGGTATTGCTGCACAACAGCATGAAGTCAGCTTGGCACAATGCTCGAGCAGTACACTCACCTCGGATCAACGCTCGATAGCACCTCAGCAGCAACATCGTGTCATCGTCGATTGTGTATAAGAAGGATGAAGTCCATCCGGATTCTGGGATGATCATCAAGCAGCTTCCATCACTTTCCAGCACCAGGAATCAACCTCTCCACACAACTCTGCCTCCTTGAGCCTTGTCTGAAAGATCTTCCTCGCACATCGAATCATGTCTTCATCAGTTGTCTTTGCGCCTTTGAGCAATAGCCCTCCACCAGCAATCAAGGAGCAACTGCTTCCCAACGAAATTGAGCAGCTCGACCAATTGCCCGAAGCCGCGATTTCTTCTGGTCCCAACCCCGGTCTCTACCATGGCACCTTGATTCCCGCATCGACTCGTCTCCAGAACATGATCAAGAACACAACGCGAACCATTGTCTGCCCTGGTGTCTACGATGGTCTGTCGGCAAGAACCGCTCTGGAAGTTGGTTTCGAGGCTTTGTACATGGTGAGACTCGATCTTGGTGTCCATGGAAGAGGTCGTTCATTGCTGACATGTAATGCAGACTGGTGCCGGTACTGCTGCTTCCCGTCTCGGCATGGCTGATCTTGCGCTGGCTTCGCTCGCGGACATGCGCGCTCACGCCGAGATGATCTCCAACCTTGAGCCTCAAGGTCCTCCCGTCATTGCTGACATGGACGCTGGCTATGGTGGCCCAATGATGGTCTACCGTGCCGTCTGCGAGTACATCCGTGCTGGAGTCGCCGGCTTCCACTTGGAGGACCAGCTCCTGACCAAGCGCTGTGGTCACCTCAAGGGCAAGGCCGTTGTGCCTCGCGAGGAGTACTACGCTCGTCTCCGTGCCGCTCTGCAAGCCAAGAAGAACATGGGCTCCGATATTGTCCTCATTGCCCGAACTGATGCTCTTCAGAAGCACGGCATCGACGAGTGCATTGAGCGCCTGAAGTATGCCCGTGAGCTTGGTTGCGATGTCGGACTCTGCGAGGGTTTCCAGTCAAAAGAGCAAGCCCGCAAGACCGTCGCCGCGCTACCCGGTTGGCCACTACTAATGAACTCTGTTGAAAACGGAGCCAGCCCGCTCATCACTGTCGACGAGGCCAACGAGATGGGCTTCAAGCTCATGATATTCAGCTTTGCCAGCATTGCCCCGGCTTACCAAGCCATTAAGGGAACCCTTGAGAAGCTCAAGAAAGACGGTATCGTCGGTACCAAGGGCGAGATCACTCCCAAGAAGATCTTCGAGGTTTGCGGTCTGGACGAGCTCATCAAGATCGACATGAAGTCTGGCGGCCTTGCTTTCGCTGAGGGGGTCTAAGTTGTTGATTGTTCTGGAAGAGTTTTGGCGCATTTGGAGTGTCTTGGTCTGAATTTGTGGCAAGCCGGGTTTATATCCACTGGCAAGGAGTTTTGGGTTGGAAGTTTAGCAATAGCGACGCACCGGAAGATAGATCATCTACCCAGGGGTAGAAGATCATTGGTCAACCTCCTAATTTGACGAGCTTTCGTAGAAATTTGACAATGAAGAATTTCAATAATATACCACACCCTTGTTTCCATGATGGAAGTCCTACCGATGTCTCTTCGTTTCCCAGATGAAAACTTTGACGGTGCAGCCATCGTGAACATGCCGATGGAAATCGATGCTAAGAGGAGTCGTCTTCAGGAAAAGCCACTTGGCAATGATTGCCATTGGCTCGTTGAACAACTTACAGAGCTCTTATTTGTGCACCAGGAGACGAACAAGAATGACCTTGCGCTGCCCTCATCACGATGAAGTTGCATTGAATAACATCATCGACATCGTGCGCGACATACTGGCAGCGCAAAAGAAGATCAGTGATGACCAAGATATGATTTTCTATCAATGATGTCCGGATTCGGCAGCAGTGCTTACTCATCAGACTCGACTGGATAATGTCACGTGTCAACGCGATACTGGAGCCGCGCACTCGCGTACCAATTTCGGAACAATTGCGTAATGGGATGGCGACACTCGGCGGGAAGTTCTCCATACAGCACTGGAAAGCTCCAGCGCCTCACGGACAGTCTTCAGATTTGCTTCTGTCATGACGCTTCGATCGTGTAATAACAATTTCCTTCCTTGAACAAAGTGGCCTAGAATACAGCCGTGCATGGATCGAATTGATGACAAGCCGTCTTGTGTTTAACTTGCGTAGCAGATATGTACTGCCATTTCATGCTTCGAAGCATGCAGGTGGGAATCGATTGGAGAGCGCGGTTGTTGAGACACCATAAGGAGGTGGACAGTGGATTCGAACCATCATTGTCTTGCTCTCTGACACGGTACAAGCGCGCGTTGAGTTCCTTTCTGGTGACGGATGCGTGCGGTGCTCTGGTGGACGATGATAAGGTAGAGGAAATCTACAACCTTGATGTCGATGAAATTCGAGCTTCACCGCGGCGGCTGTATTCTGTCCAATACAGCCCGGTGTAGTCGTAGAACGTACGTTTCCCTCACAAGGACAATGATCATCACCTGAAGTGGGTAATTTCATCATCGTTAATGGACAAACGCTGCTATCGATCGCAGTGAAGAAGCGCGTCGCGAGGACGATTTCGCCCTCCATCCCACGCTTTTTGTCGCAGCACGAGAATCATTCCCCGCTCTTCGGCGGTGCGCGTCGTCGCAAGTGGGTGCAGACGTCAGACACGAAGCACGAGCACTGGCGCCAGCACCAAGCACACCAGCAGACGGACTGGGTGGATGATTGACTCTCCTCATGAACATGTCCCTGCTCATACAACGCTCTCTTGTTGTCACATCGCAGACTCGATCCGAAGGCTCGATCCTGGTGAAATTCGACGCGTTGGTTAGCGCTTCATCATATGTCGAGTGAGATATCTGGACCGCCGAGACCTCTAGTGCTCAACGAGAATCGCCGCCTCGTGCTAGGCGACAGTGTGCAGCGTCATATCACACGGCATATCTCACGAATTAGACTATTATTGACCGCCTCACGCGTACTCATACGCGTACCTCCCTCGACATGGTCATGGAAACATTGACTGCGACCAACTGCCTGACTTCATTGCACGCGCAAGCCGCAGATCCCCGCGCGTCGCAGCCTCTGATGTCGACACGCGCCATACAGGCCGGAGAGTCCCAGTCATATCCGCCAGCATCGCAAGATTCCGCCATCACAGTATCAACGGCCAGCGATGCCGATAGCATTCCACCTCGGCTACATAGCGTCGGGAGCGGTCTGTCGCAATTCTCAAATTGCACCGAGCCCAGCACGTTGTCGTCAAGATCCGAGAGGTTGGAGTATGTGAAAGATGGCGCACAGATACCCACATACCCGCAGCTTTCACAAGGGCCACACGAGGGAGAGCACACCACTCCCATATATCTTGGCCGAGAGAGTGCTGTGACAAGTCCCATGAGTCTGGCGTCGCCTGTCACGACGAACGGTACCAAGAGAACGGCCAGCGGTCACATCAAGACCACGTCCACCGCTTCGATCAGTCTGAACTCGGTCATCACTAATGGTCGCAGCACTAGGCGGGATTCAACGTCGTCCACTGGTAGCCGTGCCAGCGAGCTGGCTGCTAGTCTCCGGACACGACTTAGCTATGCAATGGCCAAAGTCCAACATGGATGGGAACATAAATCGATAGGTGAAGTCGAGCAGCTAGCGACCCGCAAGACTTCCACCCATCGGCATAGCATTTCTCTGGTCGGTCGGCCAACAAGCCGTCACGGATTCGGCCAAAGTGCTCCACAGTATTTCATTCACGAGCCCTATGGCAGCGCAACACACGACAGCACTACATCGCCGCCGTCCAAGCGGCATTCCAATAGCCATGTATCGCATAGGAGGGGCCTTTCCCTAGGCCAGTCCATCCAATTGCAACCTGCAGCAGACATCCGACCAACGACGGGCTCGCGCATGCATTATTACCCGCCTCCACCTCTCAAGCATGCAAGCAGTATGTCGCCGCCCCGAACGCCCGCGCAAAGGCAACCAAGACGCCCGCCTACTATACGTACCGAGACGCAAACTGCGGAAGCAGAGCGTGACGCACTCCAAGCACTTTTCCAGCTCGGCTCCCCTCGCACAGCGCAAGGGACGTCGTTCTTCCCCGCGGCCAGTCAGTCAACCTCTGCCCAAACCTCTCCATTAAGATCGGAATTTCCTACTCCACGAAGAGTTGCTTTTGCCCGGAGTGATAGCGACAACAGTAGTATGAGACATTCTAGTTCGGAGAGTAGTTTACAAGAAGCTAGAGATCGAATCATGGATCGTGCAGAGCGGCACGATGGCGCATGGAGTGGACGATGAGGCATCTTTCTGCATATAGATGACTATACTTGATGATCACAATCATGACCAAGGTGACTGATCCCTCACGTTCAACATCTCACCCTTTTGGGTTATGTATAGTCGTAGACCCTGTGAAATCGTGCATCCACAGGCCCAATACGCACGAACACAAGAATAGAAGATCGACTTCGTGTAATATGCTGGGCATAATCTGCTGTTACAATCCTCACTTTTGTCAGGTTCTTGGGCAAATCACGGAGTCAATCTTGCATGACGGAGAAGAGATTTCACAAAGGTCCGACTTCGATGAACTTCAACATTCGCTCATGCATACCTACCTAGGTAGGTGGTCTGCCAAGAGTGCAATTCGTAGCCACATACTGTACGATATCAGCAGCGCAGGATGATATTTGTCAACTTGTATTCGTCTGTGATCGTCCAGACCAAGACAGGAGGTCTCATATCATGTTTAGCATCTAATTTAATAAATGTGTGTTTGGTATTCCAGCGGCAAATGTCCGTTGCAGTATCATCAGTCCGAAGAAGGAGCTTATCTTCAGAAATGCAGGTGGGCGCTCAATTACATGAAAAGGCACCTGCAGCCGCTACGTCACGGAGTCATCCCAGAATGGGCGGCTGGTCGAAGCTACACACGCGGGCAAGCAATGCCTCCGCTTATCATTCTAGAATCGATCCTCCACACAGAGCACACGACCACCATTTTCCGGCTTCACATATCAATGACGGTTCGCTCATGGTCTGCTCCATGCGCTCTGGGGAGGACTCAACCGACTGTCTGCTATGCTCAAGTATCGAGCTATAGCTAGGTCTCATGGCTTGCATCACCATGGCCTAGCCAGACGCTTCCCTCTGCGCGGCACGCGACAGCTTCAGACGGCCACAGTCACCGATGGCGACATTGCCCGGCTCGCAGCGAAGCCTCTCCATCCACTGACGCTTGTCGATCTTTGCAAACATGGCCGGCCGCCACTGTCGAAACAGGCGCTTTTCAACAGTGCGAACTTTACTCTTGAAATCCTGCCATCCCGCCTCGCGCATCGTATCCAAAGCCTACGAGCCCTGCCGTACATCGTAGTCGCCAATCCACACGTGAGCAAGATCCACGACAACTATGTGCACTCAATGTCAACGTTATTGCCGTACGCGGAGAGGAAGATTGAGACATTGCAGGAAGAGATTGCTTTCACTGAAGCCATGGCGGACTTGGTACAGACACATGCCAATACTATTGCTGTCCTCGCTCGTGGGTTCCTCGAAGCACGGAAGTATATCAGCAAGGACGAGATTACCAAATTTCTCGATGAGCACCTGCGGGCAAGAATTGGAACACGTCTGATCGCGGAACAACATCTTGCTCTGCACTTCAGTAGCAAGCCCCACAATGATTTCTCCGACGGAGATGATCCCGAACAGTTCCGACAGATTCAGAACTCCAGTTACATTGGCGTCATCGACACTGCACTTAAGCCGGCGGATGTCATTCGAAGTTGTGAGCACACGGTCGGAGAGATATGCGAGCTCAAGTATGGCGTTCGACCTACTGTTCAGATCATTGGTAGCCCTGACACCACGATCGCCCATATCCCAATGCACCTCGAGTACATCATGACCGAGTTGTTGAAGAACAGCTTTCGTGCTACAATCGAGGCCGGCATGGAAAGAGAACCCATCGAGATCACTATTGCCCCAGCGCCAGCCTCAGACGAACCACAAAGTCAGACGAAAAGCTCGAAGAGCAACAAGTTCGATGGGACTGTCAGCAACGTGAGCCAAGGAAATGTCGACCATGCGTCCGGCGCGAATAAGCCTGTGCGCTCGGTCTCGGAGAATATCCGCGCGATCGGCGAACAGACACGGGGTGTAACGATCCGCATTCGAGATCGAGGCGGCGGCATCAGCCCGGAGAATTATGCGAAACTATGGGAATATGGATTTACGACTTTCAACGAGGATGAGATCATGGACAAGGTGACGGGTGGCCATAGCAGCGGCGGGTCTGGACTAGATGCTTTGAGCAGCGGAGCAGTCGGCGGCAGCAGTCTTGCTGGTCTGGGATATGGGCTTCCTTTGGGTAGAGCATACGCCGAATATTTCGGCGGCGGTATTGCGGTGCAGAGCCTCTGGGGCTGGGGCACCGATGTGTATGTCACTCTCAGAGGTGTTGGGAAAATCTCTTGAGATCCGCGCCGTTATGCATTGAGACGATGATCTTCAACGAGATAATGTTTCATGTGTTACAGTGCATGGAATCTTCACATGTCCTTCCGCCACATGGATTTCACCAATATTATTACTGTTACTTTCGGCAGACGCTCGATCAACTTTCAAATGGAGACTCGCATCCGCAAAGTGGCATGGCAGTGATTTGCTCTCAGATATAGTAGACACATCACTGGGTGTATGTATGTATCCCCTAGGTACATTTATATCGTTCATTGAAGATTGGTTGACTGTACGTCCATATACTGCACCCTTTTGCGGCATTTCCACCATGCGCGGCCACCAATTGGCGACGCGCGGGATCAACGGAAGCCAACGTTTTGGACGCGATTCAGTCGTCAGCTCAGCGCTGGCGTCTGCATGAACTCCGATCGTTCACACCATGCCCAGTTTGCCTGTCCTCTCCTGCTGGCATATCGTGAGAGAAATTCCCATCCCAATATTCGAAGCGTATCTTATCCCGCATTGCCCTTATCGCTACATCATTTCCCAAACACTAATCACCTCGATTTAACATTCGCTCTTCGCTATTTCTTTTTAATTTCTGCTATTTCTTCTTGCGTGATGCGACGAGTGTAAACCCCATTCCTTCGCGTCTTTCCTGGTGTGCACTGTGAGAGAGATCGGAACAGCTTGACAACGCTACGTGCTACATCTCGGAAGTCATCGACTGCGCAGCATCAACATGCGCTCGTGAGCTCAAGCGCTCCGAATTCTGCCCCATTCTTTCACTCGGCAGATCCGCGAAAATGCATCGCTCTAAAGCTGAGATTGATCGCGCTCAACGAATTACTCGCATTATGTCCGTTGTCGCGGGAACTTGCATCTCCTTGAGCTGCGGTACGGATCTCGTAGGCAGGCCGTCTAGGAACATTGCGCTGATTTAAACACTTACAGGCACGAATTATGGCTTCTCGGCGTGGGCGCCGCAATTTGCGGAAAAGTTGCATCTCTCGGCCACGCAGACCAATTTGATCGGAAACTTCGGCAACCTGGGCATGTATGCCATGGGAATCCCAGGAGGAATGCTTATCGACTCGCGCGGGCCACGATGGGGAGTTGCCATGGGATCCATCTGTCTCGGCCTCGGGTATTTCCTGTTGAAACGAGCCTATGATGCCGGTCCGGGCGAATATGGCATGGTGACCATGTGCCTTGCGTCCCTGCTGACTGGAGTTGGGAGTTGCACTTCATTCTCAGCGGCGATTAAGGTCTGCGCGACGAATTGGCCAAAACACAGAGGTACCGCGACAGGACTACCTTTGGGTGCGTTCGGTCTCAGTGCTTTCTTTTATACTGCCTGGGCAGCAGCTCTTTTCCCGCACGATGCGTCAGGTTACCTTGGTCTGCTTGGGTTCGGAACCACGATCATGACAGCGGTTGGCATGCTATTTTTAAGCATTGTATCAACGGAGGCTGAGACGAAATACACGTCAGTACCTCGCAAGAGAGAAGAGAGCCTTGACCGCGCGTTCAGCAGAAATTTGAGCACCAACAGCAGCAATAGAAGTCGGGTCAGCTCTCCGACCAGGGGTCGCAATGTTTCTGGAAGGTCGGGCGTCAACACTCCGGAGCTGATCAGAGAGGAAATTGCATCCCTACTCGATGTGTCCGGATCCTCATCGCCCATGCCTGGCGATATCGATGCTGCCTACCACTCTTCATCCGAGCTTTCTCGGAATCGTTCGTTGTCTGGGCCGGAGCTCAAGCGGGACATCACAGGCTGGGCCTTGGTCCGCACTGTCAAATTCTGGCAGTTCTTTCTTATGCTGGCACTACTTGCGGGTGTGGGGCTTATGACGATCAATAATATCGGCAATAATGCCAACGCACTGTGGCATCACTTTGACAGTGGCGCTACGAAGAAGTTCATACAGTCGCGGCAAATGCTTCACGTCAGCATCCTCTCAATTTTCTCCTTCCTCGGACGTCTGGCCTCGGGCATTGGCTCGGACTTTTTGTTACATCGTGGATTCAGTCGAATGTGGACGCTCGTGGTTTCCTCGGGCGTGTTCCTGATCGCGCAAGTATTCGCGCTTACGATTGGAGATCCTAACTATCTATTCATGATATCATCTCTATCCGGATTGGCTTATGGCATGCTCTTCGGAGTCTATCCCGCCCTCATCGCCGACGCTTTCGGCCCAAGCGGGATGGGTATCAACTGGGGATGCATGACCTTGGCGCCCGTGCTTAGTGCAAATGCTTTCAATCTCATCTATGGAAGCATTCTGGATGCGCACAGCACGCTCGAGTACGACGAGGATGGTCATCTGGAGAGGATATGCGACGAAGGTATTGCCTGCTACCACAACGCGTACTGGGTCACATTGGCAGCTAGTGTATGCGCTGTGGGCTGGAGCTTATGGTGTGTCGCGAGAGAAGAAGCGCAGGCCAGGAGAGAAAGAACCAAATGGGAACGAGACGAACATGAGCCGTAAAGGCTTCTCCTTCACTACATAGACTTTTGGTTGTTGTTCTGCGAAATACAATGGTTTTTTGGTAATGGTCATCCATTCCCGAGACCACGATACCTGCGCTTGACCTGACACTGGGCAACGGACTGCAGTGGACCAGAAGTCTTGATCATGCATGGCACCTCTATAGCTGCGGCAACATAGTGATCATGCTAATCAGCAACGGCCGAAACAAGAACCGGAAACCAGGAACGACCGCATATAGCTTTGTCGCATGGCTTGTGCACTAAATCAATGCGGCGGTCGTGGATTATTTTGAGCATAAAGTGGTTCGGCCCACGTGTGTTGCATGACGTGGTTGGTTGACATCCGAACTTTGGTCCCCTCAGCAACGTTGAGCCCAAACAGTCCATTCGCGCAGCTTGGCTACACGGCTTGCCCGCGTCACCCTGTATCCAGAGTCATCTTACTTCAAGTCACCGCAAATGAATAAATCATGAACTCGATGTTGGACAATACGATCATGACGACTTGACAAATGTGTGCGGGCTAATTTAACGACTTGCCAAGTATGTCGCAAGCACCCCGCGAGAGAGACCCTTCGAGTCGCAGGGACAGGAAAAAAAGGACACATCAACGAAGCGAGAGCAACGGAGAACTGCTTGATCCATCAGAACGAGAACCTCATCAGACCAGTCCGTCGAAATCTAGACCCAAGCCGGATCGGCATCGCTCCAGTGAGAGGCGGGCCAGACGGCCGGACTCTGAAAACACCAAGACAACCAGCAGCGGATTTTCCACAGAGCAGCTCGCGGCATTGGACAAGCGAAACGAGAAGCTCGGTTGGTCAGAGTACGACAAATTGAGACCGTCGCCTCGACGGGAAGAGGTTGAGGATCGTCGCGACAAGCGTGCATTGCGCGACTCTGGCATCAGAGAAAGAGATCGTCGCGACAGAGGAGGCGCACGCGATGACGACAATGAGCGGGAAATTGAAAGGCGGGAACGAGCGAGGGAGCGTGAACGGGAGCGGCGGAGACAAGAACATCGGGAGCGTCGAAGGCAAAGACGTGGGGAAGAAAGAGCGGCGGACAAAGCAACGGGCGATGAGGATGAGACGCGGGGACTTGCATACAACGAGTCGAAACGAGCGCGAGACCGTCCGCGTGACAGCCAGGGCCGGCGAGTTGTAAGTGGTCAGAAGCTGGAGCAAGGTCCGACGAAATATTACAGCGATAAGGAGGAATTTCGAGACGACGTCCGTCCGTACGATGGCAGTGACAGTACAAATACCGACGGAGATGATCCAGAGAAGAAACGGAAACTCAGACGGAAGATTTTTATTGGAATCGCCATCCTTATCGTTCTTTTGCTCATCATCATTCCGGTTGCCGTCGTTGTGTCCAAAAAGAAGAGTGCTCCTGGCAACGATAGTTCTGGAACCAGCTCATCCCAGCCTGGCAACAGCGAATTGGATGGCTTATCGGAGTCAGACCTGCCTAAAAATGTACAAGGCACGATACTTGACCCTTGGACGTGGTACGACACGACGTCTTTCAACGTAACTTACACGCCCGAAACTGTTGGCGGTTTGAGTGTCATGGGATTGATGAGCACTTGGGACGATAGCAAGCAAGCTAACGCGAACGTACCGCCGCTCAATCAGCCATTCCAATATGGAACCATGAAGATCCGTGGCGTCAACCTTGGAGGGTGGCTAAGCATTGAGCCATTCATCACTCCATCGCTATTTTCAAGCTATAATACACATGACGGTGTTGTTGACGAATATACTCTGACCCAGACTCTGGGACCAATGAGATCCAAAAGCATCCTCGAGAAACACTACGCAACTTTCGTTCGCGAATCAACTTTTGCAGAAATCCAAGCAGCCGGATTCGACCACATCCGCATCCCGTTTTCCTACTGGGCGGTTACCACATACGATGGCGATCCATATGTCCCTCAGGTATCCTGGCGTTATCTCCTCCGGGCGATCGAGTGGGCTCGAAAATATGGCCTGCGCATCAATTTAGACCTACATGGTGCCCCGGGTTCTCAGAATGGTTGGAATCACTCGGGACGACAAGGTACAATCCGATGGCTCAACGGCACCGATGGGACGCTCAATGGCCAGCGGACGATCGACATCCATAAGCAGCTGTCAACGTTCTTCTCACAACCGCGGTATAAGAACATCGTTACGATGTATGGTCTTGTCAACGAGCCTCGCATGGTCTCACTCAACGCAGACACTGTGAGACAGTGGACGCAAAGTGCATACACCGCAGTTCGCGCCAGCAACTTCACCGGAATCATAATCTTCGGTGACGGTTTCATGGGTCTGGATAAATGGCAAGGTCAGCTCACGAGCAATCAAGGACTTCTCTTGGATGTGCATCAGTACACCATTTTTAACGTCCAGCAAATCGTCCTGAACCATCATGACAAGATCAACTTCGCCTGTGGCGGGTGGACAGCACAGGCGTTGCGATCTTCCAATCCCTCAACAGGGTTCGGACCAACACTCTGCGGCGAATGGTCCCAAGCCGACACCGACTGCGCACGATATCTCAACAATGTCGGTGTCGGCTCTCGATGGGAGGGGACTCTTAACACGGCATCCACTCCCGGTGGCAGCGCCGACGGCAGTGTCCTGACGCCGACCTGTCCCACGAAAAACAACCCCCGATGTTCCTGCGACCAAGCCAATGCCGATCCGAGCACATACTCGCCCGAGTACAAGCAATGGCTACTCATGTTCGCCGAAGCGCAGATGGCGTCCTTCGAGAACGGCTGGGGCTGGTTCTACTGGACGTGGCAGACAGAATCGGCAGCCCAATGGAGTTATCGCACCGGTTTGGCGGCTGGCACTCTGCCGCAGAAGGCATACGCGCGAAGTTTCAATTGCTCCTCGGAGATTCCGCAGTTTGCGAGCTTGGGACTGCCCGAGTATTATTGAAGTGGAACATGGCATTCGATGGACGAAGTTTCTGTTTTATGGCAGGCATCAATGCGATCCATTTTAGCGTGGGAATATTGTATGAATTATGATGATGGGCTATTTATGGTGATTGTCTTAATGGAAGACGGTCGGTTCATAGAACATACAGCTACGTGGTATTTAGGGCGTCCGGCATTGACACTTTAAGAGATACATATTACTCGATCCTTATCGGAACTCGATCCCCGAGGTCATTGTGAGACATGGCCGAGATAGTGGAATCGATCAGAATCAAATCCACTTACACCTACAGTGGCTAAAGCGCATTCTTCCTCATATGCACCTACCTGAGCAATGATGAGGGATGACGTACAATTCGAGGCTAAGGTCTACTTGGCATTGGACATGTGCATCGTGAAAATGAAGATCGAGGAAGATCCCCTATTATACTGATGATTGTTGTGTAGCCCCGCCGATTCCGTTATCTATGCTATCTTCTCGACCTATGGCATGTAGTCGTCGCGTATCACACGGCACTACTCTCTGACCAATATCGAAGATAGTGATTCTCCTCCAGACCAATGGCGCATGCTACTGGCGTGGATAGCTTAAGCGATACAAGGTTCTGGCTACCGTATGCGTATCACTGAGCCATTGCATTGCACGAGTGCGGAGTAGTGTCTCGCTTCTGATCATATAAACTTGTGTTGTATCGCGAGAGTCTCGACATATCAAATTTAGCTACAATCTCCCGCAAGTAAATCGAGACCAATCCTAAATCACTTTCTCGTCTACAAGCGAGATACATCGATCGCGCAGTAATATCAACGCTGTAGTCACCTAGACTATCCTGAAGATATCAAGAACATGGAGTCAACACACAGAAACGACGAGCAACATGAGCCCAGGGTTTCCTACGGCATTGGAGGCGCTGGAAACATTCGTACGCTTCATGTGACCATGGTTGATAACTGCCGCTGACAGATTCGTTTAGGACGGCCATCAGAAGCAAAAGTTCCTGAAGAAGAGGTCGAAAGAGCAGGTAAAATTTCAGTCATTGCATGGATGACGAAGCATCCGATCAGTTAACAAAGAATCTCTCGTCAGGCAGTACGTGCCGCAAACTTTCCACGACCGGTATCTCGAGCGAATCTTTCCTTGATAGGCTTATTCCAAGCACATCGCAGCAGAATGAGCAAGATTCAGCTTCGACAAAGAAGTCATGAACATGTACCTCTCGGGGAAGCAATGTATGATTCAGTAATAGCCTGACTGCGTCAGATTGGTGGTGATTGGGAAGAATGTATGGCATAGGGACGCGTATGCATTCCTATTCTCGACACCGGGCGAAAGCGCTCTATTGTATTTTCTTAGCTGTCTCTTGTTTTCTAACGACCTCGGATAACATGCAATGGAAAATCCGAGTGTGCGATGCGCTCCCGCTCCTGCTTGTTCAAGTTTCATGCTGTATTCTTGCTAGGAACAACGATGTTCTGGGGCTTGCCATTTGCGAAGCCCTCAATGTTGCTCTTGATCGCGGCCAGCGTCCCTTCGATTGTCCGAGAGGAATACCCTGGTTCGAGTCAGCCAACATGCAAAGCATGCAAACAAATGACGATAGGTTGGGACGTACTAATGGAGAGTCAGCATAGTTTGGAGAGGCTTCTTCAGTTTGTGTGATACATACCATGCTACATGGGGACTCAGCAGCAGGTTTGGAACGCTGCTGTCAAGAAGCCGGCAGTTCTCCTTTGTTGCCGGTTCAATCTCGAACACGTCTGTCGCAGCGCCAGCAAGCTTTCCGCTCTTGAGTGCATCGACAAGGTCTTGCTCGTTGGTTACGCCACCGCGACCTACGTTCACTACAAGCGCAGTGGGCTGCATGGCATCGAACTCTTTCTTACCGAACATGTTCCGTGTGGTATCATCCAATGGTACAACGAGGATGAATAGAGTTCCTCGCTTCAGAGCTTCTTCAAAAAAGGTACGTCCTGGACGGACTTCAATGACGCCCTTGCGCTCAGCAATCAAGACTTGCATGCCCAGCGCTCGTCCGATCCTCTCGACTGCCTTACCTGACATAAATTTAGTAACTTGACTACGTCGTCTGAGAGGGTTTATGATGAAGCACCTATCGCTCCATAGCCGACGAGTACGAGAGTCTCCTCGCCATTGGTCCTGGGCGGAGCCCCCATTTTCTGATAGATTGCATTGTTCTTGCTCCATATACCACCATCGATGGTCAAAGTGTGCATTGGCAGAATTTGTCTTCGAAGAGCAAAGAACAAAGCGAAGGCGTGCTCGCTGACACTCTCGGTGTTCTGAGCTGGCACATGGCACACCGCTACGCCATGCTGACGTGCGGCGACCTTGTCTACGTGATCGGTCCCGGTGCCATTACAGGCTACCAGCTGCAAATTGGGAGCAGCCTCGATCGTGGCTCGGGAGACAGGTACCATAGATACAATTATGATGGTCGCATCTTTGACTAGGCTTGCAATCTCCGTCGGGTCGGTCGTATTGTGCAAGAATAAATCATGATCAATTTCGAAGGGAGGAGGCTTGACCCACGAGTCGAGCGCGACGACGTTGTGCTTGATAGGTTGAGCCATAGCGCCGGTATCGTGGGATTTATCAATCCTGTCAATTCGGGGGCAAGTCAATGAAGAAGATATAACAAGCAGGCAGCTCGAAATAATCGTCTCGTCAAATCTTAGTCACACGGAAAAAAATTATATCGTGAGGAAAAGCAGAGAGCAAAAGACATAAAGGTGTTTGAACCTGTCGTTGTCACAACCCTAAGAAGCGCTTCGACCTTGGAAGGTTGGTCATACTTTACATGGCGACGACCAGCCACTCGAAGGGCGCATCTGCAACCCGAGGTGACGCCGATCTCTACCACGCATTCGTTGAAGTAGGGTTGACGATGTCGGCAATGTGACTATCATCACTGCTATTGAGCAATGATGAACGATTGCAGAGTATCTGGAATCTCGCAGGGCTACTGACCAGGTCAAACGAAGAGGTGGTCCGAGATACGGCAACGACGCCGACTCCAAGTTTCTCTGCCAGCGTGGCTTATCTAAGCATAGCGACATGCACAGCCGTTTCACCAGTAGTGCAGTCTATAGAGACCACGAACATGCAGATCAACCCATCTCCGTGCAGTGCTGTTTGCATTGGAGACGGACCCAAGCGATAAAACCTGGTCATAGTGTCCATGCGGCGCCGGAATGATGATGTATTTCGCACCATCTCGAAAACCCATACATGAACAAGTCCCTGACCCTGTGGTGAAGTTACCATCATGGCGGCAGAAGCACCATCGCCAGGCCGACAGATGTCGTTGATTCCATTCACGGGCGACTCCAGAGAAGTAGTATTGTATGTACTGTGTGTTATCGACACTTCAGCTCCGTTCTAACACTCCGTCGCAGACAGCGGGGAAATGCAGTCGTCTTATACGATGCCCAATCGCGGCTGCTGTCAGTACGGCAAGGTTCAGACGATGAAAATACAGAGCCTGCCGTCTGTCCGCTCTGTCACCAATCACTCCATGAAAGGCGATCATCTTCTGAAAATCGCGGTTACGATCCTGACTACAAGTCCGACCGTCGATTCGTTGATCCCGAGTACTTTTCCATGCTTGCAGAGAGCCAGCGACCATCACCAGCCGGATCTGGAATAGTCACTCCGAACGGTCGCGTCCAATTAGCACTCCGATCTGGTCGTTCCCGGGATGTCAGTGGTTCATACTCAGCGCCGCCGGCTCATTCGGACTCGCAGACTGCCGGGCCGTCTACCTCACGAGGTCGAGGCATCAGTAGCTCTGCCTTCAGTCCTGGCTACTTCAACCAATTTTTCAAAGAGATCACCGAGCTCGGCCGAGGTGGAAACGGGGTCGTGCTGCTCGTAGAGCACGTAATTGACGACGTCCCGTTGGGACAGTTTGCGTGTAAGCGGATTCCTGTTGGCGACTCAAGATCACATTTCGAAAGAATCATCATCGAGGTCAGGCTGCTCCAGAAGATACCGCATCGTAACTTGGTCGCCTACCATTGGACTTGGCTAGAGGATCATCAGCCTGCAAAATTTGGACCCAGCATTCCATGTCTGTGGATTTTGCAGGACTATTGCAACGGCGGCGACCTCCAGTCCTATGTGTTGGGACCTAGCTCAGACATGTCTTCAAATGAAGCACTCAAGGCACGTCTCAGACGAAAATCGCGCGGCGAAGCCAGTCCTGCACGTGCGACGCTGGGGTCCAGCAGGCTAAGCTTCGACGAGATCTTCTCCTTTTTCAAAGACATTACCACAGGTCTGCATCACCTGCACAGCAAAGGTTACATACATCGCGACTTGAAGCCTTCGAACTGTCTGCTTCAGCACGATGATGGACGAACTAGAGTTCTGATATCGGACTTCGGCGAGGTTCAGCTTGCTGGCGACAACAGAAGATCCACCGGAGCAACGGGTACCGTAGCCTATCTCGCGCCTGAAGCTCTGCGACAGTCTGCAGATGGCTCCTTTCACAACTTCACAACCAAATCCGATATTTTCTCCCTGGGCATGATTGTCTATTTCATGTGCTTCGGTCGACTTCCCTACATTCATGCCGATGGCATCAGTGAAGAGGATGAGGATCTGGATCAGCTGAGAGCCGAGATCACCCGCTGGCCTGGTTTCGACGACGAAACTCGCCCTCGCTCCGACCTTCCGGAGCGGCTGTACAAGTATCTGAAACGGCTCCTGAGCGTGAATCCAGATGACAGACCAGGAACAGACGAGATCCTTTCTAGCATCAAAGGCGGAATCTCCCTAGGCGACGCGAATATCGCGCAGGATGACTACAACACACGCCTCCCCGGCATGGATCATTCGGCGCGGCAGTCGAGGCGAACTCCCTTCCTATCAGCACCTGGGGCTCGTCCCACTAGCCGGGCCGGTGGCACCAACATTGATTCACGATCCCCAAGTCCCATGAAAAAGCAGCAAGCGAGTGAGACCGACCCTTTGCTACCACCAGAGACTTCGACCACTTTGGGCCTACGCCAGACGCTGAGTAACGTCCCAACATTACGACGCAATGACTCGGCACATCCCAGTCCTCGCCTCTTGCTTCCCCCTCCACCTCTCACCCGGCAAGAACGCTACATACAAAACGTCACACGTGCAGTCCAACAACCTGCCGTCCTGCTCACACTTCGCACAGGTCTGTTTCTGGCCAAAGTCGTCTCTTGCGTAGCGCCTTGTTCGAACAACGCAGTGCAACCCTGGCTTCTCTATCCACTCCTGATGTTCGCTGCAATTGACCTCGGAGAATTTCATCTTCCCCTCCGGTATTCAATACTGTTGCTCCTGCTACATATGGCCGTCGTCCTTGTGGCTACTCGGCAGGACGTACTCTGCGTGGGAGGCTGAAATTCTGTCTGATATCCGGCTCGATTGTTTCTACTGCATCAAGGGTAGACATTGACTGGTTATTGTCGGCACATTTACCAACGAACGCATCACTGCTGGCGGATGTTGTAGCCTACTCTCAAGTATCACAACGCCACAGAACCAAGCACCGAGGACATATCTCATTACTTCGAGGCGAATCTCAATTAGCGAAAGCAGTAGATATACATATCTGCAATATCAAAGCAAGTCCAGATATCCAACACTCGCCCGTTCAGTATTCCATAGCAATCGAAGCAAAGCTGCCTAATGATTGCTCAAACGCCGGCATCGTGCGCCACAACACCGAGAGGTGAAGCATACGCATTCCAATTTCGACATGTCCGGTCGAACTGGCCTGCATCAGCAATAGTACCATTGATTCCATCAAGACCCTCGACAATCTGCAACGCGAAGCCCATCGCATTATGCCACCCGAGGTGACAGTGCAGCAGCCAGACGCCGGGATTATCGGCGAGATAGGCGATGACGAGGTGACCTGAGCCAGGCATGAGGGCGACATCACGACGCGGCGGGTTATTGAGGTTCAAAGGAATGTTTCTGTTGTATAAGCCCGGACCTTGTGCGAGAATGAAAAAGTCATGGCCATGGAGATGGATGGGGTGCGGCACCGGCAGGATGGAATCCATGATGATGTAGATCCATTCGCCCAGCTTTGGCGCTTCGATAACCAGATTTCCCGTGTACGGGACCTCGCCGTTGGCGATGATGCCGCCCAGAGACGGGTTGCTCCATTCGGTCTGGAAGAAAGTGTTGCTGAGGGTCCAACGGAAGACATTGGGGTTGACGGGAGCATAGGGTGCGATGAAGATGCGCTCGTTGACCTCGTCGGCTGCAGCGCCGACAGTGAGCGGGACGACGGGAACCAGATTGGTGGCTGTCTCGTCCCTACACTCCTCGACGTATGCGTAAGGGCTGGAATTCGGGTTGACCGGGCTCGCGCCATCGTAACGAAGAATAGCTTTAATGTCCTTGCCCTGTCTGATGGAGCCGCAAGTCTCTTGGTTATCCGAGCGCATCCAGTAGTTGCCGGGAACTTGATCCGTCTCGAGTACGATGTCGTAACGTTGGCCGATATTGACATTGAGGATGGTGGTTTCATATGGAGTGATGGGGACAAAATCCGTGGCGATGACTTTGAACTTGTGGCCGTCGATTTGAAATTTCCAGGTAGCTTGAATGGAGGCGCTGATTATGCGAAGGAGATATTTCTTGTTGGGCTTGACATTCAGCACGAATCTCTTGCCAAGCTGGTTAGAGTTACTGTCGGGCCCCCAGGTGTTGAGGCCGTTAATCAGACCTGTGTCAAGGGTACGTGGGCCGTTTGCTGGGAACGGACCGACATTTTGCGCAGCATCGATCATTTGGTCGACAGGTGTGTGACTCCAGTCAGACAAGACGATAGCCTCCTCGTAGTCGTACGCCAATGCAGTGGGTCCATGAATCACAACCGGGCCAAAGAAACCTTCGTAAGTCTGGAGTGCAAAATGAGAGTGATACCAACTCGTGCCGTAATTGTCGGCGCGGAATGTGTATGTGATGCTGTCACCGGGTGCTACTGGGCACTGAGTGATGGAAGGAACTCCATCCATTTCGTTTGTCTTGAACTGGCGAAAGCCGTGCATGTGTAGACTACTTCCATTGTTTTGAAGTGTGTTGTGTAACGTGATAGAAATCCAGTCGCCCCAATTGGCTTCTACCTTCGGGCCAGGCACCTGACCATTGATCGCAAGAACGTAACGCGCAACGCCATCGGGAGCTATCGTGACATTCTGCAGAGTGAATTCGTATTTTCGATGGACGCATGTTTGAGGAGTGTGCTCATAGCTATTGTCGCGAATGGCATAGCCACAGAAGGCATTGGGATCGTTGCCAGGTTGACCATCGCAGGGAACACAGCTAGGCCCGTAAGGGTTGGGGCCATCCACGCGGGTGGGTTGGGCTGAAGGCGTTGGCTTGCTGGTCTTAACAGAGCTCGAAGTGATTGGAATAGAAGCAGACTTGCTAAGGTCGCCTTTGGTCTTCTTGGTCGGCCGAACAGTGATTCGGGTAGTATATTTAGCTGGAAGAGTCGGCGCAACAGGCGTAGTCAGCGGCACAGTCACCGGGATTGTATCACTGCCGTAAGTAACAGTGCTTGTTACAAGTGTGACGGTAGTGTGATACACAGAAGTGATTTTCGAAGTCAAGTCGTAAGTTTTGGTGACAATGTTGCCGCTGTGGGTCGAGACCTCGGTCACAGGACAGATGGTGGTAAGAACAGTGGTGGCTTTAGTAACAGTCGTAGCCATTGGGCTCTGGATAGCCGAAGATGTGTAATTGCTGGCAGAACATATTTTCGGACAGGTCGTTGTGGTAAGTGTCGTTGTCATAGTAATTGTCACGTCCTCCTCGTTCACAGGAGCCGCGAAGACATAGCTCGCCAAGGCAAAGAGGCTCAAGAAGATGGGCTTCATATTGGACGAGAAAGAAAATTCGTTGAAATGACGGTTGATCAAGTGGGTGTAAAGAGAGTGGTCGTAACGATGAGATCTCACCAAAATGCGAGGCTTATAATGAGGGAAGCCTGCGTCTGGTATGAACCAAGAGGAATAAAGAAAAATGAGTGCTGAGGTGACAAGAAAATCGGAGCTGCGGAAGACTCTCAGACATCTTTACCTACCATCACCAGTCATATATCTTGATGCGTCGCCGTATTGCCAAGGGGAATTACTGCCTGCTTCATCATGGCCACGGGACATACCATCGGGTGCCTTGCAGGGTGGCTTACAGAGAGCAGAATGAAACGACTCGCCAAGGAAGAACTTTAATGATACGGATGTCTGCGATCCTTGTAAGAGGCGTATCATACGACAGAGAGGCGAGAATGTCATAGCCTAGACATCGACGCCTCTATGAATCTGGGAGGCATGTCGGAATGCTTAGCGGCATGGCCGAGGATGCACCTGTTGCGGAAGCACATCCCTGAGGGACCGATAGCTTGTGAGAATAAACATGAGATAACATCGCCGCGAGTACCATTGTCCCAGGAGTCGGATCTGGCTTGTTGGGCGTCAGCAGAGAGGCTTTAGGAATCGATGATTATAAATGGTCGACTACCAGTATTTGTCCAGGGACGACGATGTCGAATGTCCTGGTCAGGATCAGGCACCATCTACCCCGGCTAGCGCGTCGGATGCCTCAGCCCGTTCTCGCTTGGCCAAGCTAGGATTAGCCTGGTCAGGGAAATCCGGAGTGCATACAGTACGTTCTGTACACGTGCGAGATAATGATGACCACCACCATGAGATCAGGGCCCATCCATGCATGGCGACGGAAGATGCTGCTGAGTGAATAATCAGTCAATTTGAATTAATTGCTGCTGACATTCATCCCGCAACTGCATGGATCTTACTACACGTAGTCCCGGTGGGTAGCCTGAGCGTCCGTCGAGCACCACATAATTACCTCGTGGTTTGTTATGCGTGTCAACTTTGGTTGTCGGCACATGTCGTGTGTATAGTAAGTACTACATACATGCAGGACAGCACGTCCGTCTAATCCCTGCTGAAAAGAAATCGTGCCTGAAACCTCCTCGACGCAAAGAGGCTGTTCATACGACAAGATTGGGTGAGGCGTGCCGCTCGCATGGCAGAATCACCACGCGCCGTCCACATGAGAGCGTGCTTATTATTAGCAGCAGTCGACCGAGCAGGCTGTCCCAAGTTGATGATGTTGCCTAGATGTTTCGAACCTCTGCTCGCGGATGCGAATCTGCAATTTCCGGTGGCTTGTTCCCGGTCCGAAATTTTACTTCGTTCTGCCTCGACTGGGGGGCAATTTCCAGGCACGGATTGAGCAAGAGCATCAATCCGTGCCTGAAAATACAGTAACAATGACGAGCCCCTTCAATCTACCAGGAAAGGCAATCGATCGGAACTCTTGGCGGGCTGACCAATTCCTTTCGTAGGCAGTGGATATACCTTTTAGGGGCGCATGCTCGCCTAGGTTTCTGTTCCACGATGATCCCGGAGCATGACAGGCAAATTTCGTGAAGAAGCGGAGTCATACAGCATCATATCACCCATCGAGGCGTAGCTGTTTCGGATGGCCTCTCGGAGACTCGCTGTTCCTCTTGGGCTGTAGTGAAAAGGTCAATCACCATGTACGACATCGATCGACATCGTGTTCCAACAAGGGGCTGGGACTTTTGAACTCATCGATCAAACGTGATGTCGCAACGGCTGAAACATGTGCAGGTTTCAACTAGACTGTGCTCTCTGGTGAAAAGCATTTAAGAATACAATCCATACGATGACCAAATTGAGAGAGCACATCGCTGTTGGGGAGTGACAGAGCCATTGAGCAGGAACAGTCACGCGTGGACGGGAGCGACTGTGATGTGATGAATTGAGCAATGATGGCCAATACTGTGCTAATCTGTGAAGACTGTTGGCCCGATACCGGAGCCGTTGTTCGTACATTATTACAGTATGTATGTACAGTATCATCATCATCATCATCAACAAATCCCAGTACTGTCTCGTCCCGTCACCCCGCAATTCAACCCAAACCCTAGCCAGATCGATTGTTTCTGTCCGCCCTTTACTTGATTGAGTTCAGCCGCAAGATTCTTGGCGTGCCCCATCTTGCAGCTGCCCGCACCCATCTTCATCAACTGTGCACGGGAGCCTCTTTCTCATATTACAGCATGTAATTGTGCGTCTTGCCATGAAACAGGCAGGTAAAGACAAAGCGGAAGAGTGGCAGATGGGAAAATGGATGTTCAGCACTTTAGATAATATAAGCATAAACTTACAGTCCTTTCTGCCTCAGTAACAATCATGAAAGACGTGTGAACGCTTGCTCACCAGCCAATCAGGTCAATGCCGTTCTAAAGCCCGGCCTCCAAGAAGCTCCCTCCCACACACTCCCGCACCGGCCAATGCGTGGTTTGGCGGGCCAGCATCGTCTGCCCCGACTCGTGTGTGCTTGTTACACCTGTTTTCCTCGCCGCTGTGTTCAAAGCAGAGCAAGACGTGCAGAGGCATTTCCGATCGTCCCTGCCTTCTTTTCACCCCACAAGCTCCCTTTGATTACTTCTCGTAGAGTGGACACATCATGGCCATTCTACGAGTCGCGCCCACTCGGGCTCAGCAGGCCTTGAACCTGCTGCGGGCGGTCAATGCTGGGGCCAATGCCTGCCCATGCCATTCGCACACTCCTGGAGCTCACACCCACGGCCCTGCTCCCATCATCAACCCATTCGCCGGACGGGTGAGGTCTCTCGCCACGCCAGTCGACCACAGCCGACAGAAGGAATATGCCTTCGAGGTCGCCGCCTCCAGTGTCCGATTCGGTCCTGGCTGCACCAAGGAGGTTGGCATGGATGTGAAGAACCTTGAGGCCAAGCGCGTCATGGTCGTCACCGACAAGACCGTCTCCAAGCTCGATGCTATGAAGCAGGTCATTGAGGGTCTGGAGCGCGAGGGCGTCGAGTACAACGTCTACGACCAAGTTCGCGTCGAGCCCAAGGATTCATCGTGAGTTAATGATTTTGGCGTCCCCTTTTTGTTTTCCCCGCCAAGCGCTCAGCACTCTCAGGCAACTTCAATCACGCTGACACATTCTCTGAAAGTATTCAAGAAGCCATTGCCTACGCCCGTCCTTACCAACCAGATCTCTTCCTGGCCGTCGGCGGTGGCAGTGTCATTGACACCGCCAAGCTCATGAACCTCTACGTTTCGTTCCCAGAGGCCGAGTTCCTCGACTTCGTCAATGCTCCCATCGGAAAAGGCAAACCAATCCCCGGCAAGCTCAAGCCGCTGATCGCCGTCCCGACCACCGCAGGTACCGGTTCCGAAACCACCGGCACTGCCATCTTTGACCTTGTGTCTCGCAAGGCCAAGACCGGTATCGCCCACCGAAACCTCAAGCCAACCCTCGGCATCTGCGACCCGATCAACACGCGCACCATGCCGTCCGCCGTCCACGCCGCCTCCGGCCTCGACGTGCTCTGCCACAGTCTCGAATCCTGGACCGCCGTGCCCTACTACGAACGTGTCCCGCGCCCGAGAAACCCCATCGAGCGTCCCGCCTACCAAGGCTCCAACCCCATCTCCGACATCTTCTCCCTGCAATCCCTGCGCTCCACCGTCAAGTATCTCCCGCGTGCGGTCAAGGACCCCGATGACTGGGAGGCGCAGTCCAACATGTTGCTCGCCGCGACCCTCGCGGGAGTGGGTTTCGGCAACGCCGGTGTGCATCTCTGCCACGGCATGTCCTACCCCATCTCCAGCCAGAACCCGGGCTACAAGCACGCCGGCTACGTGACTAACGTGCCGATCATCCCGCACGGTGTCTCCGTCGCCGTGACCGCGCCCGCCGTCTTCAAATTCACCGCCTCGTACAACCCCGAGCGCCACTTGGCCGCGGCCGAGTGCTTCGGCGTGGACATCTCGCAGGTGAAGAAGGAGAGCGCCGGAGAGGTCCTCTCCGAGGCTCTGGCGCGCTTCCTGAGCGACCTGGGCGACCAGCCCAGCGGTCTCAAGGCCATGGGTTTCACCAAGGACCACCTTGATACCCTGGTGAACGGCACCATGCCGCAGCACCGTGTGTTGCAGCTTGTGCCTAACTTGGACAACAGCGGTGGCGAGGAGCAGAGGCAGCAGTTGCGGACGCTCTTCGAGGAGGCGATGGAACATTAAACGAGTAGTCTTCTCGCAGACCAAGGCGGATGTCCCATTATCTTCTGTCCATCAGGTGGCCGTTCCCTCAAAGCATATTTCGCGACGCCAGGGCGTAGCCATATCGTTCATTTAGGACCATTGCATCTCTCATAGTGTTCAAATCTGTTTTTACAACTCTGCAGCTGTGATATGAATACAATTTCCTCGCACCTGGCTTGTCTCTGCAGCGACGGAGAAATCCGTGGCTAAACTGCAAGCTGACACTACGAGAACTCACGCATATTGGGATGACGCTCCATCACTACATGGCATAGATGTGCACTGTTTAGTTCTCATTAAAATGAACGACTTCGCCAGAATGCGATTGATCGTTTCTCGTATCGATCATTAGAAAAGCTTCACTGAGTGGGACAACCGCCTGTACAACGCCGAAACGCCACTCGACGACCAGAACTTCGCAGCCAGCCGCTCGTAATCCTCATAAAGGCGGTGACTGTGAACGAATCCATCGCTAACGAATGTTGAAATTAAATCTAAATCCGATTGTTTCTCAATTTCAGCCCCCGTAAATTTGATATCAGCCACGAGTGACGTGAATTGAGCTAGTCGGACAAATAAATGATGCTCCTTGACGCTCGCGCAATGGCGTGACGTGCAGCGGATCGCCGTTGAAATTAGTCGAAAGCATTGTACCAGAACATCTCATGAGAGATGGAACGCGCCTTGGCCTTCGACAATGGCGACGTTAAGTTTGGCCTTCAGCACATCATATGAGCTGTAATCAGGCATCTTGAGATAGTTGACGCAGGTCATGACACTGGGCAGGTAGTCGTCGGATGTCAATGGTGGTTCGCTCGGCTTGCATACCACAGTGAACATGGGCGTGAGCGACTTGAAGCCTGTGATAAAGTCAGAAAATGTAAGTGGCATCAGGCAATAAAAAAATGATCGTACCTCCAATCGGCAGCTTCGGGCTGCCCGTGATGAACTGCAAGAAGTCGCGCCTAGACTGAGGGGAGAGCTCTGACATGTACTGCAGCAGATTCCGTACGCTCTTGCTGTCCAAGTTGAAGCCATGGTCGGCCTTGACCGAATCCATCAAAGTCTCGAGCGACCAGTCCTCATTCACACGACCAAACAACATGACTAGTTCGTCTGGTGTGAAAGCCTTGAGTGCCGTGTAGGGGAAGACGAGCGAAAAACCGGCCCGGAAAGCATCAATCTGTCGTTGTACACCTGCGTGCAGAGTGAAGTCGATGACCTTTTTAATATACAGACCCACGTTGTCGAGGGTCACGTCAATTTCTGAGCCCTTGGGCTGCAACTCGATATGAGGGTATCCGGGTAGGGTGAAGTCCAGGCCGAGGTCGGAAACTCGCATGTCATTGATACGGACCTCCTCGAGCTTTGCGGTCCTGTGCGCGGCGGAAAGAGAAGTGTCATTATCAATGCGGGCTTTCGCGTCGACGTACTTTCTCAGCATCTTCAACGACTTTGCGAGATCCTGGTCGACCGCAGCCACAGCACCCAAGGACGGGCTGACCGTAGCTTGTCCGTCTCCAATTCGGAAGAAAGTGGGGTTGAGCGACACATCGATGATGCGAGAGTCGAGCATGGAGCGAGCTATGAATTTGCCCAACATGCGGAACAGATGCAGCACGCGCTGACCATTTTCCTTATTGGCCATGTCTTCGCTCATTGGTGCTGGGAAGAGACCACGCCTGCCAAACGCATAATCGCCGGCCGACTGTGATTCGTTCTCGCGCCACAGTTTAGTCTTCTTCTTGGAGAACTCCCTGGATACGGTGGAGTAGAATTCAAGAGTGGGGCCGAGACCAGTGCCGACTTCCTCGAAATATTCCACTTCCAAGATGCTTGAAGAAGACCCATATAGCTCCATGACCTTGATCGCAGACTCTAGGATACGGCTTCGTGAGATGCGCACCTTCTGTCTCTGTGCTCTCCCTAAGAACGGACGTTCGTCCCGATGACGGCTATGGCGATTGTCATTTTCCGACTGCGTGCTCTGCCATCGGCTCATCAAACGTGAGTACCCAAAGGACGTGCATTGGAGGAAAAGATGACGCGTCTCGAAAGGAAACAAGAAAGGATAAAGGCGAGCCAGATCCTCGCTCCAGGGGGGCAGACATTGGCTCGCCACAATCAGTGGTTCTTCAAGCTGTCGGTTGAGCTTAGCGGACAGCTTTGAATTGATAAATTCCGAGGCTGAGACGGCGTGTAGGTCAACAGAGTGCTTGGCCTCGGCCATGATGTCTTCAAAATTGGAATTGAATTCATGCAGAATCCTCATCAATTTAAGAATCTCGGACGTGACAGGGTGCGCATCTAGTGCTGGTGGATCGTTACTGCTGACGACAGAAGCAGATCCGGGGATAGTTGTTGCCTCTCCTTCCGCACTAGGCGGTCCCGGCACCTTCTTGAAGTTGATTGTGTGCATAGCGGACCAAACCGAGCGTCCCGATGGGTCTCGATTCGGCAGATCATTACTTGGCATGTTGTTAAAATGACAGGCACGATAGATGGTGGTCTCACTAGTAATGGGTTGGCCATTGACGCTGAATTCGAGGTGCCAATCTGTGGGTGTCTGTTGTAGGGCCGATGCGTATGACATGGCGCGGCTGGATGATGGTGTAGACAACATCTCGCGCGATGCAGTATACCGCGAAAGTTCGGCAAGTCTCTCTTGTGCCCAACTTGCCATCGGCGGTGGAGCGTCCTGTGCAGGGGTGACAACCTGCGCCCCGTCTTCTGTTTTGGCTACGACCTTGCCAGATTTCGCGACTTCGAAATCAATGGCAGAGGGCTCGGAAGCCTCTGTGTCCATCAAATCGTCCTCGAGATCATCTGCAATGGCGTCGAGCTCAGCTTCAATGTTGTCATCGTCATCGTCGTCGGGAACATGGGTCTCGTCTGCACAATCAGGTGGTTGTTGCGCTTCGCTCTCGGCTGGAGTGGCGTGAGATGATTCGCCATCTTGAACGGTACTTGTAGATGTGCCCGAAGCTGCATGATGTCTCGATGAGCGGCGAGGTTGCACCTTGCCATCCTCCGACTGTTCGTCCTCCGTCTGCGCAGATTTCTGCTCTGCCTTGTTGGATTTGTTCTTCAATGACTGGTTTGTTGTGCTTCGCGTGGGAAGAGAGCTCCCCAGAGCAGGTTGTTGAGGTGGGAACAGCGGTGCGCCTGAGTCTCCACGACCTGACATGGCAGCGGCGTATGCGGCCATGGCTTCAGTGAGTCCTTGGCGAGTGCGACTACTTTGTGGTCGCTCAGCCAGGCTGATGCGCGGTCGCAGATAGTCATCAAGCGCCTTGAAGGTTGCAATAGCGTGGATAGAGACCATGATATTGCGATAATGTTTTGGAATGCCGGAGGCATCGTCAGCAACCAACTTGAGTCGAAGTTGCTTGGCCAACATTGAAGCTGCGCTGACGCGAGAGTTCTCGAATGGGTTTTGATGTACAGTGACGATCTCGAAGTGCTCTGACCGGCTCAAAACCTCTTGCAACTTGTGTAGTAGGATCCTAAATGCTGTAGCTGAAGTCTGATCACTAGAAGTCGTCGATGACGCGCCTGGTGGAGCCATGAACACTTCCAAAAACGCTGCACGAGCGGATTTTGCGACCTCTTCTTCCGAAGAATTGAAGATATCTAGCAGAACTTCCACGATACCAGAGGTCTTCAACTCATAACTTGTGATGCTGCGCTGTGCGTCATCATTGAAGTATTTTGCTAGTTCCTGAAAGAGAACGAGCCCGCCATCGTTCGGTGAAGTGCTATAGCAAGAACGAAGATCGTTTGAGAGAGCTTTGACATGATTGAGTACGTCTTCAGCTTGCGCTCGCATGTCTTCCTTTGATGAGTCGCCATGGATCTGGACAAACCGCTGCGCACGGAGAGTAATGATATCCTGAGCATCCATGATATGACGTGAGAGATTCGAGGAGTGATGATCCATGCTGTCGGGATTATCGTAATCGTGGTCGTCATCGCCATCGCCATCGTCCTCGTCGTCCTCATTATCGCCCTCATCATCATCGACATCAACATTGTCTTCGTCGTCATCGTCGTCATCGTGAGTCTGTCCTTCATTGATATCGGTGTCGCCCACATCATGGTGTTCTTGATCAGTGGCCCCTGATGTCGTCTCGCTGTCCTGCCGGAGAGCTTTGTCCTCATCGGTCTTCTCGTTGTCCGCAGATTTGGTGGGCACAACATCCGATTTGTCAGCTCCCTCGTCACTGGATGACTTTGTCTGCAATGCTCGGTCAGACAGACGCTCTATCTCAGCCATGACCCCTTCTCGGTAAAATTGTGGCTGATAGACACGCTCAAGTCTCGTTAGCAGCAATTCCGCTGCCTGTAAACCGAATGTGACGAGGCTGGGATTTTCCTGCTGGGAAAGGATCGACGCTAGATGAGAGGCGTAAGAGACAGTTCGCAAAGCCTCTTCGAGCACATTTGTGTCGAAATTTGAGAGCATTTTGAGTTGGGCCGTAAGAACTTTTTGGCGGACGCTGAGATTGACCGTGCTCGTGTAGGCGTACATCAGGGTCGGAAAGAGCACAACAGCGAAGCGACGAACGCCTTCAGCATTCTCGTTGAGCAGTGATAGACGCGCATCAACTTCCGTCTCCTTGGAGCGTGCCGAAAGAGACTTTGCTTCAGGTCCTGTGTAGCCAGCATCTTGGAGATCTTCGAGAAATGTGAGCCGATCTTGAGAAATGGCCGGCAGCATCTCGCAGATGACGTTCAAGGTCTCGAAGATCTGCTCTCGAGGCGTGCGGATGATCGCTTGCATGATGATATTCTTATCGATCTTGGTGGCCACTTGTTGTATGCCGGAAGGTGCTGACACACCCGTCAAAATCTGGTACAGGGTGTCCACAACGTTCATGTTCAGCAACTCGACAGACAGCTTGGGACTGGCACGAGCGGTGCTGGAAAGCACACGTAAAAACTGTGTATGAATGCCAGGACCGATCATGTTTGTGGTGCCCGGAAGCAAAAGGCGTAGAATTGCACGTAGTAATTCCGGACTCACGAGTTCTTCGAGCTTGTTCTCGCGATACTTGAAGCTGTCAACTATCCGCGACACGCACAGCGAAGCTTGTTCAACTACTCGTTGATCGTTGCTAGACAGCGTCGTGAGTAGAATCGGCATGACGTCGCGTACTGTGGGAAAAGAGTCCTCTGGAATGTTGCGGCAGCAATTGGCGGCTGTCGTCACCGCTGTGCGTTGTGTGCTGATGGCGAAAAAGTCGAGGTAAGCCAGACACGCGGTCAGACCGCCTTCACGAACAATGGAGGACGGAAAGTCTACGGAAATCTTTTCGAGCGTGCTCAAGGCTTGCTCGGCGAGATCGATGAAATGAATTTCGAGGAGCTTCTGGCATAGTACAGGCACAGCACCGCCGTAAACGACGCTTGAGGTGGCGGCTGGCAGTGCTTCCATCAAATTGGCAATGCAGCGACATGCCAAGAGCATAATTTCGGGATTCTCCTCGCCTGTCAGTTCGTTGGGTTGCATCAAGGCTACCAGCTCCTTGACGAATTGATCTGGTGCGAAATGTCCTGCGAGATTGTCTTCATTCGAGACCAGGAGCAATTCAGAAAGCTCTTGCAGTGCAATGTGTTGGATCGAGGAGTCCTCCTTGTCACGAAGTTGTTCCAAGATATTGCGCATTCGTGCGTGAGTGCCCGAGACCAGTCCGCTCAACGCACGTAAGCTGCTGGACAACCCTGCATGGCCACCGAAGCGAGCCAGGAAGCCCCCAGCGGCAAATGGATCATCTTGCCGATTGAGTGCGTTCTGATCTTCTTGAGCAGGTGGTACAGGAGGCATACTATCACTAGCAGCAGAACCACCATCACCGGCGCCAGTAGCACTGGTGCCTTTCTCATCCACGTCTCTCATGATCACATCTTGATCTTTGCGAGAGCCTCGGCGAGCCTTTCTCGATGAAGACGGAGTGCTTGCGCTAGGTGTGTTCAGGTCCGCTAGAGCTACGTCAGAAGCCATCAATCTTTGTGTAGAGACAAGATCCGAACCTTCTTTTGATTTGTGGTGCCGACTCCTACGTCGCGGAGGATCTCGTGGACTCTGTTGTGGCGATGTTTCGGCAGACGTGCCAGAGGACGGCCTTGATCCATCTGCTTCTGAAAGCCCTCGCTTGACCTCATCGCCCATGCTCTTCTTGCCCGACCCAGCACTGTATGACATGGTGGCACCCGAAGCTGCTTTTCTTCCTTTCCTCGCTCCTTCTGGTGATGCCGGAGCCGCGTCAGGAGCAACGTCGGATCGAGTCCGTTTGCTCTGTCGCTGAGATCTCTGTGATGTGGGAGAGGTTTCAGTCAGAGCGGATTTACGTTTTCGACTCGTTGAAGAGTCACGTGTCCGCTGAGATTCGGCTGTACTGGGGGACGGCGAGGGTTGCACCGGAGTCTGGCGTGTGATGTATCCAGGTCGCACGTCGGAATTTGTTGTAGGTGAAGGATCGAGATCAGCAATCAGCCGAGCGGCCGTCGAGCGGGTGATGCGCTGACTTGGAGGCATTTGTCAATGACTGTCCGCAAACGTAGGAGCAGTGATGCTGAAGCAACATGGAACGACCATGGGAACAGAAGAGACCGGGAAGGCACAGATGGAACGACGGAGCAAACACGAGTAGGGAGGTGAGTGACGAGGAAGCACACGAGAGAGAATGCTATGATGAGGTAGAGAGCGAGTGTGTGATTTGTGACAGAGACGCCGCGGGCTAGAAATATCACGGTGGGTTGAAAGATAGGTAGGTAGGCACGGTCTGATCTGACACGTGCAACGGCGTGACAGCAATGACGATGATGCAAGTGAGACGTGCTGGGAAGGTTGAGCAGGTTCCCATTTGTGGTCATCGGCGGATGAAAATGGAAGGAGCTCAAGAGGGAAGAAATGATGCACAGTGCAAAAATGTCGTCGTATGGGCAGGAGCGGACCATAGGAGGAGGAGTGATGTTGGACTGGAAACGTGAGAGTGGTGGACGGAGATGGTTGACTGGACATACCTGGGCGGGGTCTGCTGGTGTTGTTGCTGCTGCTGCTGATGCTGATGGGTGTCGTCGGGAGCGGAAGTATTGTTCGTGTCGCCTTCGCCGGAATCACTCATTTCCTTCCATATGAATGAGCGATGATGCTGTCGTTGCGGCGTCGGTGGTGGAGCTGCTGGTGGGGCGGGAGTGGGAACATTCGCACGCGGTGAGTTCCAGAGAGTGCGCGCGCATATATCAAATATCAAATAGATCTGGTCGATGGGCTGGCAACGGTCACCCAACTGTCATGGAGGAAACTTTTGAACAAGAATGCAATGCGAAGGGGTGATTGATTTGAATGTCGTGAGAATAATGAGGATTGCGGATATTACAAAAGGCGAATTAATTATTACTGTACCATGTACGATAGCCGGAGGAGAGGGACAGCTGGGTAACCGCCCCGGTGCGTGCTAATCATCGCTGTCACAGGACAATGGTGAATATGAGGTGCTCCCGATTCGGCGCTACAGTATCTAACTACCCGCCGAACAAAGAAGGTATTCACGTATTTCCACAGAACGAAGCTCGACCTTCTATTCCTGATACAGCAGGCGCGAATGGATAACGGATGGACTCGCGTGCCTCCAACACACATGCTCAACAACCGAGCATGCGGACCATCCACTAAATACCCCCGAGACACGGTGGTTTGACATCTGCACAAACCTAGTACCGTTGTACATGAATGGATATCGGACAGCTCAGTCGTCTCCTCCAATGATATCAGATCCCACGCGAGAAGCTCGTCGCCGCCGCGTACGGTCGGTCGCGTGTGGTGTGGCTTATACTAACACTGTGGTGGAGAGCGAGAGTAATGTATAACTTCCAAGGTTCCATTAATAAACCTAGATGTATTTCAACCTTGGAACCAAAAGAACAATCCACAAAAAGTCTACCTAGGTACTCATTTATTACACATACGACATCCCATCTTTATCATCATCATTATTATTATCATTCTTCTTCTTCTCTCTCTGGTCACGAAATCCCAGCCGATAAAACTGCAGATCCGCATCAGGTGCAGGGCACGGGACGTTCACCACGACGGGAACCTACATGTCGCGTGGCATCGTCCTCAAGCTCTCTGTTTTCAGCCTCCTTATCATCTCCATCTCCATCATATTCAAGGCTACCTAAATTGGATATAAGGAGCACACATATCTCCAGGTCCACTGCAACCCGCAAGCAAGGGCTCTTCGTGGACACCGGTCGTACTGGATCACCTCAAGCGCAGTCTCCTTGCAGCACCCTCGCCAACATGCTCAATATCAAAGCCTTGACCGAGCTACTCTCCCACAATCGCGACGACCGGCTCTGCAAGACATGGTATGTAATGACCATCAACGGCACCCTCCTAGCCCATAGTCAACCCGTGCGCATCAACGATCTCCGTCGCCAAGCAGCCATGGCAGCCCTCTCATGGCAGCGCTACGACAACAGCGCGCACGCGGCCGACCAAATCTCAGACGAATTTGACCGCGACTCACAAGCCGAAGAAGGAATGGTTGGAACTCCACTACGAGCGCTGACTATTGAATCGGAGACCTCGAACGTCATCATACGCAAAATTCAACCTAGTCTACTGCTCGTCCTCGAAGGCGGGATCCCTCCTGGGCGCGTGAGGCCGACGAGCCGTTTCACACTTGAGAGTGAGGATGGAACGGAGAGGTCGGTCGATGCGAATGGCGAAGATCTCGAGCGAGCGGATGCTAGTAAAGTCTCTAGCAGCGTGTTGCAAAGGCAGAGGAGCAAGCTCGACGCGCTGTCGGCCGTGATTGTTCGAGACTTTGAACATAGTGGCTTCCGGATGCCTGATGATCCTGGCTTGATCATTTTCTAATCTTCCGAGAGGCACTGATGACATGACGATTGTTGAAGCAAGGCATCCCTCCAAGTTTCAAGACACGACATGATCGGTCAGGGTGTGATCACCTTCAGCACAGAACATGCCTGATTTCATAAGTGAAGCTCTGGAATGTCGCATAAAAAGCAGCTTCCCATGCAGTATGACGCGACTACACTACAGTACTCGGAACTCAATATTTTCCAGGCGCCGACTTGTATTTGTCGTTTTGGATCTGCAAGATTTCGGTTAGCTGGACGCACAGGGCGACTGCACAGATCAAGAGGAAGAGAAAAACTTACCACTTCGATCCAGTATCCATCGGGATCTATTCAAAACCACGCAGTCAGCGCTATATCTCAGACGCCTGCTGGAGAAGAAGAAGAAGAAGAAGAAGAAGAAGAAGGGACGACCGCAGCACGTACCTAGCACAAAGGCCACATTTTTCATCCGACCATCAGTGAGACGCTTCTTCCAGCTCACGCCCTTCTCCTCGAACCTTTGACACGCGGCTTCGAGATCGTCCACCGAGACACAGATATGCCCGAATCCCTGCGGATCACTGTTTCCATCGTGGTAGACCTTACCCTCTTGCTTCTCGGTTCCATAATTCCATGTGAGCTCCAAGAGGCCCTCCTTGTCGGCGTTCGGGTTTACTCCGTTGGCCGAGGACCCTTCGTCTGGCTTGGGTCCATAGCCGAGAAAGTAGAGGTTGAATTCGGCGTCTTTGTTCTCCGAAGTGCGCTTCAGCGTCATGCCCATGACTTCCTCGTAGAACTTGATGCTGGCGTCTTTGTCCTTGACACGGATCATGGTGTGGTTCATGCGGTATGAGCCTGGGTCGGTCTCGGTGATGCTCTCGGTCTTCTCGACCGGGTTGAAGGCGATGATTTCTACCCAATATTCCTATGGAGTAGCTACCGTGTCAGTCCATACATTGAGGGCAAGAAACGTGGGATCATGAACATACATCTGGATCGAGCGCAAATGCAATGTTGTGCATGCGACCATCCTATCCGCAAGTCAGTACGGTACACATCAGAACAGATGTACAGCCAATCATCGTGGGTTGCCTCGCCGACGACTCACTTCTAGACGCTTTTGGAATTTGTAGCCAGCATCTCCGATACGCTTGCAGGCCGCTTGAATGTTGTCAACACTGATGCAGACATGCCCGAAGCCTTTTCCGTGGTCCTTGTTGCCATTGCAAGCCTTGTAGTTGGGATCGCTCTCAGTGCCGTAGTTATGGGTCAGCTCGATTATGCCCTCGCGATCCGTCCAGTGGTTGTTGTGAGAGACAGCCTTGGGAGAGTCTGCACCCAATGGAAGGAGATGGTGCGATCAGTTTTGTGTACACTTCCTGAATAGGCGCCTCGGGAATTCTGGAGACGTACCATAGGCCAAAAAGTACAAATCGAACTTGTTGTCGGGAAACTCGAATTTGTTCACGACGCTCATGCCAAGATGCTCGTAGAATTTGATGCTGGCCTTGGGATCCTTGACTCTATGACGGAGTGATGCATTTCAGCTTTTGTCACCTTGATGCCAGCGCAGGCAGTGATCATTTGTATGAACATACCTCAGCATAGAGTGGTTGAATTTGTACTTGCTTGGGTCCGTCATGTTGGCGTGGGTCGTGTTGACAGATATTGCGCGTGTTTGTATTCTGGAGAGATGTCGAGGAGTGGCACCAGTTCGTCGACTGGCAGCAAGCATTGAGAGACGAAGGGGCTTGCTTGGAGAGCTCTAGCTCGTGACGCTCTCGCTCAAATATCTTTGCCGCTCTAAACTACGACAATACCTAGGTACTTGTGGACTTGAGGCGCGAAACAGATGGGTGCAGACGGTCACCACGATGCCCACCGCGCGGATCCGAAGCATTTGACTGCATATGCACGCAATCTTCTCGACTGCGTGATGACGTCGTGGACGCGTTTGTTGCCCAAATTGTAGCGGGGACGATGCCCCTCGCAACGTTCCAACCCTGATTGAATTGACTGGCTGACTATGGGCTGATGCATCATATTGCTCGCTCAATGGCAAGGAGAATACTTCAGTGGAGATAACTGATGTGAAGGGATTTTGGGATTGCAATGACAAGGAAGGAAGGAACTCGTCAAAATCGTTATCGGCATAAATTCACGCTGCGCGGAATGCTGGTGTATCGTTGGCTGCTCAGAATGATAAAAATAACAAACACTATCCTCTCTGGCTGAGGGAATACCCAAGACTCCCCATAGACACCCAAACGCCCGATGTACCTCTTGCTGTAGCCGTAAACATCCATGACTCCTGATGCCGTGGTCGCATTTCTCATCGTATACTCTTCAATCTACCGGCTTGCCTCATTCAAGCCGTCTTACTTGACCCAGCCTCAACTGTCGCGTTCGTGCTTTTTCCGGACCGCCTTTCCTTTCCCTTATCGCTGGCCGTGCTTCCGGGACCGTCATCTTCGTATAGGTTATTCTCCTCAATGTAATCCACCACCTGCTCTGGGACGAGATAACGAACGGACATGTCGCGACGAAGGAATAATCGAATCTTAGTCGAACTGATGTCGTTCTGAACAAGTTGTTGAATGACGGTGATGTTATCCTTCCACGCCTGTAGCGTTGAAAGAGCCTCATCAATATCGGTGCCGGTCCGCTATTGAACCATGGGGTCAGTGTCACATCTATAATGCCTTTCAAATTTGTGTCCGAGCCTACCTCAACGATGAACGCCCCGAAATTTCGCAAGATGTAGTCAATATCCTTGTCTGCCCACACTCCGGGCGTGCTCATGGTCTGAATCAGATCCGCACCGGCCAACAGCGCAATTCGACACTTCTTCTTGCCGACTGGAGTCTCCACACCTCCGAGAACTTCATTGATCTCGTATTGGAAATGGTCCAACACTTTCGCGGTCTCCAAATACTCGGTATGCAAGGCTTCCCAGGGGTCGACGCTGATCCATGTGCTCTGTTGGACAGCCAGACTACACATGTTTATCCGATGCGCCGCCTTGACCAGGCCCGTCTTCTTATAAGCGTCGCCGACACAAGACAGGTATGCGCCGACTACTTCGTATTCTGTGTTGAAGCGCGCATAGTCGGCGGCCATTTCGAACATGCGCAGGTGGAGGAAGGTGATGGGCGAAAAGGAACCACAGGCAATTAGCACCAGCGGTGTGCGGTCGGCGTGGATGATTTGGCGCCGTAAACGGTTGTGAGGAAACTCATATTGTTCCAATGTCATTTCGCTCGCGGGTTCGGCCATGTTGGATCACTAGCCACTGCGTCTGCCGAGTTGTATGAAGCAGAGGTTGCGCAGCGATATGTCAATGTATACCTGGGCAGGTGGCTTGTCTTTGTGTCTGTGTGAGCGCAGCAGGTTGACTCAGACGACGTGGTGAGGTTCGTGGTGGTCGTATGGTGAGATTTAGCGTGGATAGTCACCACTTCAGACGCGATGGATAAGACCGAGATTATCGGGGCCGCAAAATGCCGCCGAAAAGATGGGAAAGTAAAGGCGACCAGCCCTGGAGCTGCGCCTAATAATACTAATATCCGCCTGCAACGTGGCCCAGGTGTACTCCGTTTGTGCAGGTTGACGAATGCCGGGAGAGAGAGAAACAGCCGGGGCGGGTAGAAAGAACGATATCGGACACTACCTAAGTATCAAAGAACTTGGAACGGAGGAAGATTGCGTGGAGAGACGGCTGAGCCACAAATGTCCGTGATGGCTGCTGCAGGTGACAACAACAACAACATCAACAACAACCTTGGAACCCACGGATGCTGCAGGCCCCGTGCCTGCAGCTGTTGAGCTTTACTACCGCAATAATGACATGACAATCGCAGGTTTGTGCAAATTGGGTGGTGCCTGCGTTGTGGATTTCACACCACAGGAGGAGCGCTGCCTGGTGCCCACCTACCTAGGTACCTAGGTAGTTTAGACCCGCCCGTGCCGTCAGCTGATGAGCTATCTACTGCAGATGTACAGGATTCTAGGACTTGTGCTGTATGCTCTTCCAGGTGATCTCGCGGTAGACTTGGAGAGTGGGAAGATCTGTAATAATAACCTCCATGGCTTGGGAATGAAGCGAGCTGAGCGGAGATGAGATGAGATGGGCGACTGTTGACTGGCGGGGAGAGAGAAGTGGGGGACGACGGGCAGGCAGGAAAGAGGGGAAATGGAGCACGACGAGGGGCAAATGCACAGCCGAGTCAGTCATTGTCGGCAATGAATGAAATTCTGGACGACCGCACCGTGCAATTGCGGCACTGCTGCCTGGGATCCCAGTATTGTAGTACATCTGCTTGGATAGCTAGTCAGTCTGGGATGGGGGCCAATTGGTCGAGTCTCTGCTGGATTTGATGGAGGCAAGCTCGAATTTGATGGGGCTTGATGCTGATAATTGATGGAAAGTCGTGGATAATCCCGTGGGAATTTGCTGCTGTCCTGTAAATTCGTATGGGTCCTCGTACGCGGCATCCCTCATCGGTACATTTCGCTAGATATGACATCATCATCTCCTGTTTGCTTTTGTCCGTTATCTCCGTCCACCACGAAATATTGCACATTGCCGTCCTACTCCACGACCAACCACCCAGGCAGGGGTCAACTAATCACGACGCGATAGTCATCATGTCCACAGTACAGTATCTAAGTCTACGAAGATTCTCTGGCCCATCAAAGGCTCCTTGCCCAGAACTTTGCTTCAGACAGAAGATCAAACCATGTCCCATCATCTCGTAGCGTCATAGTCGCTTCCATGACCACGCTCCCATCGTTTATGTTAGCTCAACATATGATGTTTACTTCAGCTGCATTTAGTGAAGGCATAATGTGCATCCCGCCAAGGTCAATCCCTACTGTGCCCCTTCGGTGATGGTTCGCTATGCTCCGAGATAGGCGGTATTCTGCTGTCGATAACGACCCCGAGACCATCGATGCGGGCGAGGCAACATCCACGGAGTCCGGTGAAGACTGTAGCAATCGAGGATTCTGTTTCTGATGAAGATGGGCCCTGGTTGTTGGTCTTTGGAGGTAATCTCTCCAGGGCAGTGCCCGTGCGGGACCGAGAAAGGATGGGGCATCGGCAGTATTTGTGAGGTTCTGGGCAGATAGTTGTGTTGGGGCAGAGCGGATGTTTCTGCTGTGACTCGTTTTCCCGTTCGTTCTAGGGTCTGATGTTGATCGAATCTGAGAAGAATAATGAAGAAACCGGTGCGCGACAGGCTGTGGCACGGATCAGAGAGTGGCAGCTATGACGGAGGCTGGTCGACGGACGATACCATAAAAGAGAATGGACTCAGTGTCCGAATCATCCACCAGTGCCAGGTGGTGGCTGCCAATTGGGCATGCTCATGGTATTGTAAAACTCGTTCGGCTCCATACTCCAGTCCTCGAGCCCAGTCAGACCGCCTCCGGCTAGCATGTCTATGTGCTCCAACATGTTGTAGTACGCTCCATCCAGCTCCATTTCGACAGGTCCTGGCATTGTTGGTTGAGTTTGCGGAGCCGCCATAGTCGATGCGGGTTGGCCAGCTACAGCATACCCGATAGCGCCTGGCACTGTCCAGTCAGGCATCATACGACCTGTCAAAGTGGAGGCCGGATTGGCTGCGCCAGTTTCGGAAGCGTAGAGCTGGGTGGCATCGCCCATATTGCTCGAGTTCGAAGATGTGGGATGGCCTTCTCGGGTCTCGGCATAAGGCGAGTCGTCCACGGTGCTGCTCTGCTCAACGAATCTCGCGCCCTCGGCGTTCTGTTTTTCGAGAGCGCTCAGATCGTTCGCAGCGTTTCGAAAGTCGATGACTGGGTTCTCGTCTGCTCGATTGAAGATGACCTCCGGGTGCCGGCACCAGGCCCGCAATTTCGATACGAGGGCCAGGAAGATGGTAGGTACGCGACGCGGAGGTTCGCCCACGACTTTGCGGACATGAATCATCAAGCGATCCATGTAGTCTTCAGCTTTGAGATGAGATCCGTCTACAACTTTGCGGATACGAGAATCGGAACTGGACACAGATAGGCACAACTTGACCAGAACAAAGGCTGCGAAGCTTACTCTGACACAGTTGAAAACCGGCCCTGCTCGAATCTCCTCTATATCCCTGATCCGAAAGCCATCAGCGAGGATCGTAGAGAAAATCTCAGGAATCACTTACATGGAGAGGAACACATCGAGCATGGTATGTGAGCACTCAATACAGTCGGCTATTGCGCCTGCTAAAACCGCAGATGGGATATCGTCAGCACCCGGTTCTACATTTAGATGGCCCATTCGAAAGGGCGCTCGGAAATCCTCTGGGGGGTGATCCACGTGCAGAGCGAGCTCATTGAGGTGAAGGCGGATATTGAAATACATGATCTTCAGTGAGCCTGAGAGCATGCTCGCTTCGGAGTACTTGCGATGCCATGCCGAAAGTCGTTCTGTAAAGTCTTTCATCGTGAGCTGAGTCCGCAGATCGGCGATCGAAGCGATGGCCCCAAGGTCATCGTAGGAAAACGCGACGCTGCACTCCTCTGCTATAATTATAAGCGTTGTCCATGCTGCAATGATGCGGTCGGTGGGCAATGCGTCTGGAGATCGTTCGAGGATTTCGACGCACTCTCGGATATAGCTGCTCGTTCGGAGCATGCAAGGTCGACCAAGGCTCAAAGATACTCCTGTTGAAATGAAATAACACGCTAGGAAGGTTCTTCGATTCTCAATGCTACCGGCATCTGCGAATGGATTTGGCCCACGTGGAGCTAAGGTAATGATCGGATTTCGCACATCGTCGGTTGGGTGCATGACGGACTTTGCCATGGTTTTTTTCGACTCCCTACTTCGATTAGAAGCCATCCGGGAGCCAATGCCGAGATCCATGGCCATGTTAGCAGCAGCATGGATATATTCGTAGTACTTGAGCTGACCAAACTTGTGAGGGGGTTGATACCATAAGGAGCTGATCAGCATGGCCTGTACCAGCTCCAAAGACTTCTCGCTGTGAATGAGACTGCGGGTCGCGTAGGCATGCATGACCTCTCGCTCGAGAATGGCTGATAGTGCAGCGCTGTCTTTCCCAGCGGCGGCAGCGATTATGGCGAGGAAGAGCGTAGGTCGCGTCCGCCGCATGTCATCGGCTGTTATGGAATCGTCAATGGCGACCACGGGACACAATGGAAATAGGCTGTCCTTGTAGGTTTGAAATAATTGACGAGCCATCGCAACCGAGATGATACCATCGTCAACAATGTCATTCATGGCTTGCATCGGCCCCAATTGAACCGGAACCGACCATAATGAAGATGCATCCGTCAAGGTCGGGTTCGAGGTAGTCGGGTTTGCCAATATTGCCGACGATGCCTCCGTGCCCTTGCTCGCGGCCTCGGGGGTTGCGACTTGTTCATCAGGTGTTGTGACAGATCTTAGGCTTGACGCTTCTTGCTTTTGGCTCAGAGCAGTCCGCATGGCATGCATTTGTTTCTCCAACTCGGCCACGCGCGTATCTGGATGTTCTGTGATTAGAAATCTGAAGTTTATGGATCCGTGAGGAGAGACAAACCAGTTCTTTTCCTTTGCTTTCTCCGCTGCAAAGGTGTGAAGGTACATGGTCTCCCAGACCGAACGCAACGCTGACATATGTTAGGGTGGGTGTCGTCTGGCAGACATCGAACCTTCATTGCCCGGCAGTGCGCGCACGCCCGATGCGAGGGCAATTCAGCTGGGGCGGCGGTAGACATTTTATGAATTTTGAGTCCCGGTCCTAGATCGCTTTCGAAAGCATAGCATTTCTGCAAATCATAAAAGGGACCTCGTCAGGCATCGCCCGAAAGTACATGGTTGCTGGTTGGCGAGCAAGAGCATTGCTGACTCCGGGAAAAAGGTCAGCAAGACTTAAATGCAAATCCAGCTGGCGTCACCAACCAACCAGCTGAACAGCCCATCACATCATCATTCAAAAATTGTTATGATCGCGCTGTGCGACAGCCATGTCAATGGTCAACCCAACTCGAACCATTGACATATTGTATGAGTTATCATAAATGCCTTCGTAAATATCAAATCGATATAATTTTGATGGGATGTATATCGCTACTGTACCTGAGTAGAAAGGATTCAATGCGGCGAAGAGTGCTCAGACTGCCCAACGACAAAGACCCACCTGTTCACCATCGTAGATATACTTTGGGCTCAAGATTTCATTTCGGATCACATGTTTACATCATGGACAGACACATTTTGCTATCGATTGCACGGTCGTAATGATAAAATACTTCAGGGACGTAATAACACGGCACCATGATTGTTGCGGTGCAGCTCGGTTTCGGGGCGCAAGATTGATGGGACAGCCAGCCCAACAGCCTGTTCTGTGCACTTGCCTAATGCATACGACGCTCAAGGGGCGGCGCGGGCGAGCAGTCGAAAAAGCCCTAGAGCCCTACAGTATCTGCATTCTTCATCCTCAATCTGGCCAGGCCCCGTCAATTTTGGTTGGAAATGCTCGGATTATTACTGCCCCCATGGATGGAAATATCAACGTCTTGACAATACTGGACCTCGTGATAAGAGAATGAATGGCAGTGGCCGTGACCAGTGATAGGTCTCATCGTCTCCATGGAACTTTTGGCTCTACTGTGAAGGTACGCAAGGGCTCTCCCTCTCGCTGTGCCTTACCCCTAGGCAGGCAGGCAGAGAGCAGTACGTAAGCTACCTAGGTACCTAGGTATTCAGTATTCACCACTATGATGTACGTGAACATAACAGATATTGTTCCATGGTGGTGAATACGTAAACGAAACGACCAATCAGACAAGAAGTCAAGAGGATCATTATTCATCTGCATAATAATAATGAATCTTGGAGTGCCAATCCAGGAAATAGTCCTCGATAACGTGGTGGTGGGCGTCCTGGACTAGCTACGCCTGCCTCGGTGGTGGATCGATGATAGTGCCCAGGTGTGCGTGCATTCGTCGCATCATACCACCGTGGACACATCTCGAAATCTGCGCGCGCGAGGCATACTGGTTCCGTCGCAAGATAGATATATAATCTCTCGTGACTTCTTCGTCATTGCTGGTCCCATCAACGCTACAACAACTCCGACGTCTTCTCGGTGCAACAAGTATTTTCCTTGCGCCGCGGGTTCGGTCGTGTTCAGCACAGCACGGGACAGTGCAGCAGTAACCATGGCCTTCAAGGAGATCTTGGCCTCTTCCATTGGCCTTTCCGTCTTGTCCCAGCGATATACACCACACTATTCGCTCGGTCTCATCTCCGGCGCTCTTGTAGCATTTGTCCTGCAATATTTCACCTATTTGGCCTACTACATTGTCGTCTACCCACGCTTCTTCAGTGCAATCCGCCATCTGCCATCTCCCAAGGGCGATTTCTTTCTCGGCAACACGAAACAGGTCCTTGCTGAACCTTCCGGTCACCCACAACGAGAGTGGATCGCCGACGTGCCAAACGATGGCATTCTCAGGTACTCGGTTTGGTTTCGAGGCCGGATCCTCATCACCTCACCTGCCGCACTCGGTTCGTATTAATGCCAAATCGACATGTAAACTCTATGGTCGTCTATCAGTGTTAAACAGAATACAGGTGAGGTGCTGGTGACGCGCAACTACGACTTCATCAAACCACCGCAGATTCGATTTGGCCTGGGCCGACTTCTCGGAATTGGCGTGTTGTTGGCCGAAGGCGACGAACATAAGATCCAGCGCAAAAACCTCATGCCCGCCTTTGCCTTCCGTCACATCAAGGAGATATATCCTATCTTCTGGCGCAAGTCGCGCGAATTGGTCGAGTGTGTGACCGAATTCAAGAACGCCAATCCGCTCGGAACGCCGCATCCTTCGAGAACACCCAAAGACACTACTCCTGAGCATGTGAAAGGATCGATCGAATTGGGCGGATGGTTCAGTCGGGCGACTCTAGACATCATCGGCGTGAGCGGCATGGGCCAGGACTTCAATTCACTCCGAAACCCGAACAACAAATTGGCTCAGACGTATCAGATGGTCCTCAATCCACCACGGTCTGCTCGCCTGCTTCAAATTGCTGGAGCCTTTATCTCTCGTGAGTGTCCTTTATCTTTGAGGGCTCGCACTTGATCATCATTTGATGTGCTCACACTTTCCAGCTCGTATTCTGCGCCTGCTTCCACTGAAGCAAAATGGTGTGATAGAAGCCGCCTCAAAGTACATTCGTGAGATTTGTGGAGAGATGATCGTGAAGAAGCATGAGAGATTGCAGAAGAACCAGGCTGCCGAGAAAGATATTTTATCTGTCGCCCTCCAATCTGGCGGATTTACCGATGACCAGCTTGTTGACCAAGTGAGTGCAAGGGTTGCTATCGCGGCACCAATCGAGACCATTTGCTAAAGCACTACCAGATGATGACTTTTTTGGCCGCTGGTCACGAAACGACGGCTTCAAGGTATGTGAAGCTTTATGCAACAAGTCTTGCCGAAGATTATGCTGACTCCTGATACCCTTCTCACAGCATGCAATGGGCGCTTTATGTCCTTTGCAAGCACCCCGACGTGCAGATGAAACTGCGAGAAGAGATCCGCAAGTCAATTCCGTCTCTGAGCCACGAAATCACGTCTGAGGAGATCGACGGCTGTCACTACCTGCAAGCTGTGTGTTCCGAGATCCTGCGACTCTGGTCGCCTGTGCCACTCACTTTACGGATCGCCAATGTCGACACTAGAGTTGCTGGTCATTTCATCCCCAAGGGTACCACGGTCATCTTGGCGCCTGCAGCGACCAACACCTCGAAGGAACTCTGGGGAGACGATGCCATGGAGTTCAAGCCTGAACGCTTCCTCAGCCCTGATGGCAAATCTAACAACCAGGGCGGTGCCACATCGAACTATGCATTCTTGAGTAAGCTCACAACATAATCAGTTGACCCAGTTAAATGAGACTAATGGTGTGTCCAGCTTTCTTACATGGTCCACGTAGCTGCATCGGACAAAAGTTCGCTCAGGCGGAGTTCGCATGCCTTCTGGCTGCTTGGGTCGGGGCCTTCGAAACCTCATTCGAGGAAGGCAGTCCACTTCATCACAACGTCGAAGTCAAAGGCGGCATCACGACAAAGCCTGCTGGGGGACTTTGGTGCGATGTGAAACCGGTCCCGGGCTGGTAAGACAATGGGGTGGTCTGTTGATGGACTATGACAAACAGCCGGCTTGCCATATATCACAATCGAGCGTGTCTGGGCACGACGCAGGGGTGAACTTCTTCAGACTGAATATCACATCGGGATGCTTGTGCAATTTGAAATAAAATATTACTTGGGCTCCGCGAGCTCTGAGATCTCCGTGACGTTCAATGCTCCGCTGCGCATCACCCTGATAGTGCAGCGAGTCCCCCCTCATTTCCCGAGCAAGCCTGCTCTTTCGCCTCTTGAACGCCAGATTGTACAGAATGAAATCTGAAAAGATTGTCGAGGATAAATCATGCAATGTCTTGTTGAGCTGCCTTGTGGCTGTCACGCAGACTGACGTCCATGACTAGAGCTCCGTGACGTGGCATGTGAATAGTGTCCTCATCCGCCGCTCGTATACTCTCCAGCCACGCGGCTTCCTCGGCCGCATAGTCACTCTCGGGCGGTGCAGAGTCGTTCGCTCCAGATTCCTGTTGTGCCAGGCTTGTGTTGAAGGGACGTTTATTCATACTGCTGATGTCGAAGTTCTGTTCGGAATGGCTCGGATGGAGGACATCGATCATGTGACTGTGTCATACTGTCAGAACAGGGGCAGGGGCAGGAAGTCTATGCGCATGCGTACTCGGATGCCTGGGTGGTGATGTTGTCCAAAGCCTCTCTCTCTCGCCGAACCTCCTCTTCGTCCAGATGCACCGAGCTGTTGTCGTCGAGGGTACCATAATTTGGAATGCTAGCACTCAGCATGGATTCAATATCTTCCTATTCATCGCGAGCATCAGCACATGGATTCGTCATTCCGTCGGAGAGCAACATCGGTCGGAGCTAACATCTTGAGGGTGACGCTGTCGCGCTCTACAGCAGGATGCGCAGATGCCCATCACATGGGGAAGGAGAAAGCCGTAGCACGCAAAGGAGCGTCAGGGTGTTGGTCGACTGTGGTGTGCGAGACGCTGAAAGGTCTGCGATTTGTTTCCATGAGGTCAGCCCAACAACAGCTCTCTCTCTCTCTATCTCTCTTTCTCTTTGGAGATATGCTGGCGCGCGCTACCAGTTCCCAGATGAGACTAGGGTACGTACCTGGCGGAATTGCACATGGTCCCTTCCTGAATCTCCGACCGGCACGCTGCGGGAAGTATCGCTGCCACGTGACTTTGCAACGCACTTGCGCACATTCCTCCGAGCAATCGAATAGCGCGGCTTTCTACCAAATGAACCATCACGATAACAACCAACCTCACGTCTCCAAAAGACTTTTCAATACTCTTCTCACGTTAGTAATCTATTACACAGTGCCCAGCGACACCAAGAAATATGCGCACATTTGAAGCTCGGACAGCTATTGTATGCAATGTTTCATTCGTTTCACCTTACAGCGCGCGCTTAAAACCACTCCTGGGCAAGCGAGCAAGCGTTACGCGTTTGCTGACTTATCGTTCCTGTCTTGCCGCCGGCGCTCGCAGTGTTGCAACTTGTTTGGGATATTTTTCATTGACGGCGCTAATCGTTGTCAGCAACTTCGCACTGGTCTGTTATGGACGTGATAGATTCAAGCAAGTCGTCAATCGTGATTAAGCAACATAACTGAGCATCGTGTTGGACGTCAGCGGCGTCGGGCCAGACGAGGAAAACTTTATGCGTCTAGGGAATAACGACAAAGCACGCCCGTTCAGACTTGCCAGCGATGCTCGTTATCGCGAAACGATCAGCAACCTTTTCATCCAGCAACCCTCCTGCTGAGCCAATACGGCACGTACTGTTTGTTCATGATATCGCAGGGTGCATTACGTGGGCGCTGACTGGCGATGTTTTCCCACTTTCTCACGCACTTCTACACACAAGGTTGATCCTAAGCACGAGACTCACGACTGGATCGCTGATCTGGGTGTATGAGTAGTTTGAATAGAATGTGACGTTGCATTGCAGTCCACGTCGCCGGAGCACGAGACATAGTGCGGCGGCATTGAAGTTTCGTGAAGCTGCTAGTCTCGTACGCGCCATATTTCTTGGCTCCGCAATGTTCAGATGTGGTTAGCGCTCCGATGAAAGCTAAATGATCCTCTTCGACATGTTAGGCCTCCACGGACTCCTCATGCATCACCAACATACCGAACAGGCATGTGTAAGGACGCTAGTCCTCGTCATCAGTCCCGTTTCTGCCTTTGATGTTCGCATGGAGTATCTCACGGACCTCCCATGATTATGTCTTTGTGCTAGTGCGCCTGCACTAACTCCTACATATGGAGGTCCGTCCTCTACATGAGCCACGACCAGGGTCGAAGAATTGTGCATTTTCGACCAATGATTTTTGGTCCGTGGCAGCGCCAGATGCATGTCTCAGACTCTATTCCGTTGAGACCTCTCTTGATTGGCCCGATTTTGCCGTCTGCGATGGTATATAACGAAATGTAAATAGGCAAAATATCCCGAGCGAGGAGAAGCAACGACAAAGTACCCATCAAGCATGTGGAATCGTTGATTATTCTGCAGGGTCTTTTACCGCTAAACTCAATCCATTCTTATTCTCATTGCTCATTGCTTTAAAAGCGGCCCCCACTGTCCCGTGTCTGGTTTCAAAGTCCGAAGTTCCTTCATCAATCATGGCCACCATCAGCTCATCTGCACACATTCGTGGCATCCTTCCCGTACGGCAAGGTTCACGTCCGTCGGGGATTACCGATGTTCTGATACCTCCGCTCCTTCTCCAGCTGCAGGTTCTGGATTTCCCGATTGAGCTCGGCGATCTCGTTGTACGCCTTTTCGATCGACGCTTTCAAGCGATTGGGCTCCGCGCTCCACCGTGCGATGTCGTTCTGTGCCTTTTCGCGGCGGCGCAACTTCTTCTCAATCTTCTCGCACCAGGGGCATATGCCGTCGAGCAGGATGGTGTTGTAGACCATCTTCATGCCGCATGTCTCGCCCGTGCGGTACTCCTTCGTGCACTGTTCCCGGAAGTTTCCCCACTTCCAGTCCTGGCAAGCGTATTTGAAGTTGTCGTAGAAACACATGATGGTCTGGGAGTCCCGATGGTCAGTGCCTGTGGTTGTCACGATCATCGAAGGGACACCGACATGAAGAATCTCAATGGTGATCGATTAGCTCTACTCGAGAGGGGTCTCGCTTGCTCGTCCGCCTGTCACAACGAGCTGTCAGCCATTGAATGTTGTGAAACCACCGGCGTTGGCGACCCGCGGCAGCGTCCTCAAACACCACCGCGTGCACTTTGGTCATGACAGGATGGGATACCTTTGGCGTTGCGCGTGCTGAACGGACGTTCTTGGGCGTTGTGGTGCTGCTAATTTGCACGAAAGCTGTGATAGACTCGTGTACGTTGTATTTCTTCTGTGTCCGTTGAGAGAATCGACTGGACTGGTCTCCCTATTTATGTTGACCCTTTCAGATCGTCATCATACTATCGCGGCACGATATCCTCGGCATGACGAAGACTTCACCAGCGACGCCACACACACCACCGATCCTGCATTGAATTTTCTCCTCCTTTTGATCAGGCCAAGATACCTGCCATCCAGACCCAACGGATCATCATGGTCTCGAATTAAGCCTTTGCAACGAAGCTGGCGTGTCGGGCTAAAGCATTGTCCTCGTGCCTCCTCATGTCTCCTTACCGAGCCGTCGAATGAGATGCCAACAAGCCAGCCTCTTCACCTGACCTCCGTTGTATGCTAGCTTGCTGCCCTGCACGCTGTCTCTGCAGGTGGCTTTTCATGAGTCCGAAGATGCTGCAGTCTCTGTGGAGCACCGAGAGCCTCTTGGCAAGCCTACTACTGGTGTTGACGGTGACGAGCTACAATTACAAGACCTCTACACTCTTGCTTCTCGTTCCGGAGGGCTCGTGAAAGCCTCTAATGTGAAACCATGTCATGACGAATCGGGTTGCATTGTTCCTCGGCTCTCGATTGCTCAATATATTTCCTCTGCTCCTGTCCTCAGCTGAATCATGATACAGAATGACTCGGCTCGAGTAGAAGTGATTATTATGTATGAATGTATCTGCTCCTATCGATCTCAAGCTCTACTCATGCTTAGCAATCGATGCCTGAATTGCGCAAGCCGGGTCCATCGACGATTCGATCGTATGCAGAACCATGTCTCCCGTGGTTGAATTGGGTTTCGGGAATGAGCTGTCTCCCCACACTTGATGCAGATAACGATCAACCCAGGATGAACTAGATGGAGAGCATACAGCTCCGATCACCATACCATCAGGCGCTGCAGGTCGGGACGACTGGCTTGACCTGGGCTAACCTAGTGCAAAGTCGGAAAGTCTAACCTGCGTCTTCTTGCTTCGTACCTGCGAACATGACAGCGTTGGAGAACATTCGTTCGTAGACCTTGACAGGAAAGACATGGTGGAGTGGCAAGTACATTTTCTTCTGGCGATACCGGACCAAATTGGTAATGTTGTTGTATGCATTTGCCATGCTGTGGGCAGCAAGATACTCTAAAGGGAATGGCTTGCAAGACGAATGATCACGCTAGTGCCTGAAAAAGAGACTCCGCACTCTGACGTGGCGAGCATGCTGTTGAAAGACATTCAGCAGCCCGTGTCGGAGCCTTCTACAAGACCGTGCCCGACGAGATCGATTCTGGTGGGTGTGGGCAGCTAGCTTGAGCATGCTTTCATTCCTCGGTCAGAGCTGTTGGCATACGGACTTGTCGGTCCATGATGTCATGTTGGCCGTGATGCTTGATCAAGTCTCATCTCTGTCACAAAAGGGCATGATAAGCACAGTCCACACGCAGACAGGAGGCTCGAGCACGACAACAAATAGCTGTCTGGGGACCTCAGGACGGGCTAGACTGTTGAACGCAGCCACTGCGTGGCAAGCAAGCACACGCACACCATCCGCAGTGGCCACAGGCAGCGAGTGACAGAGAGGCGGACGAAAGGGGAAGGATGGTGGTTGGGAAATGCAATGCACTGCAGGAGAATCGTTTGTTCTGCAGCTGAAGACGGCTTAGCTGCTGAATGGGTACCTCCCGAGTGACGTTCGTCAGAGGGAAAATCAAAAGCCTTGCAAGCCGTGCGTCTGCAGGTCTCCGGCCAATCGAGATGGAGTAGGGGAGAAGTGAGTGTCTCAAAAGGTGACGGGTTTACAACAAGTAACTTCGCGTGTGGGTCCGATCAGACAACTCCGAGCACAAATTATCATGTGAACGAAACCAGGCGTGATCGTGCATGCCACAACAGCCCTGGAGGTGGCAACTAGTCCGTCTTCAAGTAGAGATTGCCCAGTCAATGTCGTCTGAGCGTGCGCAAGCCCGTCTGAGGGTAACAGTGCGCGGGCATGTTCTTCAAGCAGCGAGGGGACACGCGAGGGATCGTCTCCAAACATACATGCTCCACAATCAACAACAAGCACTGAGATGGACGACCAGCAGTGACGCAGATCAAGGATGACCGCGATCACGTCTATGGCCCCTCGGACATGGACACATCGTCTTGTGTATTTTTCCGAGCCGCAAACAGGGATTATGTGTTCTTGTCCGATCCGGCCCTAAGCTGGAGCCATTGGTGTAGAGGAAGCGACGCGCGAGCATGAAACAGTGCCGCTCGCTGAGCCAAGAATCGGCGGCCGGTCCGAGAGACAGTTGATGAAACGAGAATCATGCCGACACGGGTGGACTAAGCGTCTTGAGTGAAGCCAGCGCTATTTTGCAGGACAGAAAACGATGAGGAGGTGTGGACGTCCAGCAGCGACTTCCTGGTGCGGCACAGAAGGTGAGGTTCTACTCGCCCGTGCGCCCGTGCGTGCGGGTGCCCTCCACGGATTGAAGAGAGAGGGATGGTCGAAGCGCTGAGGTGAATCCTCTGTGCTCCAGCCGCCACGGCTTTCACGATTGTCGCTGCACAGTCCTTGTTCGTCGCTGCTGTTACGTTCGAATCCTAATCACATTCCCCAGCGTGCCCAGGTGGTCATCTCCTCTTTTGCCGACGACGAAGTCCTACAGGACCGACGACGCAATGGGACTATCATTTGGAACGGCGTCGCATTCGGCGGACAGCAAAAATCCTCGCTCAATTGCCATTTATACTGTCAGTATAATAATGACTCCGCGCGACGCCAGCGTTGGCTCGTCTGACAGGAAACGCACCTGATCAATCAGATCGGACGGGGAATTGTGATGACTCATCAGACGTTGATGTTCACTGGTTATTGATATGCCCGCCCGGAGGTCGTGATCTGCCTTTCTCTCCTCCCCGCTCCTCTCTCTACCTACCTAGGTATAGTGTGCAATGTGTCGATGTATGTGGAGCGGGCGATATTTGAATGACAAGAAATCTGGTTCTGTTCAGCAGCCACTAAAACACGTCGTTCCGCTTTCAAGGTTTACATACAAGGCTATGTCGGATGATATCGTTCCAAATGAGCTGTCGGAGTGCCCCGTCCGATTTAACCGATACCTGGCCCCAAGTGCAGACAAGAAGAATGTCACGAGAGGAGCGTATACATCATGCGTACACACACGCACGAACCCTGAAGCATATTTTAGGGATTATCTCAATCTGTAGAGTATACTAATATATTGGTCCACTACGGTCGCAACACTGCTTGTTCAATAAACGAAACACCGAGGATAGGGTATCACTGGCCGGCGAAGGAGTCTACCTGTACATGGTGCTGGCTACGAACCTTGAAAGCTTCTGAGTTTACTTATCATGCATGGGAGCTAAGAGGCTCCATATACAATACTACAGATTGGGTGCTTGGGACCTCCTGCTCTGCAAATCCACCATGCGTATCGGTCAAATCAGACTACTCCGAAAACTCAATTACAACGATACATAGGTATCATCCGACCTTGCATCGTACAGAGCGGGTGAGCAGGCCGATGGGCGTGTTAGTCATCAGCAGAGCACAACATTTGATAAGTCATCGTGATACGCCGTCCGATTTGACTGGTGCTTGGACCTATAAAAAGAGATTAGACGGGCGAACAGGAAGATGGGGGGATCTTTTGGGACAAAGTGAGCAGTAGATAGAGGTCTGTCGAGTACGGTTCTCTATAACTGCCTCCGCTGTATTGTTTCTAAGGCTAGTATAGGATACTTGCGTGTAGAAGGTTTCCGAGACTTGTCCTTCCTGCGGCAGTTCGAACGACAGAGGCACCGTATATGAGGCTGTCGACCGAATATGTGGCGGTAATGCCCCCCCCCCTTACAAACGAGGAAGTCAAGGTACAGTACTAGGTAGAAAGTCTGAACGATTTTGAAATTTCAGCTATACCCTCTGTTACGATCCAGCCCCGCTGACGTAACCTGATCCAACCTAAGGCACCAGTGCGTGCCCATCACAGTGCACCAGCGCGAGCATTGCGCACCAGTGCTCACGACGACTTCATACGCGCGCATGCGTATGTCTCCTTTGTACCTAGATAACGTATACATAAATAGGTAGGACGAGCAGACCTTATGTCGGCTCGTGTTGAACTCATGTTACCAACCTTCTATTTGAAATCAAACGATCCCCTTGAAACCCCCTTGTGTATTCATTGACCAGAACAATCCTCTCGAGTAACTTCTCTTACAGGAAGTTGACCCGTAACACGAGGAAGGGTAGAAGGCCTTCCTCGAGGGTAGCCATATATTCTTCTAAAGCATAGGTGCCTTTCGCGTTCTTCGGTATTATAATTAAAGGGAAAGGCCCTGAACTAACACTAATAGCAGCCCAGACTATTCGAGAACCTTGTTTACCCTTCTTATACGGTTAGACGTGTCTTCGAGCGTAGAGAGTGTCAAATTGGCCCTAAACCTACTACTTCCGTAGGCTTTTACTAGTCTTAACAGAGTACTCGTCCGAAAAGATCTATTTTGACCAGTCTTTGTCGCGATATTAGAGGGCCTATTATAACCGGTAAGCAGCCTGTGCCTCTGTCAACTCTAGCCGGCCTTTTACGCGCTAATAGAGCATGTTACGATCCCGTGACACGGCACGGCCAGGAAGGGGAGGAAGTACAGAATGGACGAACGACACTTAGTCAAGACAGGTCAACAACATGCAACCATAACCCTAATATCACGTGACCAGGAAAGATACGCGACGAGGTACGGATGCGCGACATCCACGACGTCGCGTATGTGGTGCGACAACCACGACGTCGCACAACCACAACGGCATCGCACATATCGTACAAGAAGTGCATTCCCTTTGTATCTAACTTACATATATAGGTAGTACGAACGGACCCTATGTCTGTTCGTGTTGAACTCATGTTACCAACTTAACCATTGGAATCAAAGCCCCTTTCAGATATCCTGTTGCACCACTCATTCTCAAGAACCCCCTCGAGTAAACCGCCCTCTGGCAGTTGACCCGTAACAGAGCAACCCTTCGTCGTATAGAACCTTCTTAATTGTAGTCGTACATAGATCCACGGCGGCTTCCTTTCTTAGGGCCTTAAACGTTAATTTTGGCTCTTAAACAACCGCTCTTTTTAGAGCACGAATCTCACGACGTGTCGCTTTTAGGGGCCGGCCGCTACGTAGCTTATTAAGGGTAGTTCCTCGTTCTTTGAACCTCCGGAGTAAAGAGCGAACAGTCGCATCTGGCAGAATTTCGGCCTTTACGATTACTACGGGTCTAGCACCCTCAAGATAGCGTCCAATAACCCGGTTCTTTTTCCTATTATTAAGCTGAGATCCAGGCCTTGAATTTAAGCTAATCGGTGCAAGAATCGGACGTGGCATCGTTAAGATATCGCGTGTTGAAAAAAGTAAACAAAACGACCTCGGGGGTGTTACGGCGAAAATCGTTCAGACTTTGCACTAGTCACTGTATATAGCCATTCTGTGGAGGTCTTTTCTGACCGCCAGGTTCCGCATCGCATCACCATCATTGGATAGGGCATCACATCTGGACGGCATTGTTCATGAGATTGACCCATTTCATTTCCCTCATCTATGCATAACATGTCTAACAAATTTCATGCGCGTCCTTCGCCATGGCGGTGGGCGCATCGGCTTTTAGGGGAATACTCGCTGGAAATACTCTACAACTCGTCGTGGCCGACGGGCTCGTCATCGCCGAAGTCAGGCATGCCACCAGCGCCGCCAGCACCGCCGTTCAACTTGGAGGTGATGGGGTATGCAACGTCAGACAGCTTCTGCTTTTGCTCCTCGAAGTCCTCGGCGTTGGCGGTCTGGGCGTTCTCCTCCAACCAGTCGACGGCTTCCTTGATAGCCTCGAGGAGGGCCTCCTTATCGTCCTCATCGATCTTGCCACCAAGACCGGCATCGTCGTTGACCTGATTCTTCAGGTTGAATGCGTAATTCTCCAAACCGTTGCGGGCCTCGACACGCTCGCGAATGGCCTTGTCCTCGTCGGCGTACTTCTCTGCTTCCTCGACCATGCGCTCAATTTCTTCCTTGCTCAAGCGACCCTTGTCGTTGGTGATTGTAATGGACTCGCTCTTGCCGGTGCCCTTGTCGCCGGCTGAGACCTTGAGGATACCGTTCGCGTCTAGCTCGAAGCTGACCTCGATCTGAGGCTGGCCTCTGGGTGCTGGGGGAATGCCGGAAAGCTCGAATTTTCCGAGAAGGTTACTGCGAGATATCTGTTAGCGTTGATCATAAGGATGTTGAAACATTAGTGTCATGGAGCACAAACAGCGTGTTTGTCCTTTGGCAGCTTTGCAGCGTCGAGTATGAAGAGCGCTCGAACGATGACGACGCATGATGTTTCGCTCTTTCGCTTGGTATTTGCATGGCTCGCAGTAGAGCCCGAAGCCGTCTTCAACTGTGTCCTTGTGAAGACGTGACGCGAGATGTCTTTTGAGCATTGAGGCGCTGCCACCACTGTATTTACAGTCGGCACAGTAGAATCGCTTTGCTGCCACATCTGCGAGGCGTTTGGCGTTCGCGACCGGTTGGTAATTCCTTGAAGTTGACAGGCGTTTATCAAGGTACCCTGGAGGTGGATTTGCGCGAAGCTTCTTGTCGTATGCATTCCTCCATTCACGCTTGTGTGAAGTACGAACAGCTTCTAGATGCTCGAGCTGTTCTGCAGTGAACTCGATGTCATCGACACCTTCGAGGACACCTTCGATGAGCGGATTGTGACTGCAGAGGCCACCGTAGGGCAAGCTGAGTCGTTCCCAGGGTCCTTCAGGGAAGCAGTAGGCGGTCTTGGGATTGAGCATAGGCCAGAAGATAAGGTGGAAGGCGGCTTCAATAGCGATCAGGGCAGTTCGATGGACTGGAACGTATCGTGCGGCCGGAACAGGGCACCAAGCAAGCAACGCTGCATGAACTAGCTCGTAACCTTCGGCCTTTGCTTTCTTGACTTGTGCTGGCTCCATAAAGCCACTCCGATGTTGTACGATGCGAGACCGAACACCATTCCTACAAATACTGGTTCCAGATCCGATGTAGATCTTGAAGTGAAGGCCTTTGCGGAAAACGAGAACGTAGATTCCCCAGGAATTCTCAGGAATGACCGAGGAAAGACCTAGAAACCAGTCGATAGTAGGAGGAGTGTTGGAATGAAGAACTTCCCAAAGGCCGTCACAGAATTCAAGCCCAAGATCAGGGAACAAGGTAGCCAGCTGCTCAAATGCAGGGAAAACCAGGCGAAACCGAGCGTTGATCCAATGATCCACGCTCAGGCAAGCCCAGGTAACTCCCAGCATGAATGAGAGAATATTAGAGGCGTCGAAGAGCATCTTGGCGGCGTGTTCTTGTATTGTGAGTGACGAACATGATTGAAAAGTCTTGTAGCGAAGACTGAACAATATATTCGGTTGTGGGTTCACGTCGTCGTGCCTTCTTCATCTTGAAAAGAGCTCGGAGCTGCCTAGCGGACAGCCAACACGTCGTAACTTCGTTCTTTTGGCAGGAACGAAAATGTGCTCCTTCACACTTTGGGAAGTCTGGGGGAACATAGAAAAACATAACAGAACAGACAAATCACAGGAAATACATACTTTTGCGCAGTCATCGAGCGTTCACCTTCGAACACCTGGATCAAGACAACGGGCTGGTTGTCGGCGGCGGTCGAGAAGATCTGGCTCTTGCGGGTAGGGATGGTGGTACCGCGCTTGATGAGGTGAGTCATGACACCTCCGGTGGTCTCGATACCCAAGGTGAGGGGGTTGACATCCATCAACACAATCTCCTTAGCCTATGAAGGGTGTCAGTACTAGCACCGAATGTAGGAGTCCTTTGTCTCAACGTACCGATTCCTCTCCGGAGAGCACACCACCCTGGACGGCAGCACCGTATGCGACAGCCTCGTCGGGGTTGACACCCTTGACGGCCTTCTTACCAAAGAACTCCTCCAACATAGCCTGAACCTTGGGGATACGGGTGGAACCACCCACAAGGACGATGTCGTCGATGTCGCTCTTCTTCAACTTGGCGTCCTTGAGCACTTGCTCGACGGGCTTGAGAGTCTTCTTGAAGAGATCGTTGTTCAACTCCTCGAACTTGGCACGGGTAAGAGTCTCCGAGAAGTCCTTGCCCTCGTGGAAGGCCTCGATTTCGATCTTGATGCTCATCTGGCTGGACAACGCACGCTTGGCCTTCTCAACCTCGCGCTTCAGCTTGCCCATAGTCTTAGCGTTCTTGGTGATATCGGTGTCGTGTTGCTTGTTGTAGGACTTGGTGAAGTAGTCAACAATGCGCTGATCGAAATCCTCACCACCAAGGTGGGTGTCACCGGCGGTGGATTGAACCTCGAACACTCCGTGGTCAACAGTCAGGACGGAGACATCGAAGGTACCACCACCAAGATCGTAGACGATGATCTGGCGTTCCTCTCCGGTCTTGTCAAGGCCGTAGGCGAGGGCGGCGGCGGTAGGCTCGTTGACAACGCGAAGGATATTCAAACCAGCAATGGTGCCGGCGTCCTTGGTCGCAGCACGTTGAGCGTCGTTGAAGTAGGCAGGGACAGTAACAACAGCGTTAGTGACCTTCTCACCGAGGTAAGCCTCAGCGGTCTCCTTCATCTTGCTCAAAATCATGGAGGAAATTTCCTCAGGAGTGAAAGTCTTGTCCGATCTGCTTTCGATTAGTATGATGCGAATCCCAGGCAACAGGTTGTGACGGATGCTCACCCTCCAACGTCGACCTTGACACGAGGCTGGCCGTTCTTGTTGACAACCTTGAATGGGAAGTGCTTCATGTCCTTCTGAACGTCCTTGTCGTCAAATTTGCGACCAATCATACGCTTGATGTCGAAAACGGTGCGGTGGGGGTTGGCGGCGAACTGGTTCTTTGCAGCGTCTCCCACTAATCTTTCCTCATCGTTCCATGCGACCCATGATGGTGTGATACGGTTGCCCTGGTCGTTGACCAAAATCTCGACGGTGCCGCCCTTCATGATTCCAACACAAGAGTATGTGGTTCCGAGATCAATACCGATAACTATCGTGGATGTATTAGTGGATCGCGCAGAGGAGAGAGCTGGCGAGGATGTCTTTGGACTGACCTGGGCCGGTGATGCCATTGTCCTTTGCTTCAGTCTCCTCGGCATTAGCGTTGGCAACCATGCCCATGAACAGAATAGCCATGAGCAAGGCAGCGCCAACGTTTAAGGCACGCAGCCATGTCCAGGTCCTCGCCATCGTGAAGAAGTGAGATGTGACAAGAGAGAGTAAGAAGTCTGCTGAAATGAGAGAGACGGTTGTGGTGGAGAAAACGAATTGTGGGTAGTAGAAATATATACCGAGCGAAAAGAGGCAACGGACATTGGCGCTAGCAAGCTGGAGAATGCCAGCTGTCGGATAGGCCGCACCTCACCTGGAGGAGGCCACAAAAAAAGCTGGAGCCCAGGGTCCAATGGCCGCTGACTTATCACCGCCGCGGCTCAGCTGGAGTGCATCATACCGCATGATCGGCGCAGTCCATACGCCATAGTGGGGCGCTTTAAGGGTTGTCTAACCCCAAGATGTTCCTCCACGTATTTTCGGTCCCCAAGCACGCAAGCCGATTCCAATGAATAATGTGCAAGCCGTGGAGGCCCAGCCCTTCGCCGCTGTTGCAAAACTGCTGCGGCTAAACTGAGTCCGGCACAGGTATTGTATTATCTTCCAGCCGCGAGCAGCATGAGCGCAGCATCGTCCGGACGGAGCACATGTCCCCATTGACTGATTCACGGCAACAAGTTGTCTGTGGCGACGACAGAATCGGCCGCCACTGCTGTGTCCAGCGTGCTATCAACCCCAATTCCTATGGCTGAGCACTGAGCAATATTTCCCCTATTGGATCCCGAATTGTCTAGAAAATGCTTCATTGGCACCGTGAGAGCCCACGAGGTGCGGCGCATCTTCCTGGAGATCAGGAAGTAAGACTTGGTGATTACAGCGAAAACATTACCACCCACATCTTCAGTACTGATTCAACTCTTCGTAACTCGTACGGTGAGAAAACCACATCAGTCGTGTATCCTCACCCCGGCACTCCAACATTGCCGAGGCAGACCTCGACTCACAAATACGAATGAGAACATGTGAACGAAACTTTGATATTTTTGGAAACCAAAACGTGAGACGCAAGTTGCTCTTATCCATCATCTTAGATCTTAAGAATGGTGCCTCAACTACCTATGTACGTAAGGGTAGGTAGCCATACATGCGGCATACCGTAAATGTGCGCAACCTGAACACCACGGCGAAGCATGACGAGGAAGTGCGTGCATGTTTCGAGCGATACATGGAAATATGTAGTACAATACCTCACCTGGACGATTCGCACAGATGATGTCAGATATACGTAGATGTTCAAGCATCCAACTGCTCACCTCCCTGGCTTCGCGGTCCCCTCGCAACCGGAATCGTCGGAGCTTTTGTGGAAAAGCCGAATGATCGCAGCCAACACACGACGGTTCGGACCTGGTATCTGTAGAGCTGGCTAAGATGGTATGGCAAGGCGGCGAACGAGTGGTGCAGGTATTGTGATCTTGTCCTCTTCAAATATCTAACGTGATGTAGAGAGACCACGGAGAAATAGCGTTCGCGAGTACGGTTCGGAAATCCTTGGATCCAGCAAAGTACCTAACAATATGAGTCGTTCGGCAGTCGGAGGCCCAAGCGGGCAGGCCTGCAACGGCACCCGAAAATCTATCCTGACTGTGGAATACCCACAATAGTTCGACACGTGTACAGTAGTGGTGCATAGTAGCGGCATTTAAGCTGGAGGAGATCGTTAGAGTTTCTGGTGTACAGACGTGGGCAATGGCAGACGAACAAGCTCATATGCCAGGACGAACTTGATCCAGCTGCGAGCTTGCATCTGATAATATCTCGGCAGTCAGTCTCGCGGCTAGACCATTCCATCGAATGGCTGTTTCCGTCAGTGCAAACGTAAACCATCCACAGGACTGTGATAAGTTGGGTGCCACCAGCGGCCATCGGCCCTGAAATCCTACGGACGGTAGTGGTCTGCCGAAATGAAGACACGCAAAATGGCTTGTAAGTTGACCGATAGCCGGGTGGGCCAATTGAGCCACGCCCTTCTAGCAGTCACTGCGTCGAGGTCATCTGACCCATCGGTGCAAGTCACAACGCATGACGAGATGTGATCCGAGACTTGGGCGCTGCAAAGGGTACATATTGGCCCGTGAGCAGGGATGAAGAGTTTTGGGTGTTGTAGTAATAAGTGGCTGAAAATAGGGATGAACGAAAGAATGTAAAGGGGAGAACCGATGTCTGTAAGGATTCCCGCAAGAAACATCGCCCACGTTTTCCTCCTATGGGCTGTCATTGCATGTCAATCTGCCCGTTGAAGCGCTACTGAGGTTCCGCATCGAAAACCTAAACAACGGGTGATAGAACAATGAAAACGAACGGTTCACTCCAGACAGCCAGGGCGTCTTCTTCGTACTGTAGATGTGTGTGGTGAGTGATGAGATGGATCTTGGAACGGGAGCTCGGGCCGGGGATTTGCGCTTGGCAGGCACATCCATTTTGCGACTGGATAGCTGCCCAGGTGCTGCTGTACTCTCAAGTGCGCCTTTGTCACACTGTGTTACTGCTGATGTGTGACAACATGATGTCCCACCTCACTCTTGGAATCTTCATCGTTGTTCACGCTACAGAAACATCTTTCGAGGTGTATGAGTACACAACCCGACGGCGAATAACCACACAGTAGTTCATGTTCCCCCACGCATACTCCTGTCAAGCTACCGCACGCGTGATGTTGAACTCCCGCTAGCTGCCCGCCATCGTGGCCGTCCTTGTCGAGGCCGTTGGAATCCGATATCCGGGATTCCTTGGCGACAAATTGATCATCTCAAGCCTCGCGACGCGCAATGGACCCCTGCAATACGCTCTGCTTCCCGTGTGCGAAATTCAAAGCAGGCCAACGTTGGACTGCGATCAGGAGAAGTACAACATCGCCGCAGCGTCGAAGAGTCAGTCGAATTGTGCTCCGACCACCTTTTTTCCTCCCTGGCGGTCAAGCTTTGTCGGATTTGGAAATCGCCCCCGTACGACGATGCTTTTTTCCCCTCCCGTGCGACAATCGTACTGTTTCCGCGGAAATGATATCTGCGCGCGTCCTGTAGAGTAGCATGGTGCCTAGCCGTAGCCAGAACAGAGTGGGATGGGATGGGTATCACAATGCGGGATGCAACATCATCGCCTCCAACCCCAGGTTTTCCCGGGAGCAGCGCTTCGTCTTCACAGCGTTGAAAACTTCTCCGCAAAGGAGGAGAAACTCCCGATGTACCAACCTACAGTCGTACAGCAGCAGTTGGAAATTAGACATCGGAGGAGGAGGAGGAGGAGGAGGAGAGCTGGGTTCGCCGTCGCCACACGCCATCTTTCAGGTCAACGATTTGCCAGGATGAACAGTGAACTCATGTGGGGAAGCTTCCTTCGCACTGTTTTCTGTGTTGCACTTGACGTTGAACCATCGGCATATATTTTGTCTTGCTTCATGACAAATGTGGGCGAGGTGTAATACAACAACACCTCATCAATTGATACTGGACACAGAGAGACATGGGTGAACGAACGTGCGGTTCGGCAGAGGACGCCCGCGCACCAACCAGCAGCGCCAGTTGTATCGTAAAAGTGTGGATTTTCCCCGTAGCACTACTGTAGCAGCAGCATTGGCGGCGACGGGCTTGGTGCCGGAACCCCCAAAAGTCAAAAATTCGCCTTGTCGCTGCTGCTTGGGGTCTGAAGGGATTACGTAGGGTGTAGGGATTGTTGCTTCTGCTACACCTAAGCAGTCCACACACCACCACCACAGTCCGCAACGGGCTCTGGATGAATTTTGTGATTATTACAGTGCAATCCGATACGTGCGTGGGCTGTTGCTTCCGCAGGCATTCTCATGGCTCATGGGGGGCGAGGGCCCTGTCCCACGGGTCCAACCACTCATCCGTCGTCCATCCCAGTCGCTTGTCGCCGCCGCCGCCAGAACGTTTGTTGTCATCATCGTTGCTGCTGATCCCGGACCACCTCTACATAGCTATCTTCCTTTGCTTTTATTGCTCTGATGACCCTTTATTACATTCCACAATCCCCCTTCATCAGTCGCCATTGACAACTTCTTTCTACTCTTCCTCCTCCTTCTTTCCTGACCTCTCCTCGAATTTTTGACTAGAAACTTCACTGTCATTCCTTCCAATTTCCTTATCTTTCAGGTAGATTTGTCTCGACCAGCTTCAACGATAGCTGGGGTTTTATCGCCGAGCTCATTTTCACCACCATCCATTCATCTCACACACCATCACAATGTTCGCCCGTAGCGCACTTCGCGTCAGCCAGCGTGCTGTTCGCACTGCCGCCTTCACTCCCATGACCGCCCGCGCGACCTTCACATCCGCGGCCAAGAAGTGCAGCCCAGAGGTTCCCGTCGTCAGTTACCACCAGGGTGAGCGGGTCGAGAGCGCCATCCCATACGACAACAAGGCCGGCCCGGTCAACCCAGAGGGTGCCGACGAGGTCAAAATTGCAATTCCTCTCAAGCCTGAGGTCTACAGCCAGCTCACTCCCACCTTGAACAAATTCACCCTCCCCGGCAAGGTCGCCGTTGTCACTGGGTGAGTCGTCTCGCGAGCTAGCCTTGCCGCTTCACATTTCGCGCTTCATATGCTGATCAAAACGTTCCAGTGCTGGCCGTGGTCTCGGATTCAACATGGCTCAGGCCCTCGCGGAAGTCGGTGTCCGTGGTATCGCCATCATGGATGTACAGCAAGAGTTGGGTGACAAGGCAGCTCGTGAGCTCAGCGAACAGACCGGAATTGACGTGCGATTCTACCGCGTTGACGTCCGTGACGGTGGCGCTATGGGCCAGACCGTCCAGGACGTCGTTGACCACTACGGTCAGCTCGACATCCTGATCAACGCCGCTGGTATTGCTGAGTAAGTGTGACGATACAACGTTTGAGCGTTGTTTGAGAAGTGGATTGACCTGACGGGTTGCACAGCTCTAACATGAAGGCCGAGACCTACGACCACGAGAAGTTCCGCCGTCTATTGGACATCAACATCACCGGTTCCTTCTTCACCGCTCAGGCTTGCGCGCAGCAGATGATCAAGCTCGGCAAAGGAGGTAGCATCATCAATATCGCTTCCATGTCCGGAACCATTGTCAACTACCCGCAAGAGCAGTCATGCTACAACGCCTCCAAGGCTGCCGTCATCCAGCTGACCCGCTCGCTCGCTGCCGAGTGGGCCCGCCACAACATCCGTGTCAACTCCATCAGCCCCGGTTACATGGACACTGCGCTCAACCGTGTTCCCGCTCTAGAGGCACAGAAGCGCATCTGGGTTGACCACACTCCTCAGAAGCGTCTTGGTGCCGTCGATGACCTTAACAACCTGGCCGTCTACCTCGCCAGTGACGGTTCCTCCTTCATGACTGGCAACAACTGCATCATCGATGGTGGATACACTCTCTGGTAAGAGGTTTACTCTGAGGATGTGCATTGCAAGTCATCACTTTCAACTTGCGCTGCATTGACTTTTGCCGTCACAACGTTGGATATCATGGCGATGAGACGCATTCTTGGTTATCGGCCAAGACTTTCTTGACGTCGCGGTGCGGAGAGATTTGCAAAGGAGTCCAAGAGTCTACAAATGATAGATTGGTTGGTGTCTCCCACCAAACTGCGATGATGCCGCGCTATGTTCGGATTTGGGTTTCGGGCGATTATACCTCCGGGATGGGATTTCTTCTACGGATTTGTATATGTGATTGCAATTGATCTTCAAATTTACTCTGTCTTCCCTATCTTACACTTAATCCCACTGCCATTGCAACTGCAAGTACAGTGCGACTTCGCGATGACGAACAGGATTGGGTGAGTGACGGAAAGCGTGTTACAACGCTCAGCACATTCTTCAGGGCACAATGTCCAGGGCACAATACCATGTCTATTTGCTGATTTCCATCGATCATGCTGCAACAGCCGATATCCTTCACATGACGTGGGTATCATTTTCTATCATTACATATTTATCCCATCTCGTCGCCGTCATGCCTCAAATGGCGCGGCCTTTTTTTCCTTCGTTGATTCCAAACTTCCCTTTGGAGCCATTAACGCCTTCGCTATGTCGTCCGCCATAAATCTCATCCTCGACATGAGTGAGTGAGTGAGCTGAAGAGACCGTCGCTCTCCGACTACACTCCGCCAAAAATAATCGTCGATCTCTAGTAAAGACCAAGAGCCAAATATATCGCCTAAGTTTGCATCCAAAAAATAGCAAGTCAGATCGTATCCCGATGATCGATCATTCGACTTTCTCCGTTTTGCGCCGAAATCCCAAATTGAAAAGTCCCAGATATTGCATTGCTCTTCGCTCATACATCGATGCCGGTGGACGTCGCCGATGTCGCCGAGCCGGCCATGTTGCTTAACCGGTTGTTGACGTACCACAGTCCGAAACCGATGCCGGCGAGGACGATGAAGAGGACGATGATGATGGTGAAGATGACGAGGTTGCCGTCCATGGTGGTGGTGATCTGTTGGGTGTGGTAGAGAGCGGGTGGAGGTTGATTGTGAAGAGTTCTTCCGAACGGATAGTTCCGGACCGTTTACGGAGATCGGAGTTTTGGAGAGATCTGCTGCGTAACTTGTCGTAGGCGGAAGGGTGGCTTTTGGTGTTGGAAAGTGTTGATTTTGCGCCTCGTCAAGCTTCAATTGTGGATGAGGACTTCAATGGTTGCAGAGCGATGATTGCCAGACTTGTGTGTGGGTGTGTGACTGGCGATCGTTTGTGAGTCGTATGTCTCCGGTAGAAGGCGATAGTTTCTTGAAGATTTGTTGGACAGGACGAAAACGCAGGTGAATAACGATGAGCCGAACTCCCAGACCTCGAGGCTCTTATTATAATACTACTATGGAAGAATAAATGGCAATATAAATGGTCGCGGCTGGTGCAGCACTGGCGTGTGAAACGTGGGGAGGCTGGAAGTGGCTGGGAGGGAAAGACGCCCGGACTTTTGTCTGTGCGCGGAGGTGATGCTCTCTCGGGAATGCCTCACAAATGCTTTGGATACGTCCCCACACGAACAAAGCGCGTAGTGCTGACTATGTTCTCATCGTCACTGCTCATCTCATCTATATATCATCATTTGACGACATCATGAAGCTGTCGCAAACACTTACCAACTCGTGAATCGGGCATCATCATTGTGGCGCTAGAAGCAGAAGCCTGCCTATATTTGCGGGGAATCAAGATCTAATCTAATCTCTGATCCGTGCCCATCTGTTGTCCTGCAATGGTTGACCCAACAACAACCTGAATTTGTCGATTTGCGCATGTCAAACTACTGTTACAGGACTGTGTCTGCGACACGATATAATCGTGCCTCCCAGTATGGTGGTCAGCATCGTGTCATGCTGGCGACCTTCTTTTACAATATGCTGTGAAAGCTAGCACATTAGATGCCGAGCAATTTCTGTTTGCATAAACAACTTTTGACCGATGAATGTCTATACAAGACGTGCAAAGGGAACAAAGATAGAAGTGGGTTGTAATTCTCATCGGATTGATCGTAATAGGCTTTCAGAAATACAAACAGGATATTTTCATCATCATTCATCATGCACTCCAGTGATTCACTCCCATCTGCCCAATTTCAATAAACAATAATAATGCCCCAACGCCATCGCTGTGCAATAAATTTTGACTCGAATTCATGAATTCCATCTCTTACTTGGGAAGCACAGTCGCGCCTCCAGTGATAGAGTTGACACGAGCATGGGGAACCATCTCGTTGGTGATGGACAGACGCTTCTCATCATAGTGACGAGTCTCAACCACACCACCGATTGCGCCACCACTGATCTCGGCTGCGATGACTTGAGGAGCCTTCTTGCGGAAGATGAACATGCCGTGGCGGTACCAGTGGATGACGACGTAGACAAGCACGAAGATGAAGCCAACCATCGGCACAACGAAGGAGATTCGGGTGTTGGCAGCATCGGCGATGGCGGCCTGAATCGGGGGAAAGACAGCTCCGCCGGAAACACCCATGACCAAGATACCGGCACCGCGACGGGTGTTCTTGCCGAGGTTGGCAGTTCCAAGGGTGAAGATGGTTGGGTACATGGGAGCCATGAAGAAGAAGACGACAATCAGGACGGCGACCGCGGGAGTACCAGTACCGGCGGACACGTATGCGGTGAGGGCAATGGCACAGGTGGCGTAGATGACGAGTAGGAAATTCGACTCGAAGATTGTAGCCAGGCCAGTCGCGATGAAGCGGCCGACGGTGAAGGTGATGAGGGCATATGACAGCATCTGAGAGGCCTCGGTCTTGCTATAGCTTGCGTTCTCCGTGGCATAGTTGATGAACAGGGCGCCGCAGCTGACCTGGGAACCGACGTAGCAGAATTGTGCGACGAGACCACCCCACATGTTGTACTCCTTGCGCAGGGGCTTGTCGTTGATGACGAAGCCGTATTGATCCACACCCAGCTCTTCGTGGTTCTCGGCGACGATGGAAGCGGAGCGCACGGCCGATGTGCTAACCTCGGGAAGCTTTGCGAAGAAGAAGAGCACGGCGACGGCGATGCCGGCGCAGGACACCGCCAGGTACACGTATTGAACGTTGGTCAGGCTGCCTGCATTTTCGTCCGAGAAGAAGGCCTTGGATGCGATAAGAGGGCCGACGAAGGATGCAACACCGTTCCAGCTCTGACAGAACTGAAGTCGTGCCGAGGCGGACTCTGGTGCGCCAATGACGACGGCATATGAGTTGGCAGCAGTTTCAAGCTGAGAGAAAAGAAGATATGTCAGTCAAAAGCGAGAGCGGCGATCAAGGAGAAATGGTTTGCAGGCTTACCGTCGCGAGACCACAGGCGATGACCAATGTGCAGACCAGGAAGCCGCCGAAAGCAGCCTTTTCGTTGCTCGGGTTGGCAAAGTGGGCAGTAGGCCAGAACATGATCGCGCCGAGAGAGTAAAGAGCGAGACCCATCAGAATCGTAACCTTGTAACCCCTGCGTTGCAAAACTTCTGCGGCGATAGGAGAGAAGAGCAGGTAACCACCGCCGAAGTACATGACTTGAAGACCGGTCGACTCGAGCCTGGTGACGCCGAGGGCGTCCTGGAAGTGCTTGTTGAGCACGTCAAGCAAGCCTGGAAGAATGGCATTAGCAAGAGATCAAACTTCTCACGATGCAGTGAGTGAGCTGGTGGGAATGCGGGCAGTACTCGGACGCACCATAACTGAAACCCCAGAGGAAGAAAAGGCTGATGACGAGAGCCAATGGGTAGATCAACTTGCGACCAGAAAGGTAGCCGCCGACCACTGTCGGAGCGGGCAACGCAGGACCGCCGCCACCCATGTTGACAGCGCGAGGATTGTCGGGGTGGAAGTGAGAGATGTGTGAGAATGGCGCGGGAGATGAAAGGAGGTGCTCGCGAAGACTGGCTCGAGAGATGAGAGGATGGCCGATGGTGATGAAGACGATGATGATGAGGATATTGGTATCATGGAGAGGCATCCAGAGACATTATATATTCCATGTCAGTAGTCGAGAGCAGTGGAATGTACAGTAACATGCCTTCATGCATCCCCGCGACGAGGAGCACTGGAGGTACACACTGTACATGGTGGTGCATCACAGGTCCGTGTGAGCGCTAGAAGGTTGAGACGATGTTCTAGACGAAAGTCAAATTTCTTCTCCAGGCCGCACGACAGACGTCCGATGGTGGGGAAAACGCGCCCCGGGCGATTTCCCCAGTGGAGGAGCGCCACCGATTGAGACAATCTTGCCGTAAATACAGCAGCTGGGGAACTACAACCGTCTATCATTACGGGCTAGCAGCAACAGCAGCATTGGCGGCGAAAAGGAAGAATCACCAGATTCGGGGTGAGCCTGCGAATGCCCTTACTGCCGCTAGAACGAGTTGGCGCCGCTTGGCACGATCTTTGGTGGGCCGTCATGGCCGTCTGTCGGCGCGCGCATGCGGACAGGGTACAATCTGGAGACCTGGGGCGACAGCGTCTCGAGTGATGATGACTACCTTGATAGGTAGAGTTTGCTAACCTCATGGACTGATTCAATTTCATGAAGAATCGTCGACATGTGCTGCATTGTCATGTACCTTTCTCTGAGTCTACTATACCATCGGGAATTGTGAGAGAGTCTAATTGAGCAAATGGATGGCGAAGTAAGCCGATCTACTCGAATCGGTGATGATAATTATCATCCTCATCACAGAGCTCGTGCTAGAATCCAAGCTTGAAACACTACAGGCCCAGAATCAATTGCTGGGTGCGTTTACCTCGAGCCTCATGTGGCAGGACCTATTGGAGCTCGACATCACAAAGTACCTTGGTCGAATGCATGCTGTACATCTCCGGACTTGTCCATCAGGAGCTGAGCTGCTTCACGCTGAGGGTCTCCTCCTCCGATCGGGTGCCGGCACAAGCATTCTTGCCTCAACGACTTTGTAATCTCTCGAGCTCCTAGAAGTCGTACGATGGCTTGCTTCGAGAGGCATCGTAGACCGTGTCGGCCTGAAGTGGCTGTTGGACCTGTGCCGCTCTCTCCACTTCCAGCAGAAGCTGACAATGTTGGGAATAGAATACGGGCTGTGTAGCCGATTCGAATTTTGCATCGTGACACGCCTTGAACACTAGCCACAGGGGAGCACGGAAGAGAGAGGCAGCGATGGCGGGTTTGGCAGGCCTGCAGTCGCCGCACATTGGCGCACGATGACCACGGTACCCAAGTGAATGTGGTACCTCTTGCATAACACAGTAGCCAGATGCGGTCATGAATTGGAGGTAAATAGGGAAGTATATCTCTGGTGTGTGGTGGAGGGGAAGCGGCGCGATGTCGTCAGTCGACGATGGTCCGCAAGCCCTACTAGGGACTACTACCTATGCATGTAGTAAGTACAGTAATCAAGTACAGTAGTACATTCCGAGGTTAGAACCGATCACACAAACGACGCCCAGCCAGGATCTCTCTCCGGCTGTGGAGAAGGATTCTTTGCAATCGGCCCGAGTCCGGCAACGATGCTCACTGGACCACTGGCTCTCTTTTCTCGCGAGGCGCGATCTGGCCATTGTTCACTCTCGGAAGGATGAGACGCAGAACTGTACAAACTGCGAAAGCCTCGGAATCATCTTCCGTCGGCCTCACATACATCTGTCGCTCGGTGGTGACTACACAAAGTCTCTTGTCCCCTACCGTTCATTGCACACACATTGCAGTACAGTAGTCACCCATTCGAGGGCCAAATCTTCGTGCAAATCTGTTTTCTGCTCGCATTGATCGACCAGAGGAAGCGCAACTTCATGGTGGCAACCAATTGCGGATATTGATGCATACCTCTCGTCGGAATGGAAATTGTACTCAAGCGATAAAAGGGCATATCAATATGGTGAGCGACGGGTGCACGACTGTTCTGTCGACGCTAATAAATGACAAGCCGCCCAGAAGAGAAGCGCGCTGGAGTGTACAGTACCTGGCACGTACGTGATGACTCTACTCTCGCACTCTCGTCCTGTAGCTTATAATCTCGGCATTATTCTCGTTAGCTCACGGCCTCTCTTTTCGCCGAAATAGCACCGAAGCGCGACAATGAGATGAGGGCTCGCCCGGATCTCGCCCTATCATTTTGATCCAGTACAAGCGCAGCCGAAGCCTGCACACGCGAACGAGAGCACCTTCTTGTTAGCTTATTATTCGATTGTTCTCAGGCTGCATTCCAAGATTCTTTACGTATGCGTACCGGCCGCAAGAGTACACACACCTGTGCGCGCAGGTGATCCAGGTCGCATAGCGTTTCGACAAGTCATTCGACTTCCTGGATCACGGTCACCAGCACCGCGCCACTGCTCGCTACAATATTCCAACCTCCATCGGGCTTAAGATGCTCAACCAGCTTGGCGTATGGGCTTTGCTCTCATGAGTCAGTCCGTCAACACGAATATTGGAGATTTTGGTATCACCAACATTCGACTCTCGGACCACTTGCACATCTGTCACCGCCGGTTGCGGCAAGATCAGATGCGGACCAGACCATACTCGCGTCTTGCTGCAGTTGGCCTTTCTTCCGGACCGCGAGACCCCCTCTCAAATGCCCACCGCCATCCTCATCGACGAGATTGCGTCTTCCAATCACCCCCTCTCACCGGCTTGATGACTTGGAACACCAGGCACCACTTGCGCGTGAAGACAACCGCGAACACGCTTCCCGTCACTAAAAATCAAATTCACCGTGAAATCCGGCCTTTCACCAAGATGACTGCTTCTTGGCGCTCAAATTTCCATCCTTCGTCCTTGAGCATCTTAGCCACCGCGGGTCCAATCCGTGCCTTACCACCTTGACTGTGAATTCCGCGACCGACGACGATGCTGAACCCTGCTTGACGGGTCTCAGCGCCGATGCGGCCGTTTACCCGACTCTCGCCCAGATTGCTCCACCATTGACCTACCCTCGTCCTTGCAATGCGAACGGCGTTGGCGACGTCAATGTTGTGCAAGTCAAGCTGCGACGCGCAAGACTGTGCTTCGGCGGTCCCGTCGGCGACATCGGCCAGCGCTTTGTATGCTAGTGCGCTATACTCCCGGCGCACGTCGGCATAATACGCCGCCGCGCCGCCCATGAGGTGGTTGGATTTGGACAACCGATGCGCGCCGCTTGCCTGCGAGAATGCGATGCCGCTACGCGCAGTATATTCGTTGGCACGTGCAACTGCATCGGACATGTCAAGAGATGATGATTTGACGTGTCCGTTACGTACGCCTCGAGGAGACTCCAGCTCGAGCGCGTCCGGAGGAGGACCATATCTCGGAATTATGATCTGTATGCCACCGCCGGGAGACTTCGCAGGACTGCGAGTCATGGCTTTTGCGAGTTCATGCGCTGAAGCGGTCGATGGGTGCGTCAATTGAACCAGCGCCGTCGCCTGCCGTGACGAAATTGTTGGAAATTCGTCTTGTAGCTCACGCACATGATATTGGATTATGTCGTCTCCCGCGCCGAGCTTCGGCTTATCTGCGGGTAACTCCAGAACAGCAACGATGGTCGTCGAGATTGAGCCTCCATTCTTATGGTAGAGTGACGAGATGGTCGTGTTGGACAGACCGCTGCGAGTGGCGATGAACTCGATGTCCTCGGTCGTCTTTTGCCAACGATTCAAGTTCGAGGTACCGTTTGAGAGATCAGGGTCCGCGGCGAGGTTTGTTGCTCTGAGAGGGTCCTTGCGATTCCTGCCTTTTGCTTTGCCTTTCCGTTGACGCCGGCCAACGTTGTCTTCGGAGAAAGCGTCGATGCCCTTGTGAGCCAATTTCGATCCATCATCGCTGTTCTCAGCCTCGTGAAAGTAAACCTGATTAAGGAGTCCGTCCATGGCCGCATTGAATCGCCCATTGCATGACTGTAACGTGTGCCGAACGATGTGCTGTGGAAGTTGCTCCCCGAAGAGACTCATCAGGACCTGTAGCTTTGTCTCGTCGTCTAGCTCATCGAGGTGTTCGAAGCCTGCGTGATCTGCGACTCCGCCATTCTCAGAGGTCGTCTGGCCTCTGCTCGCAGTAGTCGCGGACTCTAGTGATTGGCTATCGGTCCCTATCGAAAGCCCTGCAATTGCTTCGATTTGCGAGTCTGCGCTCCGGGATGAGTAGTCCTGATCGATCGGTTGTCCTCCCGTGCCAGAGGCGTCGAATGCCAGCGAGTCCTCGGCGAGGGCAGACTGCTTGAGCAAGTCCAGCGTTGGTCTCGCGTGGTCGACGGTCTCATTGTCGAAGTCCGACAAAATGGATCGTAGCAAAGATGTATCGATAGGAGGACAAAACTCGGCCTGTTTGGTTTTAGTTCTCGGCGAATCTGTTGCATTTCAACACTGTCAATACCTCGAATCTGTCTAACACTTTCTGATCTAGTTTTACATCGCCCATAATTCTAGCTTGTATATCTCGATGATCCTTTGAGAGTATCTTCAAAAATGTCTGCAGTGCTCGTTCTCGATCTGCCAATTACGTCCGAAGGGATGTTCAGGCATTCATACCTAGGTAGTGTCGGAAGATGTACTGCGATCTTTCCACTTGAGCCCACTTGAGTACGGTGGTACGTAAGTCGAAGAGGCCTTGGAGGGGATATGGGTGGAGACTGGAATCACTACTGGGTTGGTCAGAAATAAATCTGTAGAATTTAAAGATGGATATATGACGACGAATTCTAGAGAGTGGGCGGCTAAAGAGAGACATGGATTCACAGGCTCAGGGTTCGCGATGTGAAAGGCTCATCGGTCACAACGGATCACCTATCAAGAGCACGTATGGGATATGCTCGCTTGCATTCCCCTTGTGTTGCCGCATAAATTCGTGACTCGTAAATGATGCTCTGGCTGAAGGAAATGGAGTTGTGGTTGGAGCCCACCAATTAATGATCACATGGAGTCATTCATCAGTCTGAAAGCCTTGGAAGCAAATCATGACTGATCCTCATTAGGGTTGGCCGGTGTGATCGATCTCCAGATTGTTGTTGTTATTACATGGTCGAATTGAATAATATGAGCAAGCTGCCCAAAACACATCGTACAATGCATTCACGATATGCCTTTTAAGTATCTGCAATAACGACTGTCTCAGGATGTTTTGCGCTCAATTCCCAAAATGCGCCGCGACCATGCCGTTCGATGCTCTTCAACAGACAGACTGAAAACACAACGCGGGCGGAAGGATTCCATTCGAACGCCATCAGCGGGTAAAGGCCAATGGCATGCCGCCGACTGCGGATATGATATTCGAAAGGAGGCTCGATCACATATCATCCATTCTTCGTTGGGCTACCACCTCCACTGGTACGCGCACGTTCACTTTCGCCCTTGCCGTCCTGGGCCTGTGAGCCCTCCTTCGTGGCGTGCATTGGGTTACTGAGTGCCTGGTTCGCTGGGCTTCCATCGAGAGGGTTGGAGGACTGTGAACCGGAAGTCGGGTCAGCATACCGACTTGCAAAAGCAGCAATCGCTCGATTGATCAGGCCCATGCCGATCGGCCAGTGACGTACATTGGTGCCCTCGGTCTCCTTGCCGGCCTTCTTCAACGCCTGCTCGGGTCTGGTGTCTTCCTTGCTGAACGCAACATCGCTTGCCCTGGCCGTCTTGCCATCTCCGCCGGACTTGCTGTACTCGTTCGGGTCGACGTTCATTGACTCACGGTCTTGAGTGTCTTTACGAGCATACATGCGTGCTTGCGACTGGAACGATCTCACGACAATGGCTCGCTGAGCTGCCGGCGTGAATGCGGTGGTCTTTGTCCGTAAGGCGAACATGGTTGAAGTTTGAAAGACGATGATATGTGGAACAGTGCGTTATGTTGGTCGCTCCTCAGATGCCTGAAAAAGTTATAATTATGGGAATCTGTGATATTAACGAGGAGGCATGCAGAAGTAGTAAATGGTGTGCTTGCGTAATCATAAAGCTCAAGTTCTGCTATTGGAACAGTTCGAACAAGACCTTAGCAGCTGGTACGAGAGACTACAACAGCAGCAGCATCACCTTACAGGGCAAATATCTTCCGCTGTAGAACGCATGTATCGTTGCATGCAGGTGGCACGATGAGGTCAATCTGACAGCAACGATCTGTTTGCGTGGTACAGAGAGCGCCGAAACACGTCCGGCTGACGTCATGGTTGATTGTCGTGCACACAGCCGCGGATGGTCACCAACGGACATGCTCCCGATGACTGACCACGCCCGCTGGCAAGGTTCGACAAGCCATTGTTGCCTTCATTATCACGGATCCTCTAGCATAAGCTTGCGGTTAGAATTATACGTGAAAGAAACAAATTGTGTCTCAGCCGATCAACATTAGAATTCTAGACCGTCATGCACAGGATCTGAAAGGCAGCATCATGATGCACGAGGTCGCTGGTGTCATCAACAGCACTCATTTCAGATCCACAATAGCTCTGCATGTTTGCAATATATCCTAGCCGTTATGTGCTCTGTCAGATGGATGCTGAGACAACTGCTATCGTTCTAGATTGTAATTTCGAGATTGAAAAAGATGCGCAGTGCGTGTTTAATACACCTCGAGCACGTATCGCAACTCCTCCTTGAGCCTCTCAATCTCCTTAGGGCCTTCCAATTTCTTGCCGGTAGCCCGCCCTTCGACTTCAACCGCCTCCTCAAGCACTGCGGTAACATCCGGCACAGGCCAGGTCGGTCCGCAGAGATAGAACGCACCGTCGTTCTGCAGGTAGGCGCGTCGGATGTCGTCCAAGGTCTGGCGCATGCGATCCTGGATGTAGATCTTCTGCGGCTGGTCTCGACTGAAAGCCCGACCGAGCAAGGTGATGATACCGGCGTCTTGGTAAGCTTCCCACTCCTCGCCGTACAGGTACTCCTCGCGCTGGTGACGGGCGCCCATGTAGAGGAAAACCTCGCCGATGGGCATGCCCTGCTCCTTCTGCCAGGCGCGCTCCTGAACAAAGGCGCGGAACGGCGCGAGACCAGTACCGAGTCCAGCCATGATGATAGGCTGAGTCGACTTTGGCGGCAACTTCATAACGGAAGGCTTCACAGACACTGTGACTGGCGAACCGACTGTGAGGCCGTTCAAGTATCTTGTCGCTTGACCGAAGCGATCGCGACCACTAGGGTCAACCCAGTTGACCGTGACAATCAACAAGCTGACGCTGTTAGGCGTCACCTTCTGCGACGATGCGATAGAGTACTCTCGCCGCTTCATCGGGCTGACAATACGGACGATGTCGTGGAAGCTGGGGTGCGCAGAAGGGAACTCCAATAGAACATCAGCAAATGTCACAGTGTCGACCTCGGCGCGTCGTTTGAGCTCCTGCACAGCCTCCTGGTTGCCACCGGTACCGAGCATCAGAAGCTCGACCCTTTCTTTTTCCTCCGAAGCAAACTCACTGAGCGCCTCGTAGAATCGCTTGGGCGGTCGGCCGAAGATGTCCACGTTCTGAAGCAAAGCCTGGTAGACGGTACGGTTTTCGAGGACAGAGTCATCGTCACGGGATGGAACTTCGACAATTTCCTCCGGGTTCAATCCGTACCATTTGATGAACTGCTCGACCTCACCCTTGTCATTTTCAGCATGAATACCCAGTGCTTCACCAATGTCGTATGTAACTCCACTGTCACCGAGATCGAATTCGATGTGGAAGATGTTACGGTCGTATGACTTGGGAGTCAATCGGCGACGCTCCTTGACGTGAACGACAGCCGTCTTCACGCTCAAATCAGGCCGCAGCGCTGTAGACGTTCCATAGGCCTCCTTGAATACGAGACCCTTAGCTGCGATGGTCCAGTCGCGAAGCAAAGTCGGCGGTTCCTCCTCGGTCCGGTCGAAAGGCGCGAAACTGTTGGAATTGAGGTCAGCCGCCGGTGGCAGAGTCTCGTTTGCCTCGAGTTCTAGAGTACGCCAGCCCTCTGGCACGTCGACCCTAAGCAATGCCTGATCGAGCTCCTTGGAAAGTGCTTCGAGCACGTCGCCATCGGACTTCAGACGGTCCAAGCCTGTCTTGTAAAGGTCGGGCCGGGCAAGCTTCAAGAAAGCGAGCTGCACCAGGAAGGACTGCAAACTGGAGTCCTCCTCTACGCTCTTGCTGGCGGAACAGTCCAAGATCCACAGAGCGACCCCCTTTGCAGCAATGGCCTTGCGGACGGAAGGGCCAAGCTTCTTCTCAGCGTCCTCCTCTTTCCAGCCTGGAATCTTGATAAGCAAGGTGCCGTTCTGCGCCAAACTGTCCAAAACAGAGAAGCTCTTCAGCAGATCAAGTTCCCCGATGACAGCCAAATCAGCCGCCTCGATGCTGTGAGCCGCTTCGATGCTGCGAGAAGAGGTTCGCAACTCCGTTCGCAAAGCTCCACCTTGCACAAGATTGTCGTGCGAGGAACGGATGGCGACATTGAGCGCGCTGTTGCCGGAAAAGAGCTGACCGATCATGGCAGGAGCGCTCACACTCTGGCTGCCATCAACATCCCAGAAGACATACTGCTTGAGATCTTGGTTCGATAATGAAACGATGCTCTGCTCCGAGGGGGTCTCCGAGCCAGCGACGGAACGCTGCAAGATGGCTTGGAGCTTGGCGACCGTCCAGACAATTTCGCGAGAATATTTGATCTCGAAAACGCTGGGAGTCTTGCCCGAGGTCATGCTTGAAAAGTTGACAGCCGCAAGCACGTCCGAGAAGAGGCTGCTGTTCACGCTGGAGTCAGTTGCAAGGGCCTGGTCTTGCACCTGGCCGAGCACAGTGATCTTCTGCACAGTTGCAGGAAGTGCCGACAGGAACTCTTCCTCTACAAAGGGTCGGTACACCCGTACACTGATCACACCGACCTTCGCATCCTGTTTCGCGAGGGCATCAGCAATCTGTCCAGACAAGCTCGCCTCCACAGTTCCAAAGACGACCAAGACACTCGTCGCTGCGCTGTGGCCGTGGTATTCGAAGCACTTGTACTCAGTACCCAGCTCAGCGTTGAAGGCAAGCAATAATTTGGCAACTTTGCCCTCGTTTGTCAAACGCTTTGAAGCGACATCGGGTTTGACGACGTCCAGAACGCTGTCGTAGACCCGCTTGAGGCTGGAGACGTTGAGAACATCGACGACACGCGTGATCTCACGTCCGACGCTAATGCCGTCGTACGTGTGGATGGTGGGTACGATGGACGCCAAAAGAGTCGACAGCAGGGCCATGTGCTGCGTCTCGTATGTGCTCTTGCTTGTGATCAGACCCAGACCGAGCTCTTCAGCCAGCGTGAATGCTGCACAGTAATCCGTGACGAGACCTGCCTTGCTCTGAGCGGAGTAGTCGACCGCAGCCACTTGAAGGGTGGTCGGGTTGGCAACATTGTAGAGTAGACTCAATTGGTCCAGCGCAGGACGCAGATGATAGAGCGAGGCTGCACTAGCGATGATTGTTTGGGGCATGTGGCGTCTCTCGAGGTCGAAATCGCTGCTGAACATGTAACCCAGGGTGATATTGCCGGCGCCGGCACGGGTCTCGAGACACTGTACGCCGGTGACTTGGTTGTAGGCATTCTTCTGCTGACCCTGCTGCCAAGCCCGGGCGGCAACATCTAGATCAAATGACTCTGGCGAATAGGTGAACAGCTTGTCTGAGAGAGTGTACGCGACCTGCTGAACGAGTGTCTGCGCAGTGAGATAAGTCGGTCCAGAGATCGAAGAGAAGGCGACATCTTGCCCGAATGGCAACGACTTCTTGCTGGAATCATTCTGCCGGCTGGTGGAAGCCGCAGGTCCATTACTTTCGCCTGATTGAAGATGCATGTTTGCGGGCCTCTTCAGTCGTATGTGAGTGACAGGCGAAGAAGGCTGTGTTCTCGCCAATCCGCAAGGAACTCACAGAAAGACGCGGGCGAGACAGGCTTGAGACTGCAAGGGAAAATTTCGGCCGGTCTCGGCGACTTTCAGCGCCATTGATGACCACAGCACCGAATTGCAGACGCCGCACACGGGCACCCCACCATTTGGTCGTGTCCGAAACAGCCGGCTCTTCCTGTAGATTGGCCAACGACCGAATCTCACCACGGTGAATCTGAACTCGGCTAATGCTTTCAGGTACGAGAGCGTGTTGTATGTCCGGGCGGGCACGCAGGCGTTGGATGCATGCACACACACGCGCCACAAGTCGATGGCATGCAGCAAATATGCTGATTGCTTTACTCAATTATTACTACTGCATGTCGATGGTTCACCCTCGAAGACGACTGGCGCTCCGATCAGGAATCACTCGCACTAGACAATCATGATAATTATTAGGCTAGAAAGGCAGCATGAATTGGACACAGTCGTCAGCCAATTTGCAAGCAGTTCATGCCGGTAGTTTGCACACTTCTGTCAGGACGTCGATAATCTCGCTTGGTCTTCGAAGAAACATTGGACTTGGAAAATACGTGGGTATCACGAAATCCTTTACCATCAGTACGCGATCATCCCGCAAGTCAGAGCCACATACCATCGCTGTCGACATCAATCCAACTGCAGACAGCTCGAGTCATATTCCGAAACGAAAATCTACTTGAAGCATGCAGGTCGCTTCATGTGCCGACTTTCGGAAAGTCTGTGACGGTATGACTGTCTTTGCGGACCAGCAAGATCTCCGGCTCTGCTATACCCCAGAACGTCCATATCTTCGGGCAAATTGTGATATAGCAAGTTGCTGCTTCTCATCAACTCTACTCTCCAGACTGCTCTTCGTCCTGTGACAGGGCACATCATGTATCGCTTGAGCTGCTAGTTCATGGCGACTTGTCGCTTGTGGGAAAGTCTTCCAGCGGGCCAGATGTTGCACTCATGCCTGGCGCAGCTTGAGGCGCAACAGAGGTTGGAGCACCGGGCTCAGGGGCCTTTTCCGGCTTCGCAGCAACAGCTTCTTTCCCGACTGACTCCGAATCCTTGACAGGCACCTGCGGCGTCGCACTAGGAAGCGAAAGAGGCGCGCTCGTGTCCGACTTTGCTTCGGACTCAGCTGGTGCTTCAGTCGCCTGAACCGAGCCTTTGCCAACAACTTCAGGCGTATCCTCGGTCGCTTCTCCCCTATCAGCTTCATTCTTTCCTGTCTCACATATGTCACTCCTACCTGAGACTTTGGGCGACGATGTGGCAACCGGTGGTGCTTGCACGGCTGCTGTTGGTGCTGGAGCAGGCCGGTCTGCTTCGGAGGGAGGCGGTGCGCTACCTGTCGGATTCGCAGGTCCAATCGGAGAGGATTCGACTGCCTGGGTAGGGATTGTTGCGGCTGCTGCAGTAGTGTTGGTGGCGGTCGCAATTGTGGCGGGCGTCGCGCTCGATGTTGCGGGTGTGGTCAAAGGCTTTGTGTGGTCTACTGCCGTAGGCTGTGTTGCTGGCAGCTGTGTATTCGAGCCCTGCTGACCAACGGTGGTCGTTGTAGATGACGTGCCTGGTATTGCGGCGGCAGGTTGGCTCGATGCGACATTGCCTGCCGCGGCGGGAGTCGCAGCTGGCTTTTCTTCCTGGTCCTGTTTCTTCGACGTCGCTCGCTTGAACATCCCCTTCATCACCCGCTTGAGGTTCTCGACCGCATTGGGAGCTTACAACTGTCGCGTTAGACATGGTCCTATGATGTGAGCACATGATGTGACCACTCACGAACACCTGGCATCGTGTTGAGCTGTGAAGGGTTCTCGGAATGTGATAGAAATATAGTCCGTGATGGTACGACGGGATTGATCTCGCGGGAGGATGATAGAAGACTTTGGCAGATGAGGAAAAGATGAAGCGAGTGACCAAAGGTAAGGTATCGCTCAGAGAGGAGGAGACGCGAAGGACACTTGATCACTGCTCGCCGGCGTGACTCTTTGATCCAATCTCGCTAATTTGGCAAGTCGCGATCAGTCCATGGGGGTTTGGGTCGGTCGGGGTGGTGGGTGCAGCAGAGCTGGATGTACAGTGCATATGTGGAGGTAGAATACGCCTGGGAGGTTATTATGTGTTGAAACCCACCTGCACCTGGGCATGGATGGTTTCGCTCTGTTATCACGACTCGAGGAGGCTACTACTGCTGGAAGGAATACCGTAGTTCATGACGCCTGGCCCACCTTCCACGCTTGCTGGTGATGGGATATGTACAGTAAGATGATGGATGCCGGAATCGTTGTGTTTCAAGGTTACTTAGCACACCTGCATGTGTTTTGTACTAATAATAATCCATGGATGCAGGTGCTAATCAAAGCCCTGAACATGGGACAATACTGTGCGCACATCCACAATTTGACAAATGATACCTAGATGGTGTACACGGCATGATAGAGTGAGTGTACGATACACTCCACACAGAGAGACAAAGCACTGTACTGCACCTGGGCACGGCGGTAGACTACCGTGACTACCTAGATACCAGAGAGAATGCATGAATGTGACCTAAGAAAAGCTACAGGCAGGGCGGGATCCGAGCCGTCAGTCCGGCGGAAGCCACGACACCTGGGCGGACAGGCAGGGGAGATGATACTGTTGCTCTAGGCATTGGAGACCACCTGGGCATGCACCTGCTATTCCCTCATGGCACCTACCTACCCAGGTGGTGGACAGTATTTATATAGTATGCCTGGAGTCCATCTCTACCCAGCCAGAGGTTGCAGAGAGAGTGACGGGGGCCAGGGAAAGTCCAGTACAGTACAGTACAGTATACATTGGCGGATGGTTTATAAATAGCGATGCACGATGGGGAGGAAGGTGGTTTGTGTTGATGGGATTTGAGAGCACCCGTGGATTCCAGCTCTCCAGCTCTCTCTGGAATGCCCAGGTGATGCGTGTATATGCAACAAAACAGCCGCCCGTGAGGGAATGAAAAGACACACACTCACCCATGAATTCATCGCTCCTCTACCCGGAAAACGTGACACGCGCGTGCACGAGAGGCCCCACTCACTTCATCCGTTTCTACAACACATAGTCGCTGCAATACATTGCGAACAAAAAGGTGAATCTCCAGGATTCCAGGTTTTGGAGCAACGAAATTATAGTTCCGGGCGAGAGTTTCGTCCTTGCCGCGCTAGGCATATGAAACGACCACCATCATCAACGTGAAGACCTTCAGCTCCAGGTGGTGTCGATACAGACTACATACATACATAGAGTATGTACACCACTGCACGATGACTCCGTCGCTTCTACCACTGCACACACGCATGTTCCCATCAGATCGTCTATGTTGCAGCATCACATGATCGTTCTCGATGGACAGTGATTGGGAGTGTGCTTCTGATTGGCTCGTCAGCCTCGGGCCGATCTTTCGCCAGCTTGTCCTTCTCGAGGATTCAAGGACGAGGCTGGTCTACCACCAGAGGACTGCGCGTCCAGATGCCTGTTGATCACGGATGGCATTGTGCGTGTCGTCGGAGTGCCGCCTTCGACCTGCATCGGACTTCTCCCGCTTGCCCATGGAGCTCTAGTCCCGGTCGACGCAGCCGCACTTGCATTCTTGCCTGGCGCTTGGGTGGGCACTTGTTGGCCGTGAAAACTTGCCGGTTGCGGCTCCAAGCCCGAACATCTCTCCCAGCTCAGCAGGCTACCAAAGGGGAAATGTTGGACGACAGGGAACTTGCCCAATACCTCGGCAGCATACATTTTCAGCATGCCCTTGTTGATCTTCGCCCAGCCGTCCTTGATCCCACTGATATCGTAGAGCACGGGTGAATGCTCCCAGAAAGGACCTTTCTTGACATCGTAGATGAATTGCACGGCAGCGAAGTATAGGTTGGAGTCCTGGAGGTCCTTCACGGTAGCTGCGTTCGTCACAACTGACGGAGAAGGGCTACCTCGCAGCGAACCCTCAACGGGAGTCGCGCCAACTGGGACCTTCAGATCGATCGCAGGACCGAACTGCGCGGAACCCAGTATGTACGGTATAAAACTATGGTCATCGAGCCCCCATACGCCGTGGGATCCGGCTGGTTCGAGAGTGTAAGTGAGAATCAGACGTCTCACGAGTGCGAGGTATGGCTGGATAATTCCCACCACAATGGCTCGCTCCTCGCCACTTCGGAGCGTCCCTATCTTCCACAAGCAACAGAGTAGTGCCAGAAAACTAAGTTCGTGACCTGTCCCGTAGTCCAAGCGAGGAGCACTTCCAAAGGCCCCGAGGAGGTAGGGCTTTAATTCATCGCACAGCCCATTCCGCCGCAGAATGTCATCAGGTGAGAAGAGCGATTGCAAGAGCTCGTCCGCGCTCTCCTCCATAAGAGAATACCAGGCCCGGAAAGCAACATTCCCAAATCTTCGAGGTCCTGTACTAGGTGGAGCATGACTGATCATGCCATCTAACTTGACGAGGATACTTTTCACGTTTTGGGTCCCATCTGAGAGTACCATAGACCCATCATCAAGCCGGAGCCGCTGTATCTCTCCAGTGTCCGTCAATTTTGGAAACGACGCTCGATTGAGCGTGAGTATCCAGGCGGTGATATCCCGGTATGCCTCAGATGCCAGGAAAAGGTTGAGATCTTCACCATCGTTGATCCTTTTCGTAGGTGTAAGAAAAACGTGGAGAGAGACGTCGTCGATCGTGGAGACTGTGGGAGGCAGAGACCTAAGCCCAGCTTTTGACTCTGTCATCTCGAACGACGTATGGCGCAGAATTTCACGAACCTTGAGAACCCTTCAATGTGTGCGACATTTGCCAAATGACTCTGAGAATGTGTCTCGATAGGTATTGTTTTGATACCGTGCCCCAAGGCGATTTGAGCGGGCAATCTGGATGAATGTTCAGTCTGAACTGTAACCCTTAGACTTGCACTGACTTGCCTTTGCAAAAGCCAGGTCCTGTCAATTCCTCTCCAGCATTCTCGAACAGCTACCTGGGGGTTGTTTATCCCCCAAGTTTTGCTCTTGCCTCCGTTTCCAGATCTCCATGATGAGCGGGAATGTTCTTGATCACGTGAGATCTAATGATTCGAAGCGCTCCAAGGTTGATTTCTCTCACAAAGGCGAGGAGTGAGTGACATGTGATTTTGCAAAGTATATTGACAAGGGTGGGCTGCCGAAGTCAGGGTCCAGCCAGATTGAAATGCCAGAAAGGAAGTTCGCGCGAAACGCAATGATATCTGTGCCCACCAAAACCCTATGTCGCAATACATAACGGCGCGTGATGTACATTGTATCGCTGTGCACGACCTTGCTTTGATATCACACACATGGTCGTATCCTTTTCGATTCTGATATGCTCCCCGCAGCTGCCGAACAAAGTCATCTCGCTTGCGACAAACGATCAGCCAATGCGGCGCGTCGCCTAACGCGCGATGTAGCGCCCTGAGCGCAACGAAGACTTGCCAAACATTACCCAACAATATACACATTTCTCATCGACCATGAATCAAGTGCCGCATGTTCAGTGGGATTGATCCTCGTTCTACAACGACGTGAACATTGGTATTGTGTAGGAAGCCCGTCAGCGCATTCCCATTGCGTAGAATGCCACCCGCAAGACGTGTCTCCAAGCGCGTGGAGCAGAGACAAGCGAACGAGCAGTTGAGAAATGACCACAATCTGTCCACTCGCGTACAGAAGACAAGTGGACGCGTTGAAAACTGCAGGACACGTAGTACTCAGACTAGCGATGTCAAGACAGACATAGAAAAAGCGGAGCAGCGGCGCATCACAGTCGCAACCGCAGGGCGACGGAAGCAAAGGAGAAGAGCGACTGTACAGATCCAACCGGACGAAGATGAGCGGCATAGTATTGCGGCTGACCGCGAGAAAGTGGATAACGGCGACACCGAGTCACCGCGCGCACAAAGCAGTCCCGAAGAGTCTGGGCGCGGACACAGAAACGGACCGGACATGAGTAAATGCGAAGACAATCGAGACAGTCCCTACATCTCGTTCGATCTTAGAGATGCGGAGACTCTTGGTCAACCGTGGAGTAAGCTGGCAACCATCCCTGAAGAGGTGCGCCAACTGGAAGCTTCTACCGGGAGACCCAAAAATTGTCGTCAGTCGGAAATCCGACAGATCTGCGCCATATGCCGTGAGTGTTATATCATCATTCGCGAACAGGTCGATGGACGTGTCGACGAGTCTGCTGTGGTCGAACGGCTCCATAGGGTGTCATCCCTCATGGCAGAAATGCGCACCAACCATGACAATGATGCAACGGAGTCTTCGAGGCATCAAGACTACCTGAGCAGCTGTTATTGGTACCTGATTCCACATGCTGTCAGACTCCTACTGTCAGTAATCAATAGCTACAGAGTACGCGACAGGGCCTTGGAAACCCCAGGTATCGACATGAGTATCGAGCACGCCCAATCCGTCAGTGATCTCTGTGCCGACATCGCGGCCTTGGGTAAAGACCTGTATACACGTGAGAAGCCCAAACAGTTGTTGGTTAAATTCCAAGGACACCTCACATCGGCGCACATAAATGTAATCATGCCGATCCGTTCGGTGATGGATGCGCTGCTGCGAACCATTGAGGATAACCGACAAAGCGAGCTCCACGAACAGAGGATGAGGGTGACGGCAGTCGAAGAGGCGGAGCGGCAGCGGATCGAAGCTTTTCAGGAGGAGTATAGGCTCGCTCGTAAGTACAAGATCGCGCAGTGGCAACGGCTACACGAGTGGCGACGCTATTCGGAGCGCGGCTTCCTTTCACTCGTGAAGCAGAACCTCCTTGCTTACGAGGAGCTGCCGCATGCGGAGCTCGATGCCGACGGCTTGCCATTTGAGCGAGTCGACGTTTTCGCACCGCTGAGAGTCCGCGTCGGTCCCTCTCTATTGCAGATGCAAGCAGCACGCGCAAAGTCTTGGTCGATGCAACAGGAGCAGGACCTGTGCGAGGGACTAAAGGACTTTGCCGGCGAGGATGTGTTGATTCGTATCTTCTCGAAATACTGTGGCAAAAGCCTTATGAATTTCAGCGTCTCCGACATTGTCACGCACGCTGCCGATCTCAGGGAGAGATGGCTGCTCGAGTCACAGGAGTCTCAACAAACCGCGCCTGCATGGGTCCAACAGATCCCGGTCTGGACTCGACCGCATGCCATTGGTAAGGAAAACGAGGAGAACGTAGGGTGAATTCATTGAGCTTGTAGAGTGGATGTCGCGACAATCTACTATATTAAATGTGACCAGCATAAGCAAGGTCTCGCCTGTCGGCGTACGATGAACTTTTGCCCACGAGCCACAAATCGGGAGGATAACGAGCCGCTGCAGCGGTGGGTAGAATAGTCAGCGCGCAATGGCGCGCCGATGAGCTTGCTCGTGCGGCCGGCGATCGTATTTACATAATGACCTCGTTAGCGACGTCCTATGGTGGTTTTGTCAGATGAGCAACTCGAATGATTAGTGTTGCAAAAGTGTAGACTTACGCGCTTCAACTCTTTGAAAGGTAGGCATACGCAATTCTGCACCTTCACCTCGTCTGCGACGGCACATTCCTTGCCCAGGATGGTGATGCTCTGCACCTTGACGCCGTTTTTGACGACGCTTGTGCTGTGCTCGCGTACTGGCGTAGGTGTTCCCTCCACTCTCGCCCATGCGCCAATGCGACTGCCCCAACCGATGATAGAGTAGAGAATGCAGGCATCATGGCGAATGTCTGCATCTTCGAGGACGATGGATTCCTTGATGCGCACTCCTGCGCCAATGACAGCACGGGCTCCAACCGACACGTTTGGACCGAGTTTTGCTGTAGGGTCGACGCGCGCGCTCGGGTGGATGTAGACTGGCGGAAGGATGTTGGCCGATGGCTTCGCAAGCTCTTCAGATTGTGTTTGGAACGCCTTCGTGAGGTACAATGCGTTGGCAGGAACAGCAGAGCCAGCAGTCTTGATCTGACGCCAGAAGTCTTTCGTTTCGAGGACGAAGAATTGTCGGCTGTCGGCCAGGTCTGATAAAATATCCTGCTCCAACCGAATGACCTCGTTCTTCTCACCATCCTCATCTTGGTCCGCTGGGTAATCCAGGGGCAAGGCTTCCGAGGATGGGTATGAGACCAAGCGTGGACGGTCGCTTCGCCGCTTGATGGCGCTCTTGATGCTTGGGAAGATAGCCTCGGTCGAGAACAAATATACTCCACAATTGATGAGATTGGAGATGTGTGACTCTGGCTTTTCCACGTAATGCAACACTCGCTTGCTATGAGCGTCGCTCACGATGCATCCGAAATTGCTCGCGGCATCGTTCGAGACGCGAGTACCCAAAATGACCGCCTCAGCATCCTTCTCTTCAAACAGCTTCAACATTTGCTCGAGCGGGAAGGAGCAACAGACGTCGGCGTTCAAGACGAAGAAGCGATCAGGACGACCTTTGAGGATAGCATCGCGGAAATGGTAGAGACCACCGGCGGTTCCGAGGGCCTGGTATTCGCGCAGGTAGCGGATGCTGATATGCGGGTGGGTGCGTGAACAGTCCTTGATGAAGTCTCTGAAGACACCCTCCTCGTAGTAACCGACGAGGAAGACTTCACGGATCTCATCGACTTTGGCGACAGCGGCGAAGCAGTGAGAGATGATGGGATGGCCTGCGACTTCGAAAAGTGGCTGGTAATGAAGTCAGCAGAACGAACATGGAGCCGGCAGGACTGTCGGAATGTGTGATTGGCAGGTCTCATTTGAATGAATTTGGTAGTCGGCATGCGAGATGCAGTGCCGACTGTGAACCTTCCGGGTCGCCGTGCATTGCAACCGTGAGGCGCAATGCCATACACGAGGTCGCGACGCTGGCACCGACGCCGACGACGATGGCAAACATGCTGCCACAGGGAGTATCTCCGCCCACGGAGCAGAAGAGGAGGAATTGCAGAATAGATCACTCACCTTGGGCAGATCCAGCGACAATGGACGAAAACGGGTTCCGCGAGATGGTCCACCGACCTAGAAAAGAGACGCCGAGTGCTGGTTCAGTTCATGTCGATAACAGGCCCAATTGCAACAGGCTGGCGAGGGGGAAGGATATCAAGGAGAAATTACCAGTATAACGGCCTTTGTGACGTTGCCACTCTCCTTCTTGCCCCGGTTGGGCAGTTGCAATGTGGCCATTTTGAGAGCAACAGTGGTGGAGTATATATGTCTGTTTCTCTGGCAAGGAAAGGTGGTGGCGGTGTCTGTCGGCTGTCTCTATATCTCTCGGCGGGTGGTTTGGCACTTCCCCTCTTTTGCGGTGAGGGTTTGGGTGATGGTGAGGATGGTAGGTGTAGATGTAGACGTCCTGCTATCGCGCTCGAAGTACGGAGGAATGGTGGCAATCGCGTCTGATGCAGTGGAGCTTGCCGCAGCAACAATAAAATATCGAAGACGATTTAGCTATGTAGGTTTTTATTAATACCATGTATGCAATGGCATGAGGATGGGGTGCTACTGTACACGATTCCTGAACGATTTCAGGGAAAGGAGGGGCGCGCACGGAGAAGCGAGAGAGATATTCAGGGACCATTCCTCTCCTGTGGACACTAAAACTCCACCATGCTTGAGACCTCCCTCGTACTCACGATCCTACCTACCGCGTATACATGACAAAGGCGGACAGCTACGATCCCACGCTGCTCACAAGCTCGCCTGAGTCGTAGGCCATGATGCTTCAGCAACCGTCCTTCTGATAGTGCTAGGCTGCAACAAGTCCACATTGTTTCCGCATGGAGAGCAGAGGAATACCAATGGCGTTACTCCTAACGTCGCCAAGGCTACTACTCTACAGATCTTCATACTGCTGCTCCTGACATGGTTGATCATTAGAGCGAAACGTCGTTGTCATCGACAAGTAGCCATGTTTCTAGATTTTCATGAATCACGATGTCAAGATCATAGATACTCAAGAGATATCAATCGGTATGGGGAGATGCTGCGATGGCCCGCGAAGACCAAGTTCTACCAACCTTACAGACAGGGCAGGCCAGATTAGATGAATAACGTGCAGCTTCCGCATGCCACAATCATGATGTCACAATCATTATGTCGCCGATATATGACGGCCGAGCAAATCACGATCCAGTTGGTTCCGATTAGAAGTTAAAGTCTTCAAATAAGATCTTCACGTGCTCAGGCATCCAGTCTGTCAGTCGTTTCCGTAAGGGGATAGACGTGCAGACATAACATTGAGACACTTCTGTTCCCAACTCCAAATCTTCCTGCCCTATCCGTCGAAGCTGCAGTGAAACCACGCGATCCTTGATTGCAACGATTTGCTTGTCCGTCTCGTCCGAGGGCCGCTGGTTTGTGACGAATAGTGTCAGGCTTTGGTCCATCGCAGGGTAGTGTTGTAGCGTGTCTTCGACAAGGCCAAGATCCTCCCGCCGGACTGTCCACAACAGGCGTAGCCTCGTGAGATCAATTGATCCCAGGAATGGTAGAAGAGGCGTTATTCCAACCCCTGCCGCGATGAAATAGATTGTTTCCTGATCAGCCTGGCTGATCCGGAAGTCACCTCCAAAGCCCTTGAAACCCACTTCCAATTTCTCCCGGGAGCTGCTCAGCCCATATTTGAAAAGGTGCTCCGTGACCGCTCCCACTCGACGAACAGTCATCTCGAATCTGCTGCCTCGACCATTTTGCTGTGAGTCCGCCGCTGACTTGGGCGGATTGCTCACCGTGAAGGTGCGGACGAAATCGTCGTTGAGACTCAACGGATCATCGTCTCGCATATGCGAATAACCAATGTCTAGATGCTCCGAAAAGTCCAGTGTTACGTACTGTCCAGCGTCGTATGCCGCGACATTCTCAATGGAGAATCGAAATCGAGAGACGAAGGGCGTCAATTTGATCTGCTCCAGAAGCACAGCCCGTTGAGGCACAGGATCTGGCTGTTGAATTGACGGTTTTTCTGAGGCCAGGTAGCGGACCTTAGGATTGTACGGTGACGCTTCGCCCGCGACACCGCGGAAGCAAAGGGCGTCTTTGACAAAGCGAGCGTCAGTAACATCGAATCGGACGCACAGATTTGAGTGAAGCAACAAAGTCGCCGCGTCCTTGCCGACGAGCACAGTCGCATTGCCAGTGCAATACAGGACATTGCCGCTCTCGAAATCCGGCACACATATCCCGACCTGAGGGTATAGGACGATGTTCCCCAGCGTTTGATAAAGACGATTCCCCGAATACTCGGGCCAGCAGAGCACTGCGCCGGGGCCTGAGTTGCTCACGATACGAAGGAAGCCAGGCGGACCGCCGCGGTAATTGGTGTCCATACTTTGGTTCTGTTGTGCGCTCGAAATGAAAAAGCAGTCTGCTTTCGCCAATAGCTCCAATGCATGTGATGACAAGACGGACGAATCGGAAAGAAGCACGGGGTTCGATCTCGAATGTGTGACACTTTTGCAATTCAGATATTTGGGGCAATTTCCCAGAGACTCTTCGATTTTGAAGACGAGCTGCACTTCAGCTTCAGAATCCTCCAGGCTGGAATTCTCATCCTGCCTCATTCCCAAGGCGCCAGCAACCATGCGTCCAGACATCTTGACTCGCTTGCGAGTGACGAGGTCAATGGTCAAGCCGCTTATCATCCTCCCGGTGCCAGACTCGCGGGTAACGGTGCCCGAGGTGTCTCGACCGACGAGCGTCTCGACGACAGGATCATGCTGTTGTGCGACGACAGTTCGGATGCCGACCATCCCTCCTCCCATGGCGCGTGCCATACCCTGCTCACCACCCCACAACGTGGTCCAGGGCGCCCCTCGTTCATCGAGTGTACCGATTGCAATCATGGGCGCGTTGGCCAGATGATAGGCCAGTTGGGGAGTGATACCTGGAGAGCTGGGGTTGTCGCGTATTGGAACGCCCATAGCATGCATCATCCACTCTTCGCCCTCATGAAAGGCAAGCTCTTGATAGACTGCCATAGCTTCGGTGCAATGGCTGAATCTGAGCAACCGCGTAGCAATAAGACAGACTGGTGATTCGTATTCGCCAGCTGGTGTCCCAGTCTTGCAGGATCGAGTGTCAGGAGAGGACAGGTCTACAGCTCATCGTGTGATTGATCTGCGCAGTTCAATATCGAGCTGGTTGTTTAGAATTCCACACCTTTAAATATGTACGCGAGCACGTGCTGTAAGTGCATGTGAGCTTCCCTGCAATATATGTCATGCCCAATTTCAATAGTAAACTTGCCCGCGCGATGTAAGCAGAACCCTTAGGAAGCAAGTTGTCCACGGGTGTCATCAGATATGGGAGAGATCCATCTGAAGTTCTCCGAGCTGCTACATCAGGTCAAGGACTTTTCAGATGTTATTATAACTACCTAAGGTAGTCTCTGGGTTTCAACATGTGTATCGATCCCTAGGCCCTGTAGTAGTACAGAATGCTTGTATAATGAGAATCATCATACACTCAGATGTTGTCCATAGTATCTTTCCTAGCTGAAGCCTCACTTGTGATGGGACACACACCTGCACCCAGCGTCTTCGGCTTACGAGTAGAAACGTGGGCATCGAAGCGCATTTCGTGGAAGGGATGTTGGAACCTACGTGTTCGGCAGATCACACGATCCAGCCCTTCTGGACACATTCTCTTATCGTGATCGCCACCGTCGAACATTTAGGACGTTATCATTCGAGTTCAAACATCTGGGGTACGCCACACTGACGGTCTCCAAGACCACTCTGGTTACCTAGGTACTCACTTTGCCAACACACGTACCATCGAGGTTAGATGTTCCGGAAGGCGGCCATCGCATGCTCGTAGATTGCAGAGGAGAATTCGAAAACATACAAGCAGGAGTTCACCAACTTCAGTCAACTTCCATCCACGCCAATTGCGGCCCCGCTCCAGTCGCAGAGTTCCAGGCCCGCGCGCTTCATGTTGGTCCCTCGTTCTTACCTTATACAGTTCCTCAAGCAGTCTTCGCCCAGGCAGATCGGAGGCCGATGATGGAGCTAGTGGTACCGGCGAGACCGACCAGTCCATCGTCGAGGGTGATGAACCCAAGCGCGGTGCTCGGGATGGTGAAGTCACAAAGGTCGGAGAAGAGCTGCAGTTGAGTGGCGCGGCTCGTGCTGTGATCGGAGTCAGTAAAGTTGATATGCCTCAGCGTCGACTCTCGATCAATATCTCTTACCTCTGGAGCTTCTTCAGCTCAACCGCCTTTTCAGCATCAGCGCTGTCGGCCTTCTTCTTGGTCGCAGCCTGCAAGTTGTAGAGGGTGTACACGCTGGCAAGGATGTTGCAGACCAAGCCAGTCCACCAGGCACGGTACGCCTCTTGTGCAAGTCTCGGGCCGGACGCGAATTTGTAGATCCCCGAGCTGTCAATGTAGGCGATGGCGTCGAGCGAGAGGTAGAAAGCGTAGCCCAGCTGACGACCGATGGCGAGGTATCGCAGGACCGGGTCCAGCGACTTGTTGTCAGCGGCCACGGCGGCAGCCTTAAAATGCTCAACGAATTTTCCAAGTCGCATGGCCTTTCGCACGCTTCCAAATTGCTTCTTGGTTGTCTCGAAGATGGCCACGGTGGTTTGCGGGTGGTTGGTGCGGTACGTGTACCAGGCGAGGAATCGTGCGAAATATTGAATCGTCTGGGAGATCCGATCAGCACGGCGATTCGCTCACAGTATACTCATGACGATGAGCCGGGGGTACAGCAACGCACCCTCAGTGCCTTGTCTCGGCCGACGGTTGTCGCGACGAAGCGATTGAAGTGGCTCACGGCCGGGTGGTAGATGAGCGCGTCGGCAACCATGATTGCGATTCGGATTTGCGAAATGGGTGATCGGGAGTAGGTGAGACTAAGCGAAACGATGAGTGAGCAAAAAGGGTGTCGTTGAAGAGATGTGGTGATGTGTACAGGTCAGGACCGGAGAAAAGATCGGGATGCGCCTGGCGTAAGGTAAAGCGTGTGGTCGGAGTGAATGCGCAAGGAAACGCCGAGTCGAGACAGCCCGCGACAAAGCCGAGCAGGAAGGGTAATAAGGACTGACAGTAGGACGTAGAATGCTCGGAAGTGGCAGGTTGTTTGGGTAGTATTATTCGGATGGACAGGATAGTTTTGGTTCACGATGATTATTATAAACTGTATGCGACAGAGCGGGACGAGCTGGATATCAAGTCGTCGGGATATTGAACTGAGAGAGAGACCGAGCACGCCGAAACAGAGCCCAATCCAGCAGAGGCCGGGGACCCACCAAAGACTGCCCGCTCAGGTGCCCAGGTGTTGTTGTCGGTCGGTGTTGGCTGGTGGTGTTGCTTGTGATGAGCCGCGGGCGTCACCACCTCGGCTGTCACGACTCGCTTCCCATAATTTCATCATTTCCATCGTTCTTCGCCTGCTCCATGACGAGAGCGACACCTAGGTAATGGTGAAATGTAGCAACACTGACTCATTCCTGTCGATGTTATTATTATTATACTTTAAGTCACAGCAATTCGATCATCACGATGCACCTGCAGCTCTGGACACAACCCTGGAGCACATAATTGCTCGGTGACCAACAGTTGTGAAGGTGTGTACACGTCCCTTTCGTAAGGTAATCATGTTAATAAATGATCATACAGTATCAGAAATACTTGTAATAACTGCCCTGGGCACGGGTAGTATAATAAAACTAGGAGGGAGATTCCTCCGCGGAGGTCAATCTCCATCATCCACCCTCGTGACCCTCAGGCGACATGTTTCGAGGGTCACGTGTACGAGTCATGTAGTCGAATCCATCCATTCATACGCTCCTGGGACAGGATCGTCCAGCGGTCGGACATTTCTAGCAAGCCATTCAACATCCGTTCATCGACTCTGCATCGTCACCATGGCCAAGAAGAAGCCGCGCATGGTAGCGGTGCGTTTGATCTCGATGGCGATGACAGGTGAGCTCTCATCTCAGCGCGTCGCGAAGAGTTGCGCTGCTGCAATGCGAAATGACATTATGGCCGATTCCTAATGCTCGCCCAGGATACTACAAGACCTATCTTCGCCCGCGACTTGCTCGTCCCATGAGCATGCTGAAATACGATCCCGTCGGTCAGTGGCCCTGACGAACAACGCGCCAATCCATCGACGTGAACCGGACTGACCAAAATCCAACAGTTAAAAGACAGGTTTTGTTCTTGGAACAAAAGCGTAGTGGCAACAAATAAAAACCTCCTTCAATGGGTCACCTGGATCAATTGCCTGTTTCGCGCTCACGAGACATGATGGTCGTGCTCCTCACCGCTCAGCCCTCGCCGCGCACGCCATGAGCACGTGGAAATATACGCTGGAAGAATCATTTACCTACACGCACTCCGAGTAGGCACACTGGCAGACAAGCGACAATCCAAGGCACTCTCGGTCTGGCATAGAGCTTTCATGTACCGGCACAAGGACAGCTAGCGAACAACTACTGTCAGAGCGAAAATCCGCTCATGGTGATGATTGCGCAGCATTGCCGCGCCTCATCGTTACATACCTTCGAAGAGACGCTTCGCAGGCGACAAGAGCGAAAAGCAAGGGATTCGGTTCGTCACCAAACGGCGGATACGGTCATGAAGCCTAGAATATCTAGATAGAGGCGATGCAAATATGGCACGCGAGTTCCATCTTGTGATGAATGAACGCTGTGAGGCCAGGGTAGCGCCTTACGAATCATTTAAACAACCCATCAAACTGTGGATCCTGCATGGCCATCTGGCCCATCAACCCTGTCTCGGCCTAGACCTCTATAATTCAGCCGCCTAAGCATCCTGCAGGCTCATACAAATCTTCGCAATATAATGACATGAGGCCAGCAACAGTGCAGGATCGCGTGCCAAACAATGACCCAACCAGACACCAGAAACGAGTCAGCCTTGCTATTGTGAAAACGTCGAATGGATGGAAAGATACATTGATCGTCAATCCAAGTAGAATACATAGGTGATCACCCCATCATGTCTTGTAGAAGCAAAATGCATGGTAAAAGCTTGCAGCTTCCATCTCCGCGTCGTTGACTAGGAGACCATTACGCCCCTTGCTGCGATCGCGATCAATGACCTTCATGCGCTCTGCGAGCATGCCCAATTCTCGATCTTCCGACTCATCGAGGAAGACATCCCTGAAGCCTTTGCGATACATCAATTCCAACCCGTAGTCTTCGGCCAACGCACGGAAAGCCTCCCATGGGACCACGTACTCAGGGGCGTTCACAGCCTCCTCCAGCGTGTAATGATATTTCCAGCCGAACGGAGGTCGAAAGATGCCGTCGCGCGGGAGCGGCCGTTTGGTGAGGATTTGTTCCCGTGGAAAACTGATATTGTAAATGGCGTTGCCCCAGGACAGTGGAGGCAAGTTCAGCTCTGTAGGCTCAGTGACGCTGGTACCTGTGGCAGCGTCCCCTGGGCCGGGCTGCCCGTTGCTCGTGATGACAATCAGGCCAGGCTCTGACGGTTGTTCAGGATTCCAGTCGTCGCTATCGCCACCGTTCTGAAGATTCTGAAAAGGCTCGCTAGGCTTCTCCGGATCCCATTCGTCTTCATCGTCTGCCCTATTGATATTGGCTGCCGGCTCTGAAGGATTCTCGGGGTCCCACTCCCTGTCCTCTTCGTCCCCACCCGGACTCAAGACCGATGTGCCATTGTCCTTGGAATGGCTGCCACCTACATTTGACATTCCGGCGTTCTCTAACGCCAACAGTTCCTTCATCTTGCTCGAAATGACGTCGCTGTCAGGCATTACTCCGATGAAGCGCCCGCCCTTCTTCAGGGCTCCCGAAACGTTGCGGAGCATGCCACGTGCCAATTCCTCCGTCTCGAAAGAATAGTGTAGTGCGAACATCATGCTGACCACGTCAAATCCTCCGTAGGGCGGCGCACCATTGATCACGTTGGGACCCGGGCCTGTGTTGGGATTGAAGCCAATCCGTGGAACGATGGAGAGCTCGGCGATGGATCTCCCAAAAGTATCGTGCACATAAAACTCTACCTGCATGGGCGGTCGTCGAGCGAAACGAGACCGGTTTTGCTGAGCACCAGATTTTGTGAAGCGATCGCGCGCCTGAAGAATCGAAACATCCGCAATGTCACAACCCACATACATGGACGGTACTTGGGGAGCCTTCTCCCACTTACCAAGGTCACCTCCTTTCCCACAAGCCATGTCGAGGACATGCAGGTGAGGAGTGGGGACTTCCGGGAGCGAAAACTTTTGAATCAAAGTCGATTTGATCCAGTTGTTTAAGTTGCGTAGACCACGGATCTGACTAGATTCGTCGCGCCATGCTCGTCCGCGCTCAGGAACCGCATTGTAGTGCTGGGCAACCTGCTCCACAGCCGACGATTGCCTTTGAGAGGCGAGAGCTTGCCGCGCCTGCTCATCCCGTTGCCTTCGTTCACGCTCGATCGCTTCCCTATCTATAGCGACGAGTCGCGAAGCCGCACCTGGCCGTTTAAGCTTCCGTGGTGGAGAGCGTTCGCCGTCGTCAGCATCCTGCGTGGGATCTGGATCTCGTGGAGGCGTGCGCCGCGCGAAGGCACTGGGGCTTGCCGTTCGTGAGCCTGATTTTGCAGCAAGACGGGAGGCGGGAGTCTCTCGTTTGCGCTTATTCGCAACGCGACGCCCCGTCGAAGCAGATTCATTGTGGTCCTCCATCTTTCAAGGCTTTGGGTGGATTGATTGCATGTGTGGCCACAGACGGCTGACGCTGCCTTTGGTGAGACGTGTTGACCCCCCAAAATGATCTTAGAAACCGTTGTTAGATATCGAATGGCAAGTCCAACTGTATCAAGAGCGGTTCGGCTCCAACTTCTTGAATTAAGCACGTGCTGCACTCTCGAGCGGTGCTGGTCAGTTGGTGCGAAGTGTCGCAAGTTGCCATCAGTGTCAGGAAAATACTCGTGCTCAGTGGACTGGGAAGAGAGACATGACGGTGATGGCCCGCGGAATGGCCTTTGTCGTGCAATGATTGTATTGATGGGAAGATGCGTACAGATGGAGTTGGACAGTACTGTCTTAGGCTGGAGGTCTGGAGGTCTGACGAAATGGATGATTAAGTAAATGATTAATAAGCCTTTTCGTCCAACCTGCCCGCAATGGATTTATCCTGTACCACTATGTCACCACGACCGCCGCTGCCGCTGCTTCAAGCTTGCAACTACATATACGATCTTCACCATCGTCACCACCACTATCACACCCAGGAACAATCCGCACTCGACAACATTCTTGCTCAATATACGCCGCTGTCCATCAAAGCTAGTCATCTGCAATTCAAACGGAGATTCATTGCATCACATACCACAGTCACAAATCTTCCCATTGCACAGACTCCGTCCACTCCGTCACCATATCTCATCTGCGTGATCTTAAACCCGGAGAGCACGTTCGGATAGATTGCCCAACATGGGTGAACCGCAGTACCTTCAGCATCCCGACCTGGCTCTGGCCCAGACGGTCTTTGCGCTTGCCTCACCAAGCACCGATGATGCTAGTAGACAGCAAGCACTCGCCACGATTCAAGAAGATATCCGGATCCATCAGATGGCTCCACTCTATGCATACCTGGCCCACCCCCTCACTGGAAAGCTGAATGCATCCGGCGACAGCGGTGCCTCCCTCTCACCAACAACCAGTCGCGCTGGTGTCCATGCACAGGCACCCGCGGCGCCTTCAGCCATGCATCAGCTTCGCCGGACGAGCAGTATCAACACCCCCTCCATTGTCGGGGTCCTCGGCGGCAAGACTGACAATTCAGCGGCTCTTTCGTGGGATGAGGCATTACATGAGAAGCTGAAGGCCGAAAACGACGAGGAACTGAATACGATCCAGAAAGAAGAAACAGATGCTTTAGAAAAGGCTGGCGAGACCGAAGTGCAATCAGCGCAGGGCAAAAGGGCAGGCTTCTTCGCACGCATTGGAGATAAGGACAAAGCATTGGAAGAGTACGAGAAGCTGTTCGAAAAGACTGGTATATTGGGTTCAAAGATCGACATCGTCCTGGCAATCATTCGCCTGGGTCTGTTCTTCGACGACAAGATGCTAGTCAAGAAAAATATCGAACGAGCGCAGCAACTGGTGGAGAGCGGCGGAGATTGGGATCGTCGGAATCGTCTCAAGGCATACCAAGGACTCCACTTGCTCACCATTCGATCGTACAATCTGGCGGCACCATTGTTACTTGATTCTCTCTCCACATTCACCTCGACTGAGCTGTGTTCGTACAGCTCACTGGTCGTGTACGCCACGCTTGCTGGCTCGGTAAGCTTGTCGCGTCGCGATTTCAAGTTGAAGGTGGTCGATGCCCCTGAAGTTCGTGCTGTTTTCGGAAGCGAGACCGACACCGATCTCCTGGCAAGCCTCGGAGGCTCAAACTCGGCCGGCGCGAAGACAGACTCCTCCGCTATGGCAGTCGACTCTGCTGCAACCAAGTCGGCGGCTGTCAACCTGACCACCCTTGCTTCGGGCTCAGCATCCGCAGAGGCTCAATCGAAGGCAGAACCCAAGATTGACTTTCAACCGCTTGCAACCATGATCCAAAGCTTATACTCAGGCAATTACTCTAGCTTCTTCTCAAGCCTTGCAGCCGTTGAAGGCAATTTCCTCTCCAAAGACCGATATCTTTATGAGCATAAGAGCTGGTTCGTGCGTGAGATGCGCTTGCGTGCGTATGCTCAATTACTTCAGAGTTATAAGATAGTGGGTCTCGAGTCGATGGCTAATAGCTTCGGCGTAACGGTCGACTGGCTCGACAAGGATTTGGCGCCATTTATCGCATCCCAAAGACTGCCCTGCACGATCGATAGGGTCAGAGGAGTGATCGAAACCCAGCGCGCCGATGACAAAAACAAACAGTAAGTACATTCTCACGCTCATCGTATTTGACAAGAGCCAAACTGACAATTTGTAGGTATAACGAAGTGGTTCGACAAGGAGATCAATTGATCACCAAGTTACAGAAGTATGGTCAGGTCGTCCGTCTACGGGGTAGTGAACGAAGCTGAGGGATTGCCCATCCCAGTCTCGCTCAGTGTGTTGCCTGCGAGAGCCTGCATTCTCCGCCCGGCCGTTTCGCATCACTGCTCACCTCAGGCTTCGATGCCGTCGGAAGCCAGCAGGGCTACAAAATCTACAAAGTATCATTCACGAAGCAGTTGATTGCGGCGAGTTGGCCTTTGGGGCATCGGCCTGGTGCGTATGATGTGGCGTGTATATTGAACTTCCGCGCACCAGTGGCAGCGTTTGATGGGATCCGCAGTCATTTCCTGATCCAAATGCGCCTGTTATCAACCAGTAAAGATCGAGGAATATCGTCAAAGCGCGGCAGGCATTTGTACGGGAGCACACCCCATTACTGAAAGCCCAGGAGTGAATATTGCCGAGGTCATTGCTCTCTGAGATGAGATGGTTCTGCGTTGTTCCAGACGTCAAGGAATATCACTGGACGAGACTGGCCTAGTCGCAAACCACGACGATGCGTGTATGTATATTGCCAACGAGATCAAAGCGCGAGTGCCGGCGTTCTACTGCGGAATCACAAGTTCTGAAGACAATCCTTTGCTCGCTCGTGAACTTGGATTGTAAAAGTAAGAAGGACCAAAGAGGTGGATAATAGATGCACTAAGCCTTGCGCACAAATTTGGGGAATGGACTGACTGCAAAGCTAGCTAGACTGGCGTCCCAACATGGCCAAGCGCCATGCAGATTCCACCATGCCAGCCAATTGCCGCCCCACAGTAAGCGCTCAGCACTATTCTGGTCACAGCCTCTTGGACAACTCACGCTTGTGGTTGGCTGTTATGATCCTAGCCAGTACAGCATGAGCAGGGGACAGAGGCCAATGAGACGCTCTCCTTTGGGCGACGATTTGCATTCTGTCCCCTGATGATTGCCATCTGCTACACGTGAATAGAATTTCCGCCACGCGGTGGGCGTGATTGCTGGGCGAAGCTGCTCACACTTCGGCATCATCTTCATAGACTCATCAGCATCATCGTCAAAATTAAACCTCGCCGACTTCACCTGTACTCATGCGGTGAACTGTGCCAAACAAGTCCGTACATATCTGCCGCGCATCACTTGTGGGTGTCGCCTGTGCCATTGTCGCGCTTCGACCGTCCGGACTTTACTTTCAACCAAACCCTTTCATCATGTCTACGTCGATGTTGCTGGCCAGCATCATGCTCGCGCAATACGCGCTGGCCGCGCCACGGCCGCAGTCTTACAATAGCGATGGCAGCGACACAAATCCACACAGCGTCGATACGGATGCCGGTGCCTCGGGTTCATCGACCTCATTCAACATCAGCAAAGGCGGTGTTGCGGCCATCATTATTGTCGTCGTCCTGGTCATCATTTTCGGAGGTACGACAGTGCCTCAAGCTTCAATCTACACACGACTGACATTCACGATACAGTGGGCTCGGCAGTCCTCTGGTATTTGGCTAAACGTCGTGGATGGAACGTTCGAGCCTCGATCGCACAAGTGGTACCTCTTCCCGTAGCTGCACTTTTTAAATATGCGGAATTCTTACTGACAATGATCATAATAGTCCCATCGCGTCACGGGTCGATTCGCCACGAAACCCTCGGCCGCGGATCGTCGCTCGAAACGCGCTGGGCAGCACCTCGACGACGGCATTCCTCTCAAAGGCCACAAACGCGGCATTGTTGTGCAAGTCTCGAATGTAGAGAAGGCATCGGCAGGAGCGAGCAATTCCTCCAAAAATGTACGATAGCTTTGCTCGACGCGCTTGCTCGCCTCTCGATTGGCACGCGGCGTTGGTGCGTTTCACCCTGTTTCGTTGTCAATAACTTGTGCGACCATACCCATATCATGAATTTAATCGATTTATCTCTCTCATAACCTTGTCTGATTGTCATCACATAGCGACGAATATGCAAGCTTCCAGGAAGTTGCCTCACATGTGCTAATTTTCCCGTGTCTAATCCCATCCTCTCGTCGATCGAGGCTCGTTTTTGGGCAGCGATTGCGTATCTTCTCGAGTGTCCATGTCATCGATATCAAATTCATCGATGACGTGAACTGTTCTCTGACTGGCGTTACCGGCACCACCCTCTCGGCCTGTATTATCTGTCTCATCATCGTCATCGTCATCCATGTGCTTGGCTCGCTGTAGACGCTCAATCTTCCGTTTGAGAACCACATCGACGTGAAGATCCTTCTCCCGAAGCGATTCTCGACATCCGGACACCGGGCACTGTATCGTCTTGGTGGGACTCTGGCGAATCATGCCAAGTACTGCTTCGGATTCAAAGCTATGCGGGCATTTGGTAGACGTGAGAGGTTCGACGAATTCCACCAGGGTGAGGGGGCATTTTGTACTGATTGTCGCTCGGCTGATTGCGATGTCATCGTCATCATCATCTTGCTCATCACCAGCCGCAGCGCTTGCCGTGACGCCTGGAGGGGGTGCCACCGCTTCCGAGAACCATTCGGTGTGATGTGGCATCGGCACGTCGTCGTCGGGATGCTGCGCGTCATGCACGATGCGCCGGAACTCACGGTAATCGTTGTTTTCAGCGTACCTTTCCGTCAGTGTCTGACGTTGATAGAGAATCTGATCCTTCTCAACCCTCTCGCGGAAAATGTGCAGAGGTGGTCGTATAGCCTGTGTGCCGCCAGCCGGATCAGTTGGTGTGAAGTCCTGGAAACTGCCTTGCATTTCGGAAGCATCGACCTCTTCACTTCTATCTTCAGTACTCGCGTGAGCTGCGCGACGAGTGACCCGCGACGCTTGAGTCCCAGCTTGTGTGCTCGGATCTTGTTGAGTAGCGTCTACTGTGTGCCGTAGCGATGCTCCAACTGCGTCAATGCTCTGCTGGGCATCAATAATGCGGCGAATGGTTTCGTCCATTCGCTCGGTCAGCCTTGCTGTGCTTTCCTGAATGGGAGTCAACTCGGAGATTGCGGCGTTTTCGTTGCCATCCGTGTTCAAAGCCTGGCGTTGTTTGTGCTTCTCAAGCGCGTTCTCGCGCACGATGAGCCGATCGTTGATTTCCACCGCCGTGTCTGCGAGGCACTTCTGAGCATCTTTCAGGTTCTTCTGAAGTTGACTGAGATTGCGATTCCGGCTGATCTGAGCGAGCGAGCGCTGCGCTGCCGGGTTGAGAGCGAAAAGTGGCTGCTCATACGACGGAGCATCTCGTGTTTGTGTGTTGCCAGCAGTCCCTGCTCGGCGAGTTGTAGCTGATGCGGATGGCATGCTGGAAAGGTGCGTGTGATCTCGTAGTTTTCACACCTCACTGGCAGAGAACTATTTTAGGTAAAGTGTAGCAAGTGATTTGAGATTGAGGACAATCTCAGACAATTTGCGATGCTTTCTGGTTGAATACGTGTGAGAAGGCTTAAGCATGCAAAATTGTCTTGGACAGCGAGTAATGTTGCATGCTTCAAGCTGGAATTTTTATCATTTACCGGGATCGCGTTCTCAAGGCCAAAGGAAAGATCGAATGAAGTGTGTATGACAGCAAGCAATATGGAAAACGACATCTCAGGCCGCGATCGCAAACATGAGAGAGTCTTGAATCTCAAGGTAACGCGGGGAACCCCAACGCGGTCCATACCCCAACGCGGTCCAAGGCATCAAAGAGCATAGCATTCAACAATTGATTGCTCTACCAATTATTGTTGAAATACCTTCAAATTGAAAAACATGGTAGGTCAATACTAACTCTTATGATACACAGGTTCTTGCGTTATGGTCTGGACGGCCACACTTGCTACACTTTCTAATACGCTTCACGGGCCTCGGCATCTCCTCCTGGATTTGTGCTTCTACCTCCTCTTGTTCAACAACGTACTGCATTTCAGGAAAGGACAAGGCATTCTCTGTAGTGAATGCCTTCCTCTTCCTTGATTTGCGTATATGCATAGCCTTGTTTGCTTCTTCTAGGGCCACAACACGCGATTGAAGGATCGCAGCTGAAGTAGCCATTATCTGAGCTCCCTTGGTCAGCTGATCAAGCGCTTCATATATAGGCGTTGGAGAACTGCTTTGATGCCTTTTAAGCCTT